GACCGGCCTCAAACAGTTTTCCCTTGGGCTCTGCGGTCACGCTCCCAGGTCGTTAAGACCAACACTAATCCAATTTCCGTTCCAGGTTCCTCAAGAAATACCCTTCCACGGTGTGCGCAGCCGGGAAATGATACCAGCCCTCATACCTGTAACAGCACACGAGACCAAATTGGTCACATTTAAATCCTTCCTACACCTAATACCCCTCTTATCTCCATGAATAACCCTCCTCACGTCTCTTTATCACCTCGCACCGCTGGGGCAAACGATTGGAGTACGCGGAACGCTATTCCTGGTCTCCTGAAACCACGCTCTAAACTACACGTAGGAGCTTTTAACGTACAAACACTGCCAAATAAGACAGCAGGCTTCCTTAGCTAGGACTTTAAAATCCCACTCCATCGATGTGTGCTGCATCTCCGAAACGCGCATACAGAATCCGAGTAGGGTCATTCATTTGACCTCACCATGCCAAAATAAAGAACCGACTCGATTCACACTTCGTGTATCTGGAAGCCCTGATTCTGCTTCCCGTGGCCTCGCCGGCTTAGGTATAGCACTGAGTCCTAGGGCAGAACTAGCTCTCTTAAGGTGGATCCCAGTAGACAGTCATTTGTGCGCTGTCCGACTGAACGGAACAGTAAGGATCCGAAAAGACAGGGACACTCGTTGTTGCCTATTCGTTGTCTCTGCCTATTCTCCCACTCACTGCAGCTCAGATGATGTAAAAGATGAGTTTTACAGAAAGCTCTCCGAAAATCTAGGCGCTCGGATGTAGTAATAGTGGTTGGTGACTTCAATGCTCAAGTAGGTAAACTAAGCGATAGAGAAAGACACCTGGATGGATCTTATAGCATCGTGGCTCAAAGAACAGATAATGGCGACCGTCTGTTGCAGCTATGCTCAGATAACCGCCTGTTCCTTGCAAATACTAACTTTAAACATAAGGAAAAACATCTTTTAACATGGCGACCCCCTAATTCGTCCCAACGTTGGAGCCGAATAGATCACATCGCTATCAGCCACCGATGGAGGAGCTCGATAGAAGACTGTCGCTCATTCTTAGATTCAGATAATGCCCTAGTACGAGCGCGTATTTGCCTGCATCTTACTGGACGTAGGAAAGACGCTGCAAGTAAACCTCTTAGGGTCCTGCTTAATGATAGTCAAGCTAAGAGTATATTTCAGGAACAACTAGAAAAACAGTTAGGCAGCCATGTCTGTGATGCCCACCCCGAGGCAGCATGGAATGATATCCGAAAAGCTGTGGAAACAGCAGTGATATCTGCTAGTACGGTAAACCACAACACTGGATCTCAGCAGCATCTATCTCACTGATAGATGCTCGGAAACTCATTCCACCTGGCTCTGAACATAATGAAGAGCGGAGTCAGCTTAAGCGCAAGCTGACAAGAAGTCTACGAAATGATCGCGAACAGTGGTGGGTAGCGAAAACAAGAGAGATGGAAAAGGCAGCGGCAATAGGTAATAGCAGGCAATTGTTCAGACTCGTTAAGGAAACCAGTATTAGGAACCCGACCGTTAGCGAAACAATCTCAGAGAAAAATGGACATATTATTCATTCTCAATCGAGGAGATTGGATCGATGGGCAGAACACTTTAGGGATCAGTTCAACTTGCCTTCAGCCACACTTCGGTTTCCCACGATCTCTAGTCAACCTGAATGGCAAGTTAATGTAGGTCCTCCGTCCCTTTACGAAGTTGAAAAAGCCATAGGAAATCTGAAACGAGGGAGAGCAGCAGGCCCTGACAGGTTTACTCCTGAGATTTTTAAGGATGGTGGTCCAGTATTAGCAATGAGATTAACCGAGGTCTTAGGTAGAATTTGGGAACTGGACGTAATCCCATCTGACTGGTCTCAATCACTGATTGTGCCAGTCTATAAGAAAGGACAAAAGTCCTCCTGTGACAATCACAGAGGAATCAGTTTGACTAATATAGTGTCTAAAATATTAGCTTCAATAATACTTCGACGCCTAATCAAAGCTCGTGAAGAGCAGATTAGAGAAAACCAGGCCGGTTTTCGACCTGGACGTGGTTGTATCGATCAGATATTCACACTACGTCAGGTTCTAGAACACAGACACACATTCAGACGCCCCACAATGGTAGTATTTCTCGACCTTAAGGCGGCATTCGACTCTGTTGATCGTGAGGTTCTATGGCAGTGTTTGTCACTGAAAGGAGTACCAAAGAAGTACATTAACCTTGTAAAGGCTCTCTACTCGAACAAAACTGGTAGAGTGAGAGCTTATGGCGAACTGTCATCAGAATTGATAACCTCAAGTGGTGTTCGTCAGGGCTGTCCACTCTCTCCATTCTTGTTCAACTTTGTCGTCGACGTACTTTTAGAAATGACACTTTCCTCGTCTAGATTTCCAGGGGTTGAACTTCTACCGGGAGGTTTACTTGTTGACTTAGAATATGCAGATGACATAGTTTTATTTGGTGAAGACGCTGACAAAATGCAGAGTCTTCTGACCACTCTAAGCAACAATGCAAGCATGTTCGGGATGCGATTCTCTCCCTCGAAATGCAAAATGTTGCTTAAGGATTGGGTTGCATCGACACCCGAACTAATGATAGGGAGTGAAGTAATTGAGCGTGTCGACCGCTTCACTTATCTTGGAAGTCTCATCAGCCCTTGTGGTTTGGTGTGTGACGAAATCTCAGCACGGATACAGAAGGCTCGACTAGCTTTTGCCAACTTGCGTCATTTATGGCGTAGGCAAGATATCCGTCTATCAACCAAAGGACGTGTTTACTGCACAGCAGTTCGTCCCGTCCTACTTTATAGCAGTGAAACATGGCCGGTAAGAGTAGAGGATATTCGTAGGTTACAAGTATTTGATCAAAGGTGTCTTCGAAATATTGCTCGTATATCGTGGGACCATCGAGTAAGTAACGCAGTTGTTAGGAAACGGGTATTAGGTAAGGATGGCAAATCAATTGATGACGTAGTAAAACTTGGTCAGTTGAGATGGCTGGGACACGTGTTACGTATGCCCAATCACCGACTGCCTCGACGTGCGATGTTCATTGGTATAAGAGTAGGTTGGAAGAAAGTCAGGGGTGGTAAGACCAAAACATGACACAAGTCCATGAAGTCACTGACAAGTGGACTGAGTCATGTCGGTAGGTGTAGACTACCTGGTTGGGGACCGCGAGATGATAGCAACCGATGGTTAAAGACCCTGAATGACATGGCTCAAAATCGTTTGCAATGGCGCAGGTGCATCCACTCTTTGTGTTTTCCCAAATTCTAATCTTCTGAATTCTTCTTGCACATTTCTTTTTTCTCTTTCCAAACTTATTCCACTGGATTATACTCCTTGGATAACATCTTCAAATCCTAATTTTTCTGATTACACCTTATAATTTTACTACATCTAGCACTACAGGATTTGAATCGACCACTGCATCTCTGTGCTAATATGGTGTGGAAACTCGAACTGATGTACGTACGTACAAAGTTCCACGTTGTTACTGACTGACTGAAATAGGTATACGACATGCTCGTATTTAAAGTCACTAAGGGCCAAATCTTCTGACAACCTTAAATTAAAACGCAAGCACGATTTGAATGTTCCTCCCCTTCTAGATGCAAAACTTTGCTTCAGAAATAATTTGCACTACTGCCTAAATCATTCATAAGAATTGAAGCGTCTGACCACTTTATTTATCTTGAAAGTCTTATCAGCCCTGATGGGTTGGTGTCTGACGAAACCATGGATTTTACCAGTTCCAGTTACCTCTGGAGTAAGGTATTCGTTCGTCGACCGAACGGCAAGTATGCCGATTATAGCTTCACCGTTTATTACTCTATGTGATTTATGGTAACAAGACATGAGTAGACTACAGGTTTTTGATTTTGTCCTTGAAGCAATACTCATGGATCATGAGAGTACAAAATAAACAGTCTTGAGGTAAGATGAAGTGTGGCGAGTCCATTGAAGCAACGAGTCTTCATTTACTGTGGTTGAGACATGAATTATGTATGTCCAACCACCCCTTACTTGGTATAGGGATAGGTTGAAATAAACCTAGTGGCAACCAAGCCGAAAACATAACATCAGTCAATGAAGCTATTGACTGTCGGTCTAACATATTTCGGTAAATGTAGACTGCCTGGTTAGGGTCCTCGCGATAACTGGTATAAATGGTGAAGACGTTGAATGATATGGCTCAGAATCAGCAAAACTTTTCAGGAATTTTATTATTATTATTAGCTCAAACATTATTCTATTTACACTGTACAATGTAAACATGAGTTCAAGATACATTGACTGAGGAGACTGATCTTGTTGGACGGTGCGTTCTGAAATGAGAAAGACGTAAGTACAAGATACAGACAGTGTACATGTGAATAATTATGCTGAAATAGTTTTTGGATATAAATTAGTCTTTCAGAAAATAATATAGATGTCTTTGTAAATGTTTGTTATAATCAGTTTTTAGTAATTTCTACTAAAAAATTATTATGCTCTAATCTCAGCTGAAAAATGGGTATATGAATCACACAACTACATCCTAGGTTGCTATATAACTTACCACTAAAAAAGTAAATAACTAAATAGAGATCAAATGAATCAACAGCACAAGATTCTAGTTTTAGAGGTAAGCAGTAAACCCGTTCACATTGTCGACCCAAAGGTTATTCCACATTGACTGATCCTTAACTCTGGACTTAAACTAGGTATTAACTAAAGATCGACATTCTAAACCTGGATAAATTCCTACTAAAATGTGAGGTATACTGTAAGTGTATAATAATGAATGACTTGGTTATATGGTGGATAAAGTATGGCCTAACATTACGAATAAAAACTCAAGGTTGAGTTTCTATGCTAGGAAACTATAGTTCAACGTAACAGATAAATTAGTATCGGAAAAAAGTAAGTAAAAAACTTACATTACAGATTTACATAAGTAAAGTTTAATCAACTCGATCGCAGTGGTTTCTGTCTTAAAATGTCCATTTAAGCTATACATACTGATTTTTTATTAACTTTTACGCAATCCTCTAATTTCCTATAATTAATAACAATAACTTTACAAAATGAAAGAATAACCAACCAATGTTTGTCTTTAATCCATCCCAGGTTATCAGCAATTAGATGCAAACTTTGGCACCCATCACAACGAATTATAACTATGCCTTTTTCATAAGCCAACTTAGAAAAATATTTACTTGATCGAGTAGTGCACTTCTAAAGAGAAAAGATTTCCTGATAACAATATTATGCGTCCAATTACCTTGCATGTGAATTCAATGTACATCTTTCCTTTAATTTCATCTTGATCACCTGACAATTCAGAGTTATCTGATGTGACAGAAACTGGCAATGTTGACTGTGGGTTAGTTACAGTATCTGAACAAAAAACGTTTTTAGGCTGGATTGTGTCCAAACTCCAAAGGACTCTGCGAGTACTCGACGGATATGTATACAAACATCTACTAGGATATTTTGAGAATTTCCAGAGAAAACTAGATGTGTAATAGCGATATAATTGTGTAGAAACTGATTTTAATCGCATTTGTGGAAACAACAGTTTTCAATTACGTAAAGGGAAAATTCTGACACTTTTCAGTTAAAACGTCAGTATAGAAAGAGCTAAACGAAGGGAAAACAATGGAATAACTACTTAGTTATTTAGAAAAGTAGGCTACTATTTTTCATTCTTTATCAATGGATTCCTACCCCAAGCTTGTTTTAAAACAGATAAAAAGTACTTAAACATTAAACGCACTAACACCACGGTTCTTATCGTCATCCGTCACCGAAAAAGAAATTGCTAAACTAGAATCGCAACGCATGGGTATTTCCACAATATGAAAGACAAACTACAAAATCGTCATGGGAGGAAAACAGAATATGTTAACGCTAATTTAAATTGTTCAGTATTATCGAACATTACCATCTGACTTCATGTCGGTAGCTGTTTAAAAGACTATGGCAGTTAGACATAGCTTTAAATGTTTTTGTTTATTAGGTTTTAGAATTCACAGAAGGATCGTTTTGATCCGGAATAGTTAAGTTTAAGACGTTATGACTGAAACTTATTTGTATGTTCAACTTGATTTTAACAAATCCTCCTCTTACCGTGCACTGAGTTTCTTACTCGTATGACATACTTTGCAATAAATTAAGTGTCTGTTGTGAGAGCGCGTCTGATTTAACATGCGATTAGAAATCAGGACATTCTTGATGTATAACGTAATACCCATAATTTCATTCACAGGTCTACGTAAATGACCGTAGAACCTTGCACTTACAATGAAAATGCGTAATAATCGTTGCCCAAATATGTCTATTATTAACCTCCATATAAGCTATGATAATTCTTATTAGTAAATGACTAGTCATGTGGGTTTTTTTAATCAAGTCGACAGTAAGTGATATATGTTTAAGCGTCTGTTTCATAGTGGAAATGAGGGTAAACAGGCGAAAAATGGAATATTCACGGGCACTTTAAAGAGAAAAATGTAAAAATGGGAAAGTTCACATTATTTACACACGGAAGGCAGAAGAGGAGCCTTAGGGCAAAAATGTTTGCACGTTCATCATATATTTACACCTCATTCCGCTTTTTTGGTTGGTTGGGTTAATTATAATTAACCATCACTTGTTTATAGATGGCTCTATATAACTTCAACAGTTTTAAAGTCTCTTATCCTGACTAATAAATGCGCACAATTACTTACTTACAATTAACCCCTTCCTGTGGCGTACTTTTTATACAAAGCGCTGAACATCTTTCAGCTTTCAGTAGTAAGTATAGGATATCTATTGACCTATATTAATACTTGCAGTCTGTAACACTGTAGAGGTTCAATCTCGTTTTGAGTACATCAACAAAACGTGCTGATAATACATGTAGTGGTAGAGAATGCCGTTAATCCACTACTCAGTGAGAGAAACGAAACTTCAGACGTAGACGGAAGTGAAATATAAGACATATTAATGCCAAGGTCATCGCTCGGTATACGGTAAGCCAATATTAGATCAACCCGTAATCTGTGGTAAGATAATGGAAATAAGTTGCGGTGTCACTGTCTGTCTTGATTTTAGTCCCTCGTCGTTGGGCTTGTTCCAGAATGTTCGCCTCACACTTGAAACAGGGACTCGCTTTTTGAACTCCATATTCCAAATGCGACCTTATACAAGTCGGGTATAATACTAAATATTTCTTCGTTTAATTACTCCCGAGACCTACGAATAGCCCATTATACCCTAAAACCTCTAGCAGAAGCAGTCTAACAATTGCTCGATTATCAGGCAGGGTTTTTATAGTTCTAGTATTGATATTATCAGGACCACTGGACTTGTCAGGTTTGGGATGCTGAAGTAGTTTTAAATCAGTACCTTTCCCAATAACTGCAGAATTCATCGATAATTCGCCCCGATCATGATTAATTATTGGTCATTCCTCATTGCTAGTATAGAGCACTTCACTAAGATATTTCGACAAGCCTAAATCTCTTTAGAAATCATCTCTCTCCAATACTAAGGGATTTCTTACTTCCCGGAGTTCACCTCTTTATGAGTATAACCGTTTCGAACTATTCTTAAAATCCCTGCCCAACTGTTTTTATATGACTGGCGAGGCTTACTTATCAACGGTTAGCAGGCACTTCTATTTTTGCAATAACTATATGTGTTCTGTTTCAAGCCAGCAAACATGATCATATTCCAATGATTTTCCAACGTTGAAGAAGTTTCATGGTTTGTTTGGTTATTCATGGTGGACAGTTATTCAGTCTGCATGGTACTGGGAATGGTGTAAACGAAGACGTAACCAAACTGAGTTTATCTTTGAGATGGTTCAAACTGAAATCACTGATCAGTAACAGAAAGTCAAAAAGACAGTTTTATTTTGTGTGATCCGTATAGATTCAAGCTTGTTTTTAAAATATGGGGTCTGGGTCTCCAAGAAGATCTAGTTGCTTGGCTGAGTCGTTTTTAGTTTGGAGGACTGGTCGTCAGACACTGGTTCGTATTTTCAATATCGTCCCAATTATTTCAGCAAACAGAACTGTTGAACTCCATAGTTTGTTTTTCTTCAACATCTTATTTGTCTGTTCTTTTTATATTCTAACTAAAGGTTTGCTTATACTTATTCCTAACAATCTTTCGAGAAGCTGGGTTGCTTCTCAGCCTTGCTAAATATTCTAGACCAGGTATTTATCAAGTTCTGTTCTAGTTCTGGTCAGTCATTCCGTTTCTTTTCGATTTCATTGTGCCAAACATTCGTGAACATATCGACGAAGGGTTCTAATGTGTTTTTGTAGAGAATTTTCAGAATCAGTAGCTAAACTTTATCTGTGTCTGATAGAAGTAGTAATTTGCCGATTCTCCCTGATCTACATTTGGATACTGCGCAGGCTTTTGCACAAGCTCTTTGGCGTTCTGCGCTCAATGAATGTCCTCTTATCTGTGGCTTTTGACTGAAACATATCAGCGGTCTATTCGGGTGGAGAGAGCTGCCAGATGTATGATACATTATAGATGTACCCTCATTAATTCTTCTAAACGAAACTAGATGCAAGTCGATAGTTTGAAAATGAACTAAGTAGGATCTGCTTCTCAGTTTCTCTCCATAAATTTCGCTCCAAGTGAGCGATTCTTTTCATGAATAAAAGAAACATAACACATGTGCTTTTCTGAATGAGGTCATAGGTAAACACTGAGAACAGTTCTGAAGGATTCCTCAGTCATGCTGTAAGTTATTGTAGAATGAAACCCCAGAAGTGATTATGTTCTACTGACTGTAAAATACCGTTGGGGAGATACACCCAGATTATCATAAGGAGCGATGCACAGGTTATTTTTGTTGTTGGAAATTGTAACCGTGCGATTTGCCAGGAAGTACCAGATGGATAGAGTATCGTTCCTGCCACTGAGATTTTGAATTCATCGGTGTTGAGATGACGAAGGTTTCTATAGGTTGGGGCCGGCATGCTGTGTAAGGATTATTGGAGAGTCAAAACATTCTAAACCCGTTATCTGGCTCTGTCGCGAACGAACGATAAACAATTTTTGAACATAGATTATCCATTTAGTTTCGTACATCCTGCCAAGGCTAACTACATCTGGTCAGCGGTGGTAATCCAAAGCCAAGTACAGGCCAATATGAAGGAATTTCGTACATTGTTTTTGCAGACAGACAATGAAAATGAGAGGCAGAGAATGCTAATGTACCAACCGGTGTGACTCACTATTTACGATCGGACAGAAAAATGAGATAAAAACAAGTGGTGAATAACGTGGTAAGCACACACGCCTATATAGAAGCAGCCACGGTCATTAGTAGATATTCAAGAAGGCCAAAGTAGATGTAAGTGAAGCAAGCCATAAACAGACAATGACAATAGGAATTTTTATATGTAGTATATTTTGGAAAGTAACAATTAAAGAAGAGTTTGTTCACTAGTGTGTTTACCAAAAGCAAAATAACTGGTTTATTTTCAATTTTTCCCCCATTTTGCGTTCTTATGCACGTACAAGTGTAGTTTGACACGCACTTGCAAATCCTTTTTTCCTTTTGTAAGATGACTGAAAAAGATGAATAACTGATGAAGTTTACAATGAATAGAACTTTTCGCTGCACGTTTTTCATTGTTGTGTTGTTCAATACGACCCCTCATATTTGTGAGAGATAATCAGATATTTCTGGACACAGAAAGTCATCAGAAGAGTGTTTGCCTATGAAAACCTCTCTTGCTTCAAACTTCTGGTTGACCACGTCTTAGAGTCGTCACTATTCTACTAAATGGGAAGTGAGCTTTAGTGGTAAATGCATTCCGTAAGTCTCCTACACTTGATGCTGACCGCGTTAGTTTTACCAAATACACCCAATTAAGAGAGCTCGGTCACACACCCTCACCAGATCACGAGTGAATACGTCCCACTACGCATCTCCCATAAACTTTGGCTTGCTTAGACCAAACGCCATTCAACTAATCTATAGTCTTCCAAATATATCTTCCAAAGTCTTCACTTCTGATTTTACTGTGTTGGTGTACTTCGTACACACATTCAAAGGCTTCGACAAACTCTGAATACCTGTGTCATATTTAAATGTATTCCATTCTCATTAACTAGCGAGACTTCTACTTCAAATGTCGTTTCTGTTTTGATTTTCAGATCAATCCATTTATTTGTGCTATCTGACTTATAATGTATGAGTTTTGTTCTCTTCACACCGTTTGGTTGTATTTAGCCTACCGATAGTATTCATTGTAGACGAACTTGAGAAGGATGGTAATTTCTTTATCATGACAGTAGTAAACATATTACGATTACACGTAAGGATAAATTGAACTGGAGATTTTTCTCTCTTCAAGCGTGTTGACAAAAGTATTCTCAACCTTTTAATTCAGGCTTAGGGTTGAACTGACTTGATTAGTGATCGTGACAGTAGACTTTTACAGGTCTAGTGCCTGAATCACTGAAGGTGCACCATGGCTTGGCAATTTTATCGAAATGAGAGGTTTTTTAAACTTTATGTAGGATATTTGCTTTATTCAGGCAGCATTCTTTACATAACCAGGGTGAAGATGGATCGCGGAACCGTTTATACTCAGTCGGTGGTAGAATGGTACATATTTTATTAAACCATTTCTTACAGCTATCATATTGCGTACTATTTTCAGCAGGAAAAAGAAAAAATGACTTTTAATAGCCAAATGAACTAGTATGATAGAAGACAAAACAAGAAACTTAAAAAAACGAATAAAGAATTGGGAAACGATATTGCTTACCAGATTACCTATGATAATGCACAAAAACAGCAAATCCAATTGAAAAAAATTAAAGCAACGAAATTTCGGATAATGAAAGGTGAAGTAACAAACGTTCTAAAAATTGTATCAGAAACCCTAATATGGGTAAAAGTGTTAAGTGAGTGGTCATTTAAGAGATAGTCTTATCATTCAATTATTTTCTTGCGAATAACGCGATAGTTTTTATATAGAGTTTCATCTAATTAATTTACATAAATTTCAATTACCATCCTACTACTGATTTATTCCATTACCATCAATTTTAGTATGTTTGTGATGTATACACCTCTCATAATAATCACAAGAAAAAGGTAATCTATCTTTGTAGAGAAGAAACTATCAATTCTTGTGTCCAAATGTTATAAATGGTACAATTAAAAGGTGAGACTATAATTTACGAACGACTTTCAAGCGACGCTACAGTGACCTTGAGAGTGTCCACCTAATAAGTAGGACCAAATGAGGGTTACAAACCAGTGTGAAGAATTAGGGCTATTATTTAAAGTTTAATGGTTAGGGTTAGAAATTAGATTTATTGTTTTCATCAGGAACTGGCATTGGCTAAAATGCCGAAACGCTAGTTAGCCTAATGGACGAGTGAATTTCGTGAGAAAACTCGAGGCCTGTTATCTTTTACCTGATTAATTCGTCCATATATTGTAGTCTCGCCAATTAGGATTTTTATTTAGCCTGAGATGACAGTTAGCTTACTGAAATGTTAGACGTTTACGATGTTTAATATATGGATGAGATCAGCTTATGTTTTCAACAGAAGGTCGGCTAGCAAGTAAAGAAAGTTATGTTGTAACAAGTGAAACACTACGATATAGAAAACAGAAATAAGTGGGGATGATTCGTAGAACTATGGTCTACTATGATATTAGTACTGCTCTAATAATAGACCTAATTCTAAAATTATAGACTTGTCATGATATAACTGCCTGATCTATAAGATCTTACGTGGAAGTTACATCATCGTCTACACCAACTCACTGCATCATAACAATTACCAATACATAATGGAGAACAAGCTTAGGCTAGAGATGAGACAATATATTTAATATGCTTAAAAGATATAAGATAACAGGGACCACGCCTGCATGGCCGAGCCATGCCATTCGATCAACTCCAACTTATCCAATTCCTTGTTCACGCCTTCTCCATCGTTAGGTATTTCTCCGCGTTAAATATTGAATATCTATTTTCCGGTCAATCTCGTATTCAGCTTTGAAGATTGTGTGGTTATTGTCCAATGCCACTACAGATTCACAGCTTTATACAATAACTGATGATCTGACAGTTTTAAATCATTCGGCTTCTAATACTTCTTTAATGCATGCCCGAACATTAACCATGATAGCTTAAGTATTATAGAGATTTTCACAGTAAAAGTTCAACATGTACGTAATGAAAGGATTTCCCTCTCTCTAATATGTAAATGGTGGAAAAAATATTTTAAAACCAATCTGTTCTAGCAAATAAACCTAGTGCTACGAAATTTCAAAGAGTTTTACAATTGCCGTTTGTTATTACAACTGACATGCTACTGAACGATCACTGAAATGAAACCCAAAGGTTTGTTTTGCAATGAAAATGTTATTGTTTATGAAAATCCAACTTTAAATAAAAGAACCTCTGTAAATCCAGTATAAGAACTCAATGATCACATCATTAACATTAATATGAGACTTGAATATGGATGATGATCTTCAATATTTGACGAATAAATACTTGAATCTTCAGCCTCACTGATAAGAAAAAGGGAAGGTAACAATTTGGAAATGAATTTATTAAAGATATCCATTGACCGGATACCATCAGAAACGGCCTATTGTCGAAGAGAACAATCCAGCTTCCTGTAGTTGAAGAACATATGAAACTCGAAACAACTCTCAACTGATATCAAAGTTTTAATCTTAATTACCAACATCGAGACAGTTCTACTGTATGGAGCTGAAACCGTTTTGACGTTCGTATTGAAGATTATGACTTTGATATTAGTTGATAGTTGTTTCGAGTTTCATCTGTTCTTCATTTGTAGTAATGTTGTCCTTTCTTTGTCAGTCCTTGTCTTTACGTCTGCATTGAACCCTCCTTGTGCACCGATTATGCTAACCAGATACGTGAAAGATTCAACATTTTCTAGAACTTCTCCATCAAATGTGATTAGGTTGGTTCTACTCCCTATTGTATTTGAAGACCTTGCTTTTTTCCCTTGTGCATATATATATGATTGAAATCATTATAATTGAAACAAAAAATCACGAACTGATCAAGTTATTATCATCATCAGTTTAGTTATTTTAAAAAGTTCAAGTGTTCCATTAAATCGATCATAAATGATGCAACTTATAAACTATAAATATTAAACTTTATTTCGTAATTCGACATAATTATAAATTAGAGAGTGGCTCTGTAATAATATAATAATAATAGATAATTTATATAATGCAAATGATATACTGACATGGATTTATAACCTTGACAATAATAATAATAATAATAATTGGACATTGATATCACATTTGTTTAAATGCATTCAATATGTATATGTATATATATATTCAAGTGTTGAATACAAAATTATTAAGATATTTGACTACATAAAACCTTTGTTATATATACTATTATTATATGAATAATGATGATAAGGGCTTAAAAGGGATATTATCTGTACAATCAAAAAAGAAAAATGATAAGTAAATATTAATTCATGTTTAGTTTAAACCAGAAGAAAATAACAAAGAAAAAAAAGAAAAAAAGGGACTGAAATAAACAAAGATGAGAGGGAAATCATCAAAATATAAATGACGATAATAATTAAATAAAAAATGAAATTTGAAATTAAACAATATAACTATGTTTAATATAATTAAAGTGTCAATGACTCAACAATATGTAGATAGATAGGAGTGTGGATGGATAGATAGATAGATAGTGTGGTTAGATAGATAGATAGATGTGTGGATAGATAGACAGATAGATAGATAGATAGAAGTGTGGTTAGATAGATAGATAGATAGTTAGGATAACAGGTTACTGAGATGGATAGTTTTATTACTGAGTTGTAAAGTATAGTACGAATCGTGTAATTTTACTCATAAAATTTATTTGAACTAAGTAAGAAATTATCGACGTGACATTTTTTCTTCTAAAAGCATAGCACGTGTATTACTCTAAAAGAAATAATACGGGAATAAAAAGAAAACATTAGATCATTAATAGATACTCTGGGAAAATTATATTGTACTGGCGGTCCCTAATGAGTCAATCAGGATTAAGAGAGTTGTTATATCCGAGCGAAGATTAAATTACGGGTAACTTCCGAGGACTATTAATGGACTAATATTCTACAAATATTCTTATTGTATAACAATTCAATAATTAGATTATGTATATCTATATTCCCCTTACTATAAGCTTTATTTTGATCTATAATTTATTATTATACGATTTACGGTTCTTAAGCTATGCTCAGTCTATTAATTACTGTCGCCTATTTTATGGTACGCTGTGGTCTGTCTGATTGATATATAAACCTAGTATGTCTGAAATTAACGATTCGATTCGATTCATATTACGGAAGCTGGTATTGTATTCTGGACTCAAGTGGATGGGCTAGGAGGACATAGGACCAATAAGGACTCTGGACTGCTCGTACCGGTTGAACGTCATTGGTTTGGCACAGTGTGAAGATTTGTAGAAGTCGTATCCTGATTGGTGGATAAGTCGCGTGATAAAAATCCAGACAAGAGTTTCTTTTGCTTATTTTTTTTTCTGTGTGAAATTAAAAGCTCAATATTGATTATAAAATTAAAGATTGACAATAGTTGATCTCTAAAATGCCTTTTTTTAAATGATAAAAATATCCCCTTTACAACCAGACAGTGAATATGCCGTAGTCTTGAAGTTAGATTACAAGAAATTTCCTCTGCTGATGAAGATTGTATGTTGAGTTGATTCAATGTGTAGCCAAGTGTGTTTATGTAGTTAGATAGTATTCTCACAATCTAACTACCTACTGACTGTTAACATCAACGACAAGTTTCTTAAGTTTTGAAACAAAAAGATAGTAAAGCATTATTTCATTAGAGCTAATGTCAGTTCGTGATAAATAATCAAAACCTCATTCATAATCTTACTTAATTTCTTTTACCTAACCTTAACGACTTTGCATTACTGCTGGTATTAGTTGGTTGGGGGGTTAGGGTTATAACCCTAACTCACAAACTAGCCCAACTCCTCGTGTGTGAAATTAATTGTTTTCCCTTATGATAAAGAATAAATTTACATGTAAAACACTATTTATGACATCAAGACTATTATGCTGCCGTGGTTTTTATTGTTAATGGGTACATAACTAGGCAGAGTATCCTGAGTAGTCAATAAGTTGCTTAAGGCTATCAACATAGTATACGTTTTAAGACATTTTTAAACGTATGTAAACAATTGATGACGAAGAGTGGTCATGGAAGGTATCGGTGAAACTAATGGTTGTTCATTTTGATAAGTTGGAGAAAATGTTTCATCATCAGTCCTGTGACTTTTTTTACTCTAGGAGTACTTATCGATAGTAGCTTGAAAACCACTTGATATTGTTGCTCAATGGATAGATTAGATTTCTATATAATTCAAGTAATCCATATAACCTTCAACTAGACTAAATAGATGAATTTCAAATTAGATGAACCTATGCATAATATTAGTCGGTAGTCATTATTCAAGTGACTATACAATTTTGTCTACGATGATCATAGGATTCGATATCTTAGTCGTACAGAAATTCAACCGAGGACTGAATAACCCAGTGATACCTAGTTGACGGCACAGGATTTAATCCTGTGGTGAACATCAGTCCAATCAATATTAGGAACACACCATATTGACAAGTATTCTTCCAACACCTTCCAATGACTGCCGATAAACATCTAACATCAATAAAAGATGTTTTAGAATGTCAGATCGATTAGATAAAAGTTGGAAAATACTTAAAACTGCTGGGATTCATCCAAGACAATTCCAGTTTATAATTTCGTGATAGTATTGAATCATTAGCTTAAATGTGATCAGTTAAAATTATTAATGAAATATTTTCAAAAAATAAATATTCAAGTGACATACAAGTTGTTTTTGTTGTTGTTGTAATTGATCCCGTTCAATTCGTAATTTTTCTAAAGCTTGATTAGAAGTTGTATTCTTTGGAGCAGTCAATTCCATTAAAGCAATATTAGCTTCTTTTTCACATAATGAAGCGGTAAGTGATTCCAGTCTGAAATGATTATACATCAGAGAATAAACAATTAAAATTTATATGAAGCATTAATTATGAATTTGAATTGTTAATGGTATAATTGATATTAAAATAGTAGTAAATTCGATGTATATGTATATGCGCGCTCCCCAGGAATCCCATGCTAGGACGAAACGACTGTCGCCACTGCGCGTCATTTCGTTTCGTTCACTTGATTGTCTGTGGAGATCAATGATTGTAAAAATATATGTATATCTCAATAATGATCAATCACGTGATCTAAATGGTGTCAGATTCAAGGCCACTAAACTGTAGTGAACGGGAATACACGTGGAGACAACTGAAGGTATCTGAGAACTATACAGTAAATACTACATTTGCAAAATATTAACGAATTGTCTCAAACTTGATTGTTCCTTTTGCAAATATCAGCCAATCATCTCAGACTTCATTATTCTTCTGTTTCCACACCAATCGTTCTTTGTTCTCGTCCTATTTTCTTCGATCTTCTTAACCTTCTGCCTACAGGCATTTCACTTTTTATTGATGAGGCATACTATTTATATCTTTCGACATCAATAGCACACACCACAGCAATATTTAAACTTGTGTAAATGTAATGTTCGGTTATTTAGTTACTTTGAAGAAGTCGCTTACATTATCTCACGAAACGTCTTCAGAAATACAAATTTTCTACTCATTGGGATATAACAAAAGGTATTTCGTGGAGTTCTAGTGAGAAGCCATGACCAGTGGAGTTCAACCGGGTTTGTTGTGAGATATTAACTCACTGATGACAATGGTGGACGGTGGCGCAATATTGTGGATTAGTTGAAGCTAGACATTAACACAGCTGGATGCCGGCCAGCTCAATGGTCTAGTGGTTAAGCCTTCGCTGGCGGTACTGACAGGTTTTGGGTTCGAATCTCGTAAGGAAGGCTCGTGGATGCACACTGTTGAGAAGTCCTATACTAGGACGAAACGGCCGTCCAGTGCTTCCAGGTTTTCCATGGTGGTCTAGCTTCAATTGACTCATGAATTGATAACTTTATTATTATAAGCATATTATTCAAAGAAAAATGTGTACATATACTTACTTGATTGTTAAAATTTCATCAGATTGATCTTCAACTTGTTTATTCAATGTGGCAATACGTTTGTTCAATTGTTCAATTTTATCTTTACAACCATTATGTTCAGCTTTTAATTTCTCAAGTTCAATTAATGATCCTTGAGCCTATTAGTTATGAAAAATAGAACAATCATTTATAACCAATAAAATTTCATTTCAACTTAACTCATTAAAAAGTAATTACATTGAAAAACTGAGTTTTAACTGTTATACTGCACCTTTTTTCAAAGTTGGATACTTATCAAAAGAGCGATGAATTACTTGGATTACATGACATTTATCACCAACCAGTGATCAATCAATTGTAAATACTTACAGGAGGTCAGTCGTGGTCCAGATAGCCCAGTGTAACGTCTCTGACTATGAAACTGGGTGATACAGGATTAAATCCATCAGGGAGTATCAGATTACAGGTATACCTTGCTGACGAGTGCCAAAATAGCACGAAACCTAGGTCCATGATTTTCTGTTGACTACCTTCAACCACCATCTTATCTCAATATAGTGCACACAATGTCGAGTAACGTAGACTGATGGCTATATTCCAATTCGGTCGATAGGATTCGATCTGCACTAAGTAGGATCTGACATACATGATATCGATCACCACCACCTCAGAATGATTAGATAGTGAACAGATGCTTTCGTCTAATTAAACGTTAATATAATAAACCCTGAATTATAAAAATTCAAAGTTATGAGATTAAAACAAATCAATATTACTAGAGATAAGATATCGGGCATTTTGTTCAGGTTGATAACCTTAATGTTTAAAAGAAATGAGATGATTATTGTTGAAGAACAATCATAGTGTTGATGATTTTAGGATATATGTTGAATCAACTGTCTTAAGAAATGACATCTATGGGTGTCTATCAACATTTATGTGTACACTAAACTGTTATATCCCGATGAGAATATTGAGTTGTAACCGTTGGGATCTAATTATGGACTAATACTATGTGTATAGTTTTATTGTATAATTGTTATGTAACTAAACTATTCATATTCGTGTTTCTCTTATTATGAGCTGTATTTTGACCTATGAACTATTATTATAAGATTTACTATTCTTGAGTTATACCTTGTCTATTAATTACTATCTCCTTTATTCACAACCACATTTGGCTACGTCCTGAACAAATGTTGTTTTCTATTTCATGGTACGATGTGGTCTCTCTGGTTGGTATATAAACCCAGCATGTTTGAAATAAACGATTCATATTGTAGAGTTTAAGATCGGTGTTCTGGAGTTAACAGGCTGGGCTAGGCAGGAAGCAGGACCGATAAGGACGCTAGGTTGCTCGTACGTGTTTTGATCCAATCGATAATTCACTGCTCTCTAATTGGCGGTATCATCATGTTATACATTGATAGAGGCATAAACTCATAAGTTATAACATAAACTGATGATGACCTCTCAATAGTTTTAGACTTAAATTATCCTTTTAAGATACATCATTTCATTTCATTTCTCCCATGAAATGGGATATTATTTAATCAATAATTAGAAAGTGTATAAATATATGTACGAAGGTACTGATGAAAATTTCTTAGTTTACAATAATAAAATCAGATAAACCTATTTGATATTAAAGAAACATCTTTTAGATTTTATGCTTATACTACTGAATACAAACATCATTTTGATATGAAGTTGTTTCAACAGTGTTCATTGAAATGGATGATTTAAATGATGAAGCTAACATCACCAACATCGAAGACCAACGAAACAGGTGGACGTAAGTAAGTAAGTAACATTGTCTTTCTAAACAACAAAAAATCAGGATAAATTCCAGATACAAGTGATCTATAAGAATTTCTCTATAAGTGATTAACATCACTTCAATAGAATTGGAAATCAGTATTTCACAATAAATCAGTTTACATGAGTGTTATATCTTGTGACCGCCGATGAGAGAGCAGTGATTTATCGATCGGACCAAGGACGCGTAAAATACGTGCGAGCAGTCTAGAATGTTGATTGGTCCTGCTTTCCGCCTAGCCTAGTCAGTTACGTTCAGAACACCAATCCGAGCCTCTGCGATATGAATCGTTATGTTTCAAACATACTGAGTTTATCTACCTATCAAGCAGACCACAACGTACCATAAAATAGAAAATAACATTTGTACAAAATATGGCCAAATGTGGCTGTGAATGTAGAAGATAGTAAGTGATAAACAGGGCATAATTCAAAAATGGTAAATAATATAATAATAGTTCATAGGTCAAAATAAAGTTTATGATAACAGGAACATGAATATGAACAGTTTAGTTATTTAACAAGTATACGATAAAAATGTAGGCATAGTATTGGTCCATAAAAGGATCCCAAAGTTACCATTCATTATGCTTATCGGGACCTAACAATGACATTGGATGATGTGATTATCCAATGCTTTTCAATGATAACTGTTCCATTCTAAACAATATGATTCAACTTTTAGAACTGACAATAAAATCTAAATTTAAGATTGATTGATTAAGTTCAATTAACGCTGAATGACTAAACAGACGTAAGAATAATCACTACACAATTATTAACCAGTTGTAAACAATTCAATCTTATAGAAAGTCAATTGTGCGATGAATAACTTAATGGTAATAACCCAGTATGTGAATTAGAGTGTTCTCGTTTCAAATCTTACAGGAGTTATCAGTACCATCAATACTTTAAGTATGATTTTTTGATGAATCCTAACTAGCATGAAACCTTTGTAAAGTATAGTTTTATTTTGACTACTTCCAAACAATTCAGAAATGAAACATAAAATGTTATTCACTTGGTATTGTTTGGCTTGTATCTTCCCATTGAGGTTTTAAGACTGCAATTGATCAGTCTGTTATTGGCATATGTGTATAGTGTGCGTATGCCTCGATATTGCATTAATTCACAAGCTTTTATAAGCAATGATGGATAGTGGCTATCAGTGGAATCCAGGACGCGCGTTTCATCGCATTGTACAAGCAAATGGCTATCAGGACTCAGTAGCTAAGTGGATAACACGATGGTGTTTAAGGCTAATGGCACTAGGTTCAAGTCCCAGGGTGAACAACAACTCTTAGCTGCAGGTACATCTAGCTGACGAGTCCCAAATAGGATGAAACGCGCGTCCTGGATTCCACTGCTAGCAACTAGTCATCTTTGCTTATAAAATGTTATTAATCAAAAGTTGTATTTTTTACTTGATCCGATCGTAATTGTCGAATAACACGATCTCTTTCTTCTAATCCAACTCTTTGTTCATCTAAAACTTGATTTAAATTAGCAGTTTCTTCTTCAAATCGACGTAATTGTGATTGCATTGCTTCAATACGATGTATATGCTTTTCTTGCTAATCAATTAAATGTATAACAATAATAAAATAAAAATAAATTCATTTGAATAACTTAAGTATTAAGCTTAATTTATCATTATGGTCTAATTTGTAATAATAATAATTATTATTGTAAGTTCTTTAAAGAGTTTCCACATACTTGGAGGGATTTTGCAAGACAAGAGTTTTTTAGTAAACATGCAGTTGAGATGTCTAATCTCTAGGTTTATCAGACCATTTAGCTTACGAACTTCATTGGAGTTTTTCTCCTTGTACATTCTTTCTTTCACCCTCTGTAGTCGTTTTAGTTGTGAAGATGTAAGTTGATCAAAACTTACAAAAATGGTTTCCGTGGGACAACAAATATCAAAACAGAATTTAAGGTAACAAGTGATAACATCAGTAGTGTTTTCGAGTGAGTCATCTGTAAATAATTCCCAGTTAGTCGTATGAAACATGTTTTTCAGATTTTGGATGTTTTGGTCTGAGTAATTCCTATATTTGACTTTCTTGGTTTGATGTAAGAGTGTACTCTTCCCATGCTTTCCATATACTTTAGGTAGAACACGAATTATTCAGTGATCCGAGCTAGACAATGGAGCACGTTTGCGTGTCGCATATATACCCACATCATTAATGAAAACGAAGTCTAAATGAGCATCGAGACGGGTAGGAAAATCTACTACATTTTGATGACCTAGTGACGTAAGGAAGCTACAGTCACATGAATTGAAATCACCACATACAACTGAAAACTAATCACTGAAGGCGTTAACAGCGAACTCAGTGAACTCGTCAGCGAAAATACATAACGCAAATGATGTGCAGTCTGGAGTCACGTAGATATTGGTAACATAAACATATTTGTATTTATTCAGATGTTTTGGACGACATCTTAGAGTTAGACAGTCGATAAAGTCATTTGAAAACTTAAAACACGCAAACGAAGATCGACACCAGTTCACGTTTACAAACGTAGCTTCACCGCCGCCACACCTCTTTTTATTGTTTGGACGATCCTGACGATAAATTTTGAAATCACGTAGTGATACTAGGCAGTCGTCCTGTAAATCATTTAACCAAGATTCTTGAATTGTGATGACACCACAATTACTATACATATTTTGACTTGGTAGGAATTGCAGATAGTTCACTTTATTGATTAGTGGTCGGCAGTTAGAATTTAGCAGCTCTGGAATCGACATACGATTGATGTTCATTCTTTTTAACACATATTGCCAGCCACCACGATGTCTTTTATAGTACTTTTTGTAACTTGTGCAGCGAAATGTCGTAGGCTTTTCATAAACGCGCCTGTATAGGTTATGCGATTAATGGACGTAATGAGACGTTAAAACGAAATGAAAAAAACAGATAACTTGTTGAAATAATTAGATGACAGAAGCAGATAGCCCAGATATTTAAGCAGGCCGCTGTTTTTTTGCATGCATTCAAATCCATTGCCATTCATTCAATTCACAAACATGCTGTGTAGTGTACTAATGAAAAATTGTATTTTATAAATTCATCATATATACGTATCATAGCTAGTCATCATGACAAACCAATCAAAGTAGAGAAAGTAATTTAAAGGTCACTAAATACTAATAATATACAGCCATGCTAACTTACATTGTAATGAACTTCCATGAGCTTATCATAACTGAGTATTCAAAAAAAATGTGAAATGGCTAAAAACATTATGTTATACGATAGTAGACAAGAGATGACGGTATTCAAAGAAAAGAATTAAAATGAACTGTACTGAGTTCGAGTACGAGAATGAACATCAACATCCAGCTGACGATTCTGAAATAGAACGAAACGTGCATTCTCGATTCCACTGCTAGCCACTATCCGTCTTCGCTTATAATAATAATAATAATAATAATAATAATAATAATAATAATAATAATTATTATTATTATTATTATTATTATTATTATTATTATTATCATTATTATTACATCTTTACCCAACTGGATCACAAGGCAATCCTTCATTTAGAATCCTCAAGGTCAAAGAAGAAGAGAAAGACCAAACAACGCATTACGCCGAGAAATAGAGACAGACATGAAAAGAATGATCAACAATTGGATAGGACTGGAAAGGAAGACTGAGGACAGAGTGTGTTGAAGAATGCTGGTCGGTAGCCTATCCTCCACTGGGGGAGTAACAGACGTAAGTGAGTAAGTAAGTAAGTAAGCAAGTAATTGTTATATCTTTACACATTTAGATCCCAATATTTCCGTTGATTCTCGAGTCAGCACAATGACTCGTTTTTTCAAATCTATTTCATCAGTAAATATGAGATACCTCCCTTATATTTTACTAATTGTCTACTAACATACTTACTAATTATCTACCAAACCATTTTCACGATGGTGATGATAATGAAAAAGAGATTCTTCATTGTTTAAATTATAAATGATAGTAATGGATTATACAGCTCTTAGGTTGGAACATTCATGACTTTCACCACCACCAACAACAACAACAACGATGGCGACGACAATGATGACGACTACGACGACGACAAAACATATTAATCCATGTTATAAAACGAACATTCAATACATATATACATAAGAAATTAACCTACACATTCTTTTTCTATACGATTAATTGCATCTTCACGTTTACTAATTTCTTTTTTCAATGTATCAATTTCCACTTTTAAAGGCTATTTGAATAGATGGAATATAATACAAATAGTATAATAAAACATAGAATGAACTTATCATTATTGTAAAATATAACTGTATACAAGATGTTTCATTGCATAATAATCATAATTATAATTCTTCTTAGTTTCTTATGATTGGTTAGAGTTTCTTAGAAGAGTGCGTTTTCATAGAATGGGGTTGTTACCCACATGCTGGCAGTAATCCAAGTAGGATTCCAAGAAGAGTTCTATGATTCTTTTGGCAAGATTAACTTGTAATAACTCAGTCAGTCAGTCAATCAGTCAATCAGTCAGCTACAACGTAGGACCAGGCACATATATGCATCGGTACAAGTTGCCACACCTCATTAGCACAACAAGATGAACATCGGATTCATAGGAGTGGTTAAGTCAATGGTGGTAATATATAAAAGAAAGATTGTATATAAGGATATAGTATAGGAAGAAAGATTTAGTCCGTAGAAAGAAAGATATGAAGCGATTTTAATCTCATAGTTTAAGGGAAGACAGGGAGTGTATACACCGACGCCATTGTGATCGATTCTGAACCATGTCACACACAGTCTCCAACCATTGGTCACGATAGTCACGCGGACCCCAACCAAGTAGTCTGCATCTACCAACATGGCTCAGACTAGAAGTTAGTGACTTCAAGCACTGATGCCACGTTTTGGTTTGGCCGCCCCTTACTTTCTTCCAACCATCTCCAACACCGGATAGCATTGCGCGTCGTGGTAATCGGTATTCAGGCATACGTAACACGTGGCCGAGTCATCTCAGTCGATGAAGATTCACAACCTCATCAACTGATTTACTATCATTCCCTAATATCCTGCGTCTAACCTCACTATTACTTACCCGGTGATCCCAGCAGATGCCAGCAATATTTCTAAGGCATCTGTGATCGAGTACCAATAGCTTATGAGTATCTTCTACTCTTAATGGCCATGTTTCGCTGCCGTAAATTAAAACAGAACGGCCTGCCGTGCAGCATACTCGTCCCTTAATTGGTAGACAGATATCTCGCCTGTGCCATAGGTGACGTAATGAAGACTAAACGTTGAATAATCCCATATAAAACACTCTGCTAATAATCTCATCACATTATATATACAATCCATAAAATTGCGGATTTAAAATTCATTCAGTGTTGTTAATCATCTATCTTACATTTGTTATAGATTTCTAAAAAGAAAACTATTTGACAAATATAACTACTCACTGATCCTTTCAATTTAGAACCTGGTTCGATAGGACCTCCAAGCTCTTCAATTTGGATACGTGCATTGCTTAGCTCTTTTTGCAAATTGATTATTTCTTCAGATTGATTTCGAAGCTGAAGTAAAAATTATAAAGATTTCGTTAGCATAGAAGAATTGTAGACATTTTTAACCTGCAGTTAACAACTATTGAAGTCGTAATGAAGACAGTTTAGTCATGATGCAATAGGACAATAGGACATTGATCAAAAGGTAACGAGTATGTCAAAGAGATGAACACCCTGTATTTAATAACTGGAGAAGTTGTTTATGTAGATTACAGAAACTCCTTACATGACGACTTAACAACTATCCTATGCTCCTTGGCTTCTTAACTAAAGTCAATTTGTAATGTGATATACAAAATCTTATTCTCATAAGAACAACTTTCATGTTAATTATCATGATTGTGAGCATTTTTATCAAGTAAATACATAAATCGAATGATCATGACCAATTCATGTATTTACATGATATACGTCACATAATTTGGAAAGTCAATAGAACTCGCCATTTATTTTCTGTATGACCTTGTTTACTACACCAGGTTAATCAGTCGAATACAAATAAACCATATAGTTTTGTTTTAATCATCTTGATATTTCTGATTTTAAACTGAATAAGTCCCCGCCAAATTCGAAAATCGGTCATTATTCAAATTCATGAGAAAGCTTTCAGGTTGTTAATATTCTCCTGTTAAAGTTTTATTAACTCCACCTGGAGTCCCTCCGTGGGCTACTGCCGGTCCCAAGCCCGGATAAAGGAGGAGGGTTGGGCATGGGTTAGCGTCCCTATCCCGTAGAAAACTAACTCGCTAAAAAACGCTAACAAGAAAAAAATATTCAAACCTTTTAAACTCGGCCTTGGGAGTCAGAAGGTCTTCATTTAGAAGAACTATGACGTCTCATGATGAAAGCCGAATTCCTTCGGAAGTTACGAGGCCGACGCCCCTTCTGACAACCAGAGCGACTATTTATTTAGGTACATGGAATGTTCGTACAATGTGGGACACCGGGAGAGCCTTCCAAATTGCTGCAGAAATGAGAAGATACAACCTAGAGGTACTTGAAGTCAGTGAAACACATTGGACACAAATTGGACAACAACGACTAAATATAGGAGAGCTCCTGTTATAGTCCGGCCATGAAGAAGAAAATGCTCCACATACACAAGGAGTTGCATTGATGCTGTCCAAACAAGCGCAAAATGCACTTATAGGATAGGAATCTCATGGACCAAGGATCATCAAAGCCTCCTTCAAAACAAAGAAAGAGGGTATTTCAATGAACATCATCCAATGCTATGCACCTACCAACGACCACAATGAAGACGCTAAAGATCAATTCTACGATAGGCTGCAGTCAATCATCGAGAAGTGCCTAACAAAGGACCTGACCATTCTGATGGGAGATTTCAACGCCAAGGTTGGAACGGACAACACTGGATATGAAGACATCATGGGACGACACGGACTGGGAGAAAGAAACGAAAATGGTGAGAGATTTGCAAACCTATGTGCCTTCAATAAACTGGTCATAGGCGGCACCATATTCACCATCTTCTTTGTACTCATTCTTGCTCATATATTTCCGTAATAACGTCCTTTGTGTTATACGGTTTTCAAAACAGCCATTGTATTTTGATATGACAAAAACGTAATCTACAATAAATGCTGACCGCAAGGTATGACTTCAAAGTTAGCTAATTTATTACATCATTCCCGTCCAATTACAGTAGGCCTTCAATCAGTTGATAGAGATTATCAACGTTGGTGATCTACAATAGCTTATTTAAGGATTAGTAATGTGAACTACTTCAAATATAGACGATTATTTAACATGTCAGTTTACTATTAAGTATATCACTTACAAATCACCTAAAAAAAGAAACTTACATGAGTATTTTCCAATACATCTAATGCTCTAGTTTTTTCATCTAATTCTTGTTGTGTATGCCTTAAATCTTCTTGTAATGAATTTATTCTTTCTTCAAGTCGTTGTTTAATCACTTGAGAATCTTTTAATTCCGCACGTAAAATATTCAATGTTTCAGTTTCTGATTCTTTTATTGTTTCATGTGTATCAGTAATTTTTAATTCAAGTTCTTTATTACGTTCTTTATATAATTGTAATTCTTGTTTCATTTGATTTGTATTCGCTTGTGATGTACTTAATTCAATAGTCATTTGTTCTATTCTTCTTCCTTGATTTTGATATTCTCTATTTAATTGATCTAATTGTAATTGTAAGTGTTGTACCTGATAAACAGTTATGCACAATAAAGCAATTAATGAAATGAAACCAAAATTACATATATTTTTTGTAAGCAATGATGAATAGTGGTTAGCAATGGAAACCAGGATGCGCGTTACGTCCTATTTGGGACTCGTCAGCTGGATGGATGTACTTGCATCTCAGAGTTGATGTTCACCCTGGGACTCGAAGCCAGTAGCATTCGCTTCAAACGCCATCGTGTTATCCACTTAGCTACTGAGTCCTGATAGCCACTTGCTTATGAGATAGGGTGAAGTTTAAATTCATTTCGTATTGTTTGGCCTGTATCTTCCTATTGAGGACGAAACGCGCGTCCTGGATTCCACTGATAGCCACTATCCACCATTGCTTACAAAAAGCTTGTGAATTAAAGTAATATCGAGGCATACGCACAATATGCACATATGCCAATAACAGACTGATCAATTGCAGTCCTAAACCTCAATGGGAAGATTCAAGCCAAATAATACCAAGTGAATAAAATTATATATACTTTATAATGCAAACTACTATTCTTTAATTTGAGTAGTTTAATAATGGTCGAGCAAATTATGTAGTCAAGTAGATTCCTACAAATATTTCTGTTAAACCACAAGTTACCTAAGTGTAACTATAAGAGAACTGTAGTCACAAAATTTCACCAATTGAATATTATTGTAACAGACGGTTGGAAGTAATAAAAATTCACTTGAGCTTTCTTTCGTAATATTTAATACTCTCTAGAGTTTATAAATTGTTTCGTTTTCATGTGGCTTCCCTGGTGACCACCTCCAAGCACTCCACACTTAGATTGTTACTTTATTCACTAGTGCTAACTCCATCTACTAGATCAATACGTGCTAATCAACATAATAATTTGTCCATATCCATTGTCTCAATTGTAGATTGTTTGATAATGAAATGGTTAAGAACATATTCTTCACTGAAATATTTGTTTTATGCTTTAACTCAAGTTATATTAAATTCAGTTTATTTTGTTTAGTTAACCACAGTTTGGGATTAAACCTATTTAGTTGTGAACAATATTGATAAGACTTTCTTAGAATCTTATTAATTATGATATCAACACTGACATATCTATCGAATAGAAACAAAGTTTATATTGAACAATTAGGAAAAATTATAGACCTTTCATGTTATAAGCAAAGATGGATAGTGACTAGCAGTGAAATTCATAACGCGCGTTTCTTACTATTTCAGACTCGTCAACTGGACTTATCTGCACCTCATAGTTGATGTTCACTCATATATACACAGTATGTACATATGTTAATAAGAGACTGATCAATTACATTCTTAAACATCAATGGGAAGATTCATGTAAACAATACCAAGTGAATTTAACCTTCATGTTATAGTTATTTTCAACTATATATATATATATTCAGAATTGAAATATGATACTGCTTACTGATATTTTACGAATCACTGCTGAATGATCTGGGATTGAACTTAACACATGTTGTCATTCGCGAACTTGGAAGAACTGAAGCTCACTATCAAATTACTCTAATGATATTTAAACATGTAGTAACGGTTGCTACGTCAAGCTCATATACCTTATTCTAGGCTTCTCGACAGGTCAGTTTATCCATTCTTCTTGAGTCACGTTTTGACCTTCCTAACTGTTCACTTATCAACCCCGACTGTTTTTATATGAGTGTATATGTGTTAATATTCTTATTCCATAGCTTATTTTTATGTAACTATAAATAATGATTAAGGCTTACATGCGTTCTCCACTGCGCGTCATCTCGCTTCGCTATCTTCTCTTCGCTTCATTTCTCAGACTTATTTCAATTCCGTTATAAACTAGCGCAAGTCGATAAATATGTACGACGATAGAAAACATGTATATTTTAATAACATTGATACTATCCAATTGGAGTCAAATATAGAGCCATTAAAAACACATCATAAATATCATGAAACTAAATACAGATAATTACGATAAGTCAACTCACTTCATTGCGACTAGCCTTTATTTCATTACGTAATTGATTACATTCAAATTCTAGTTGTTGACAACGTTTTAATTCATCTGCTTGTTGTTGAGTCTTTTGTGAAAATTAAAAAAAAAACACGTTAAGCGATGAAAAGTAACAACATAATACTATCATATTATGAATCCATCAAGGAGCACCATTTCCCTAACGATTACACGCACAGCTTGCTAGCAAGTGCCAATTAGCACGAAACCCGAGTCCATGGTTTCCTGTTGACTACCTCCAACCACTATATTAAAAAAAACTATTCATTTATTCATGAATAGAACTGGTAGTAAATTTATTTATAAGGAATATTTCATTTAAATAGTTAAAATCATGAGTCAATTGAAGCTAGAACACTATGCAAAACTTGGATGCACAGGATGGCCGTTTCTTACTATCTTAGGACCCCTCAGCAGTGCACATCCACGATCCTGACTCGCGGGATTCGGACATAGGACCTATCGGTCTTGCACACGAACGCTTAACCACTAGACCACGGAGCTGGCCAGCATCCAACGGTGTTAATGTCTAATTTCAACCAATCCACGAAATTGATTGAAATATCCATCATTGTCATCAGTGAGTTACTATTATCTCACAACAGACCCGGTTGAACTCCACTGATCACTGCTTCTCACTAGAACTCCAGGAAATACCTGTTCAAGTCAGTCACTAATGAGCATATGTTCATTTCATAATTTTATTTATTTTGAATTAAACATTATTTATTTATGGTTTAGAAATTTCTTTCAGTTTTATGCAAAGATGAATGTTTAAGTCAAAGAGGGGATAATGATCATTTGAGATGCTCCTTTATCATCCCCAGATAATCTCCTTAGTAATCTCATATTGATCGTTTTGTGTCTATAATTAAATATAATAATGATTTCGCTTCTTATCATCTTCCTATCTCCTTGTTTTATTTTGGATATGATACACGAAAGAACATGCTGTCTGATTCGTCTGATATCGTAACCTCTTCAAGTTATTGAATTAGTCTGTAAACAAACTAATATCTGAAGATCCTAAACAAATTAACGGAATATTCATTTTAATGTTGTGTCAAAATCGACCGGTGATGAAATCTAACCTCCATTTGATTATAGAAATCGCTGAATCTACACTTGATCAGAACAAATTAACTTCTTTTTAAAGCTTGTTCTCTTACGAAAGATTTTGAAGTTGTTGCATTTTCAGATCTGAATAGCTTAATCATTTAGCCTTTTTTTATTGATATAAAATTCTAAAAGAATAAGACTTTTGAAATACCTCTATAAGCTTACTGGTGAACAACATGTTTTGTGAAAAGAAATACTTTGGATAATTATACCAGTGACTAAAAGAATCTTTACTATTCGTTGTTTGAAGTTAGTTAACAGGAAATCTTGGATTTAGGTTTCGTGTTAGTTGGCATTTATCATTAGGGTGCGCTTGGTATGTTGAATGAACAAACTTTCTCTATGTTCTGAATAAATCTGTATTGACGCCTAAAAACGGGAAAATGGGTGACAGGATTTCGAATAATACAGGCAAATTCAGTTCCATCAAGATTCTAGATACCCATCAGCGCAAGACCATAATTTATGGACGACCTTTGAACGAATCTTGAGTGACCTTGAATGATATTAACCGATCAGAAAGCAGCTTGCATAGAGCAAAAATATATTATATAGAACCAAAGAATTAACGTAGATACAATTCTTTTACATGGTTCAAAAAACGTATCAAAGTTAGAAAGAGTTTCAGAGGTTCTAAAATCGTAATGCATACGGTTTAGGAAATCACCAATATGGCTTCATAATAAATGGCCTCTTGAGTCTTGATAAGGTCGCGAAAACTCTTTCAACCTCGACTACATACTTTCAATATTGTTAGTGTGGATTCCGGCTGTAGGGTCAACAAAATTGCGCTAGTGGATAACGACTTGATACACATAACCAAGTCTACGTAGGCATCTGTACGCTCTCCAATCATCTGTATATATTGTAGTGCCTAGCTGCACATATTCCCGTATAATTGGTATTATTGTCGTTGCCTGTCGGTTTGTAGCCGTAAACATGCAGGGAGGTACGAAATAGATATACGCCACACAAATCATTCGATTTATGTGAGGGCTAGGATACTGCCCGAGTGCCCAAACGGGAGCGGTTTCTAACCCGTTGGAAGTATCTCTTTTCGGATGACCTATCATATATTTCAAGGACCTGTGAGGTATATGTATGGAAGTGCTACTTACCCAGTCTTCTCTAATACTACGTCCCCTGTTAAATTTTCGTTTCCTAACTACTGTTTGGTCTATTTCAAAGGTTCTCCCAACTCCCCCAAACGACTCGATTATGCCTGTCATTTTTATTACACATATATCGCGATAATACTCGTACATTGTTCTGTCGAAGCTTCAGTAACATCTGCAATGATTGCAGCTAGTGTGACTGGTGCTTCTACTATCCAATTCACAACAATTATGATGATTTGCCTTAGTCTCAATCTGGATCGTACTAAAAAAGTTCCTGTGTTAGCAGACCTTTCCCTCCAACATAAATAACATCGAAAGACAACCTCATCGCGGTAGTGTGCGCATAGTACAGCAGTCATTTGATTACCGCCGTCACAAATAAAGAAACTTCTTGGTAGTCCCATATGTTGTAGCCGCTAAATTATAATGTCTTCTCTAAAATCCGCTGTAAACTGATCGTACGTGAGCATCGGGTACTGAAATTGGTGCCATGACCTTGAAATCGCTCAAACATATCTGATTGGTTCGTCCATAAATTATAGTCTTGCCGATCTGGTGATCAGTCAAATAAGCGTAGTATTACTCAAGCTACAGTAAACATCACCATAGCAAAAACACTACTGCCGATAAACTCATCATATCACTAACTTGTCGTAGGATTCAATTGAAAAGTACAAACGCATTCTATCTAATATGATCTAAGCTGTCTAACAGTTAACGAATATATCTCTTAATGAATATAAGTATAAATCATTATGCAAAACCTTTAAGAAAGAAAAAAAAACAACAACATTTCCTTATGTATTTACATGTGATTCTGCAATATTTAATCGTTGTGACATTTCATTGATACGTTGTTCAAGTTCTGAACAATATTGCCGTACATTGTTCAATTGATTCACTGCATTTTCAAGCTAAAATGCATTTTTTTCAATAAAAAAAGAAAGAAACAGGAAAGAGTTGTAGTGACGTATTTTTATCAAGAGAACGCGATTGGTTTAATGAAAATAATAATTATTATAACCAATTGGTACCAGTGATTGTTTTACTGTACTTGTTTGTTTAACTTTACTAAAGACATTCTTTAACTCCGCCTGGAGTCCCTACGGGGGCTACTGCCGGTCCGAAGCCCGGATAAAGGAGGAGTGTTGGGCATGGGGTTAGCGTCCCGATCCCGTAGAAAACTAACTCGCTAAAAAAACGCTAACCAGAAAAAAAGGCATTCTTTCCTCGTTGATTGTGACCTTGCACGAAATCAGTTACGCTTAGTAACCTCACTCGTAACCTGGCACGATCTCGGTATTCTTTCGATACCACGAGATTGTCAATAAATACATCTCGACTACGGCCATCAACTGCCTTCTGGTATTTGGCCTACAGGGGATCTTATCGGTTAACTGGCACGTAGTCTTCCTGTAGTAGTGATCATAGTCAACCGCGACTCGACGCCACACTACAGAGTAAACATTTAATAGGTGAAAATTCTAAGAAGAAAACGAATGAAGGTTATTTTCTAATAGAAAGATCTGTATTATTTGAAACAGTTGATTGTGAATTAATAGTATCTGGTTCATTCATCAAATGTTATTCTGTTTTTTTCTAATACATGAGATCATGAGTTAATTGAAGTTAGAAAGCTGTGAGCATTGGACGGCCGTTTTGTTCTACTTTGGGACTTCTCGACAGTGCGCATCCACGATTCCGTCTCGCAAGATTCCAACCCAGGACCTCTAGACCACTGAGCTGACCCGCACTCAACAATGTTGATGTCTAATTTCAACTAATCCATGAAATTGATCGACACATTAACCATTGTCTTCAGTGAGTTACTATATCACAACAAACCCAGTTGGAATCTACTAGTCACTGCTTCTCACTAGAACTCTAGGAAATACCTATTGAAGCTAGTCACTAGTGAGAATATGTTGATTAATATCAAAAGGGGTTCTTTGTGGATATTCTGGTTGTTGAAAATGATCTATGATCATGAATGTTATGTTGTTCATGAACTACAGTAAATGGTCAAATAAATCAAAATAGAAAACTTTGGAAGCACCATCAAATAATATGTTTACAATACATATTTATTATTTGGTTAGTTTATGATATTCATTTTCCACCTTTGTGCTGTGTACCCGTATGGTTGCGCTACAGGATTGAGCCTATTTGGTATCTGACTCTCCTGTGAAGCGGGGTTCAGCTGTACTGTTCGGATTATAAATTTTTAGCCTGGATAGTGTCTGGCTCTCATGCAATCAGGATTGAGCCGTACTGTTTGGGTTGTCACATGAAATTCTAGATGGTGTCCGGTTCTTCTGAAAACCAATGTAAAATTACCCTGGCCTATAAGGGTATATCATATTATATAACTTATGATATTCAGATATTTTTCCTGATTGTAAACAACTGTCTGAACTGTTAGCTGTTTCCATAGTTTTTTTCACTTAACAATTACATTACATTAATATTAAACCTATTTGTCTATTTAATACACATTAGGATTTGTTATTTATGTCCTATCATGGTCTCGTATTGCATATATACTAAGGTCATCAAGGTTTAAAATTCTGATGATTACAGAGTAGTGCATGCTGCTCATTTAGTCTTTCTAGCTTTTTAATTGGTAGTTTTAAGAGCGATTTAGAATAAGATATAGGAAATTGATCATTATGGTAATATATAGTAAAAAGTGTTACGTAATTAATTATTGATGGGTATAGAAGTAAAATAACTCCGCCTAGAGTTCCTCCGGGGGCTACTGCCGGTTCCATGCACGGTTAAAGGAGGAGGGTTGGGCATAGGGTTAGCGACCCCATCCCGTAGAAAACTAACTCGCTAAAAAACGCTAACCAGAAAAAATAGAAGTAAAATGTTAAAATGGTGGGGAAGATTTGTAGCTCAGTTGGATGATTTAGATGAAGTTTTGTTCTCTGGGTTCGATGGTTTGATCATAGAGTTTTCATTGTTCTTCCAAACAATATCATCAGCACAAACTTCACATAGAATTGAAATGTTCGAGTTTTTCCACATGTAACTCACAGCTATGGACACAAATTCAACTGGAAAAATGTTAAGATCTTGAATAGTGGGAATACTAAAAGCATCAGAGAAGCTCAGCACTCAGTTCACTCAGAAATCAACAAACACATTGATATTGATCCAATCTATCAACCAATCAGAAAAATCATGGACAAATAATGGACCAAGAATCAAACCAAAGAAAGATACAATCAAAATAAAGAGGTGTATAATGACAGGTTAAAGGCCAATAATAACCAGTTAAGATCAAGGTTTATGGGACAAACTGGAAGTTATATGTGCAGAAATTGGAACACTTCACTCCTACCTGAAGTTTATGCTGATGATGTCGTTCAAAAGAACAATGAAAGCTCTATGATCAAACCAACCAGCTCAGTGAACAAAACTCCACTTGGAAACTAAATGTATGATAACATGAATAATGAATAAATCTTTATTTACAATAAATTAGATTGTTAGTTATTTCAATTGATGATAATCTAACCAAAAGAAAATGTTTTATAAATCTTTGAAAAAAATCACCTGACTTGTTTTCTCAATCAACAGTTGTTGTGTATGGGTCAGTTTATCTTTTGCTTCATCCGATTTCGTTTGAAGTTCACGTTGAGTCTTGATCTAAAGAAGATCACATAAACAAGATGAATGTAATTTATAAATATTTTTGTGCATATATTGTTATACAGTAGGCGATGAAACATTAATCAGAATATATATTCTTTAAAGTGTATCTATACTTAGGAATGGGATTTAGACGATTATATTCACAAGAACCTTCTGGAGACAGACATATACACAGAGAAAGAGAGAAATAACGAATGATTATGTTGGTATCACCGCAATCGATTGCCAGTTACATCACACGAGTTTCTAGAAAGGTAATATTGTCTATCCCAACTGAAAAGTTTATATTTTCTGGAACTACTCAATCTCATGTTATGTCAGCTAGTCAGTCAGTTAGCTACAACGAAGAATCAGGTACATATGTGCATCGGTCCGACCTGCCGTACCGCATTAGCACTACAAGATGAACACCGGATTCATAGAAGTGGTTAATTCAATGGTGGTAATATATAAAAGAAAGATTGCATATAAGGATATAGTACAGGAAGAGAGAATTAATCCGTAGAAAGAAAGGTATGAAGCGATTTTAATCTCATAGTCATGTTATGTAACTTGATTTGATGTACTACCTTGATCTCAATATGTTAAAGATGATGAAATATAGTACATTATTTAATTTCTATAAGTTCTATCGTTTCATCACGGTAATGTAACTTACATATACAAAGTTGAATACGAGAGTGATTGAGGATGAGTATATTTCATGTGTTACAATATACCTGATTGGGTTAAAATGATGCATTTATCGAATAGAGTTGCTTGAATAAAAATAAATTGAATAAATGTATAACAAGAAATGCTGCAAGTGGATGAGAAGTAATTTTTGAAGTATTCACCTCTAGCTTTGCTTACGCTAATACAACACCTGTCCCAATCAACACAATCAATGTAAGTTGACAAGATCATTCACTGGTTTACTCAACTTCAGCATCAAACACTCATTCGTTTCACGATATTCTGCTAAGACTTTCAAACCATTCATGGTGGCATACTATCAACCCATTTATTTTTTCAACTAATGAAAAAACTGTATATCATGGTTACAAAGTCATACAATGAGAATTGGTGAACATTATGCCAATCTTTTGAGAGGTAGATATTACATATTTCTTATTGGAACTATAGCAACTCAAGTGCAATTGAGTCTGTTCACATTTAATTTGGTTAAGTCATTTTGTTAACTTATTAACGAACTGAGTCATCCGTACAACAACAACTTATCTATTACATTGTATCTTTTTTATTGTTGAGAGCGTATGAACGTGTATGCTTGAGCATTGCTTCTTGCCCACGCATTTATTCACGCTGCTAGCCTTACTACTAACCCCTAAATTGATTCGATGATTCATTCATTTCACTATGTATATATATGTCCATCTTATTCATGTTCATTGATCTCTCTCGCTTAAGTGTACTCGCTTACTCGTACTCATATTCGCTGACTCACTCGTTTGCCTTACGGCACAACTCTTTCATGTTTGTTTAACGCACCTGTAATTTTAGATATCTGTGTGTGGTCACATAATAAACGTAATCAACACTCCGTATTCGCCTTCTAATTAATATACCGTTGGGGCATCATCTAGTGATGGTTATCAAGACGAACTTTATACGAAGTTTAAGGATTATATTGAATACCGACCACCACAGATCGTTTATTATTTAGATTCACTACATTTTATTAAACAGTATCAAGTTCAAAAGATATCAGATGTCATTACATTGTAATAATGCATTTTTTAATCTGTCTGATTCAAATGGATTAGCCTAATTAGAAATGAGAATGACTTCATCATAGTATTATTGACCATTTATTTAGTTTTTTTTCTCAGGTTAACCTCAATGTTTCAGATGAATGCTTTTCCAAGCCCTCAAATGTCCTGATACGGCCGAGAGTAGTGAGAGTCAGCCACTCTCTCGAAATGCTCTCATATGGCCTCGTGCATACAACCACTAACAGGGAAGTCCTACTCACTGCCTTCTCGCACCAGCGATGTTGTTTACGAAGTTGAAAGAACTAAATCGAATGTCCGGTGCTCTAACCGAATTGGTGGATATGGAGAATCCATCTGGGAGGGAGTTTAAAAAAACCCTGATTCCAAACCAATGGTCCACATAGGCTCCACCATCCTGAAGGAGCAAATGGCATATGAACCAATTATTGGTCGCCGGCTACCATGGAACTACATCTCCTGATGTTGCTCCACTACCTTGTGGATTAGACCTTTACGTCAAAGGTTCCAGGTGTGGCCTCTGTTGTGTCCCGATAAGAATAATGAATGGAAATTTTTGGGATCCAATTATGGACCAATATTATGAGTATATTTTTATCGTATAATTGTTATGCAACTAAACTGTTCATATTCGTACCCCTCTTATTCTGAGCTTTATGTTGACCTATGAACTACTATCGTACGATTCACCATTCATGAATTATACCCTATCTGTTAATCGCCTATCCCTCATTCACAGCCACTTCTGGCTAATTATTGTACAAATGTTATTTTCTATTTTATTGGTACGTTGTGGTCTGTTTGATTGGTATATAAACAGAGTATGCTTGAAATACAATGATTCATATCTCAGAGGCTGAGACTTGCATTCTGGACTCAACTGGCTTGGCTAGACAGGGAAGCAGGGTCAATCAGAATTCTAGGTCGTTCTTACGTGTTCTACGCGTCTTTGGTCTGATCGATAATACACTGCTCTCTAATCTTTCAGTCAAGGACACAACAATTGGCACGGGTAAAAATCGATCTAAGTTCCAGTCACAACAGCCTCCTAAGAAGACCACTTGTTTCGATTTGAGCACGCAACCCTCATAAAAATCGAATGATTTATGTATCGTATATCTATTTTGATGCCTCTTTGTATTATTGTTTATGTGTTCAAATAAAATAAATATATTCACTATTGTCTTCAGTGAGTTACTATCTCACAACAGACCTGGTTGAACTCCACTGGTCACTACTTCTCACTAGAACTCCAGGATATACCTCGTGAAGCCAGTCACTAGTGAGCATATGTTGATTAATATCAGATGGGTTTTTTTTGTGGAGATTGTAGTAATTTCAATGGTTAAGACCATGAGTCAGTTGAAGCCAGACCACCATGGAAAACCTGGAAGCACTGGACGGCCGTCTCGTCCTGTTGTGGGACTCCTCAGCAGTGCGCATCTACGACCTCGCCCCCTGCGAGATTCGAACCCAAGACCTACTGGTTTCGCGCGCGAGCACTTAACCACTAGATCACTGAGCCGGCCAGCATCCAACGGTGTTAATGTCTAACTTCAACTAATCCACGAAATTGAACGGCACATTCATCATTGGTCTAGCTTTAACTGACTCATGATCTTAACCATTGGAACTACTATAATCTCCACAAAAAAAACCTATCTGATATTAAGATAAATATAATAAATAACCTCAATGTTTCAATTAAAAATGAACTTACTAATTCATTGTTACATTCATTTTTTTGTTTTTCTAATTCTTTAATTTGTTCTTTGAATTGTTCAACATCATTTGTAAGATTCTTTATATCATTTTTTAAATTATCAACTAAATTATGAGCTTGTTGTTCTGATTCTTGACTAGTTCTTAATTGATTTTGTAAATGTTCACATTCTCTATGTAAACGATCCATTTCTCTAGAAAGTTGAATTGTTCCAGGTGTTGTTCCATATAATGGAATATTATCATAACTTCCTGGACCAGCAGATGCTGGACGCATACCACTAGTTGAACTACTTATTCCAAATATATTAGTTACTGTACCTGAACCAGTTCGTCCCATACTACGTTTTAACTGTTTGGTTAAAATGAATTAAATAATATAATGATACTCATTTCAGTATTGTAAAACAAATCATATTTAATTATAATGTAGTGATTGAGAACATAACTGGGGACAGTCGAACGTAATTGAATACAAAATTACAGAACATCTTATTATGATCTGAGAATACTTCATTTGCAAAATGTCGATCCAATGTCTCAAACTTCACTGTTTCTTTTGCAAATATCAGTCAGTCATCTCAGACTTCACTGTTCTTGCACTTTCATAATAATTGCTTTCTGTTCCCGTTCCTTTCTTCTCGATTTTCTGTTGCCAGACATTCTAATCCTGACCATCGTTATATACTACTCATGTTGATATAAGAAGCACACACACCACAATATTATATAATTAATCATGAGGAATGAAGCTTAAAAGTTCTTATTACGTTTCATACATTTCTCTTCATCTATTTCCTTTTCTCACATTAAGTCTTGACCTACTTATCATCCTACTATCAAGTAACTTATAAATTGTCTTGATTGTTCTTACAGTTTTCTGATTATCCATATAACTATCAATAGATATGGATCATTGGTGGAAATACAACTAAACAAAAGGTTGTACCATAAGCAAAGATGGATAGTGGTCAGCAGTGGAATCCAGGACGCGCATTTCGTCCTACTTCGGACTCGTCAGCCCGATCTACCTGCATCTCAGAGTTCATGTTCATTTTGGGACTCCAATCCAGTACTGTTCGCTTCAAACACAATCGCGTTATTCACTTACCCACCAAGTCCTGATAGCCACCTGTTTGTGCAATGGAGTGAAGTTTAAATTAACTTAGTATTGTTTAATTGAATCTTCCCATTGATATTTAGGACTGCAATTGATCAGTCCCTTATTGGTATATGTTCATACTATGCGTATTGTCTTGATATTGCCTTACTTCTCAAGCATTATAAATAGAGCTGGACAGTGGCTAGCAGTGGAATTCAGAACGCACGTTTCGTCCTATCTGAGACTCGTCAGCTGAATATGCGTCGTTATAATGCTTGTGAATTAAGGCAATATCGAAGCAATCCACACAACATGCACATATGCCAGTAAGAGACTACAGTCCTAAATAACAATAGGAAAATACAAGTAAACAATACGAAGTGAATTTAAAAAGTTGCATCCTTTTGTCTGCTAATATATATAGTAATTTTTTACATGTTTAGACCAACTTTCGTTTAGATCCTATTAAAAATAGGTTGTATTTCAATTGATTAAGATAAAATTCAAACAGTAGTATCCCAATATATTTGAAAAGTTGTTAACATATTGTCAAGTTAAACGCTTGTTTCATTATAACTTAGACATCATGTTGTGGGGCACTTTTTTATTGTCGTCATTTAGATCGGACGATGTTTGTTGATGGGCTCTCCACTTTAGTGGCCCGTGGATCTGATTCCAAGTAGATCGTATGAGTGATTGTTGTCGAAATATATATGCCGCTTATCCTCCTATATAGTTATCGACTTAAATCGCGTTAGTCAATAAAGGAATTAAATAAGTCAAATAACGAGAATGGATTATTGAATACATATATTTTGTATATGAAGCGAAAGGAATAGAGAGAAGAGAAACGACGCGCAGTGGAAATGGAGGGTAAGCCAACTCCAATTAACCAAGAGTTAATCAATATTTATAGTCACACAAAAATAGGTTACAGACGTATGATGAGTAATGGGATAAGAAGTGTACACACACATATACGTTCATATAAAAACAGTCAATGTTGATAAGTGAGTAATTAACAAGGTCAGGATGTGACTCAAGTAGGATGAATAGAATGGGCTATCCGATACCTAGAATAAGGTATATGGGCTTAACATAATAACCGACAATACAATGTAATAATTTAGTTATGTAAGAGAAATAATAATAATGTTACCTGATCTAATTGATCTCTTAAACTATCTCTTTGTCGAGCAATTGAATCACAGTTTGATTGTGTTTCTTGTAATTGACGACTAAGTTGTTGAACACGTGAACTAGCTTGTTTGAATTCTCTTTGATAGCGTTCTGATTCATTTGTAGCATTTTGTACGGATTGTGTTAAATTTGTAATTTGTTGTTGTAAATTTTGCTAGAAAAAAGGTAAATAAGGAAATGATGTCTTTTCATTAATTGTACTAGATTGTTACGAATTGAATATTGGAACAACAACAGTTTCAGTTAGATATCGATTATATTTAGCTTGAATAATGAACCTATCTAATCACTAAACTGTATCACAGGTCAAACACTAATTCGGAATCCTGACGGCAAACGGAAAAGAAGAAAGCTAAAGAATACACTATATCGGGAAATGGAAGCAAAGATGAAAAGGATAAATAGCTACTGGAAAGGATTGCCTGGGACAAGGTTGGCTGGAAAATGCTAGTGGACGGGCCCATGCTCCTCGACGAAAGGTAACAGGCGTAAGTAAGTAGGTTATGAACCCATCTCTGACCTATTGTAAGAAAGATAGCTTCATAGTTAAGTTAATCAACTCGATTTGATCGAAGTCATTGATAATGCCAGCAGTGATTATATGTCAACATGTTTACTCTTAAGTCTGAAGTTTCATGAAATAATCTTATGTTGCTGTGAGTTTGTATTATTTATTGCAAAATATGAAGAACTGGTCGATAATGTCTTCTTGTTATCATCACTGAACCTCAAGTTGATGACAGTTGATAAAAGAATCTATTTTCAAAACAAATACAACCAGTAGATACACATTAACGTCTTAATTCATCCACTATAAGAAGTATATTAAAATACATATAACGAAACATGTTATGGTATTTTCGGCGAAACTATAATTTATGGACGAACAAATCATGTATAAGATAACAGGTCTCGGAGTTTGATGCGAAATTCACTCATCTATTTGGCTAAATACAGTTTTGGCATTATAGCTGATGTCATTTAGTGATGAAATCCTTAAATGTAATTCCTAACCCTAACCATCAACTGTGAATCATAAATCGAATTGTTCACACAAGTTTATAACCTTCATTTAGTCCTAGTTATTAGGTAGATACTCTCAAGGTCAGCCTAGTGTCGCTCAAAGATCGTCGATAAACTAAAGTCTCACGGTATTTTCTATACCAAGGCTGAAGAATAATAACAAGTCTTTAGTGTTACAGTCTAACTAACTGAGTAACTAACTAACTAATGTTTCCGATTACTGCTTATACTCTTACTACCCCTACCACTACGGAATTTGAGTCGACAACTGCATCTCTGTGCTAATGTGGTGTGGCGACTCGAACTGATGTACGTACGTACGAAGTTCTACGTTGTTACTGACTGACTGACTGACTGACTAACTAAGGTCCTATAATTTTGATTATTTTGTACTAAAACTGAATGACTCAAATGTAACTGGTTCATGAAGTAAACGATTCTATATGTGAACCAAGAAATCATAATACAGTGATAGGAAATTTGAGGGGTTCATTATGTGAATGTAAAGTCCTAGTTGTGATTTCGGATGTGAACACGAGTGTATTTTACTGTTAGTCTATCTAACACTAAGATAAAACAGCTAATCATAATCCTCTGCTTATCTATGACTAGTCAGCTAAAATCAACCTGTGATGATAACTATTTTCAAATGAAACTAAACTTTTAGGAATTGTAGCGATTGTTTACACAACAAAGCCATTGCCATAGTTTGGTTAACAATTGTTCAATTCTATTGATTGCAACTGTTTTATTCTTGACATATGTGAACTTCGTCAGTCATGACTTCTTACTATACATTGCAGTTTGTCTTGATTTTTATGCTTAAAGAGTTCTGGATGTTCACTGACAAAAAGTCCCACACAATGATGAAACGATTGTCTAATGTGATCCCGGTAATCTCAACCGAGATCAGTATATGATGAATATAACTCACAAATTAAGCCAACCTCAACAAAATGTCTTCGAGGAACTTAAATTACTTAATAAATGTATACGAAAGACCAATTTATATGTTCAGGTATTGGCCTAAAATAACCTTGAAAATTTAATGAAGTAACTTTCTATTTAAAAAAATGTATCAACATATATATATATATATATATATATATATATATATATATATATATATATATATCGATGCTTACTTTATCCAACATATATTGTTGTTGTATATCCAGTGTAGACGTTTCAGCTCTAGCTAAATTAGTTGTCAATTGTTCACGTGCAATATCACGATCTTCAATAGCTTGACGAAGACGAACTTGTAAATCAGCTATTAATAATTGTTGATTAGTGGAATCAGTATGACGTGCATCTGGTGTAGTCGATAATGATGTATATTGACGATCTATCTGTTTATTCAAGCATGTAATCTATGAATAAAAGAATTTCAAGTGAATAATAATACATTTGAGCATCTTATTAAATACTTATGATACATTTCCATTTATAAGTTATATTTGGTGAGGAATGATTTCATTTGGAGTACTAATCGAAGGTTGACTTACGCCTGTTACTCCTAAAGGAGCATAGGCCGCCGACTAGTATTCTCCAACCAACTCTGTTCTCAGCCTTTCTTTCTAGTTCTATCCAATTGTTATTCGTTCGTCTCATGTCTGTCTCCATTTCTCGATATGATGTGTTCTTTGGTCTTCAACTTCTCCTCACGCCCTGAGGATTCCATGTGAGGGCTCGCCTGGTGACGCAGTTTGGTGCTTTACTCAATCTGTGTCCTATCCACTTGCTGCGCTTCTTCCTGATTTCTTTCTTCCGCTACAATCTGGTTTGTTCTCTCCCACCGTAGGTTGTTGCTGATAATATCTGAATAACGGATTCGAAGTATTTTGCGTTGACAAATGTTAATAAACACTTGTATCTTCTGGATGATGTCTATCACTTACCAACATGACAATTTAAAACAACAAAACTTATAGACTACTTGTACTACAGTCAATAGAAATGTTTTAATTGATTATCAAAAGTTGTCCGTCTCAAGTCTATCTGTTGGATTCTTTTAAATAAGAATCAGTATTTAGATTAAAATCATTACCAATAATGCGTTTTCAATTCAGATAAGTTTCTTATGAAAGGTCTCATTTGAATGGATGAACAAAAGGGTTAACACTATAGTTTCTATGTAATTATCTACATGTATGAGAACATATCCTTATGATTGAAAAGCTATGAGGTCATATGTCAGTTGCAGCATAAACATATTAAATAATGATAATATTACTATGTTCCGTAATTTATCACTTATTTGATTGTTTACAATACATAAATGGGGAAATACTTGACCGAAATAGTGACATCTGTTCCAATCTTCTGTGATGATACATTAGTATGTTCAAGATTTCATATACACCCTACTGATGAGAGCCAACTAGAATAAAACACGGGCTTATTAGTTAGTTAGTTACGCCTGTGACTCCTAATGGAGCATAGGCTGCCAACCAGCATTCTTCAACACACGCTGTCCTCAGCCTTTCTTTCTAGTTCCATCCAATTCTTGTTCATTCTTCTTCTATCTGTCTTCGTTTCTCGACGTGATGTTTTCTTTGGTCTTCAACTTCTCCTTTGACCTTGAGGATTCCAAGTGAGGACATGCCTGGTGACGCAGTTCGGTGCTTTTCTCAATGTGTGTCCTATCCACTCCTAGCTCTTCTTCCTGATTTCTTCCTCTGTTGGGATCTGCATTGTTCTCTCCCAAGTAGATTGTTGCTTATTGCTTTCTGTTAATTTTCCCTAACTGTCTAATATTAGAGGTTTAACTTACAGATTAAAGAAAATTGACAACTAATTCATTAAAAGTGACAGGAAAACCGAGTTGATTTGAAAATCATTAATAAAATCAATGTAGGACTTGATTACTCAAGAGGCGTTTTATCAACTCCGTCTTTTCACCATATATTTGGAAGTATTTTAAGTATTTCATTGAGTCGGTATCTATTGAGCTGCTTCATAAAAAAGCGATTACAACAAATGAAAATACTTGAAACAAACAAAAATACAAATTAATAAACATTCACCTGAGCTTCCTTACGTTCCAGTTCTTTATGAAGTTCTTCAATTTTTAACGTCAACTGATGAGGAGGTTGGCTTGAGGTACGCTAAAGATCAATAAAATATAAATTTAAAAAGCATACAATTAGATAAAATCATCAATCAGTATAAATATTATATTGGGATTTAAATGTAGCCATCATTGAAGTTTATCGTCCCAGATTTGATTAAGTTTAGCGTCTAAAGTACATTGTAATGACGAACACCGTTTCAATCAATCAGTAATCGGTGTTTACGTATGGAAGAACGAATAGTGAGGCTGAACTACGAAGATGGGTTTAAGTGACTTCAGGTAACCTTGACAACTTTTAACCCGTTCAACTAACAAAATACAATACAAATGGATAAATGATTTGTGATAAGAATTTAAGTTAGCTTTTCGAATTTTTGTTTAAGAGATTACTCTATATAGCTACAAAGTGTTCTTGTATGATAACTAGTGCGATTTTGTGATGAGAACATTAAATTAAACTCTTAATTTGTTTAATCACTTGTAGGGAACATACTGTTCTGATAGACAAGCATATGCCGTAACCTTGAAATAGTTTGTATGTTTGTGGTTGGCTCGCTATTATCAGTCAATCAGTAAATGTAGGACCAGACACATATATGCATTGGTTCAAAATGCCGTACCTCATTATCAGAACAAGATGAACATCGGATTCATAGAAGTAGTTAATTCAATGGTGGTAATATATAAAAGAAAGATTACATATAAGGATATAGTACAGGAAGAAAGAATTAGTTCGTAGAAAGAAAGTTGTGAAGCGATTTTAATCTCATAGTTTAAGGGAAGACAGACAATGTATAAACCTACACCATTGTGATCGATTCTGAGCCATTTCACCCAGAGTCTCCAACCATTGGTTATGATAGTCACGAGGACCTCAGCCAAGTAGTCTGCATCTACAAACATGGCTAAGGCTAGGTATTTTAATTCAACTTTATGGAATTCACGATTCAAAAGTACAAAATTTACAATAAACATGTATTTTTTGTGTAATCAATGAACGTCCAACAACTGGAATTCCGTTTATTCACTTTAGAATCTGAAAACATTGAGTAAACAAACTTATTTATATGACTAAAATATATTCTTCTTTGAAAGAGTTTGTACATCTAGAAGTATTACTTCAAACGACCTTAAATATCTTCTGTGGTGTTAGTGTGAACTCTATTTGATGTGTAATACATTATTAATTCATTAGAATGTAATTTACTTAAATAAATAGTTCAAATATGGATTGTTTTATTGTACCAAAGATATAAAGATGTAGGAAAACAACTTCAAGAAATCATACAAACAACGTTGAATAGGTTGTGAATCATAAAATGTACGCTATGGAAAATTACAAATGTCTAATAACCACTATAAGAATTGATCAAACTAAAGATGATTTCATATTGTCAATAATAAATACAACATTATGTCTTTTAACTCTGTATAGAGTAGTGGAGATTATTGAGTTTTATTTAAGATAATGAACCGATCAATGTTCTAGCGCAGGGTTTCTCAGAAGTGCACATTCACGATGACGTGCGTGGGACTCGAACCTAGGACATTCGGTCTCGAAAGCGAAAGTTCTTTTTCTTGTCTAATCTTAATTAGAGTTTTACTGATATTCATTTTTAAATCAACCAAGATGGTTACTCAAGATGATGAAGAAGATTTGTAGCTCAGATAGATGATCTTGATGGAGTTTAGTTCTCTGAGATGAATGGCTTGGTTGTAGAGATTTAATCGTTCTTCTGAACGACAATCATCAACACAAAATTCACATAGACATGAAATATTCGAACTTCTTCACATGTGCTTCACAGCGTATCCTGTACACCTCGGTGTTCATTAGTTCTTGCTGACCTTGAACTTGTCATTGTTTACTTCTTTGTTTTGGTTATATCTCTCATTGGTTTGATTTTCGGTCCTATATTTGTGCATAATTTCCCTGATTACTTGATAAATTGGATGGATTTCAATGTGGTTGTTGATTTCTGATTGACCTGAATGTTAAGCTTCTAGAAATTCTCTCATGTTTTTGAAGTTACCTGTATTCAACATTTCCAATTTTTTCTAGTCGAATGTGTGTCCGTAGTTGTCATGGCATTTAACTACTAATTGATGTTCATCATGGAGGTGAAGATAAATATAGCATCCGTTTTGTCCAATGTAGTGTTTTGTCTTCTTTTATCATTTCATCCTTTGGCCAAACTGTGAATCATATGTGAAGAAATTCGAATATTTTACTTCTACCTGAAGTAAAGAAGAATGATGAAAGCTGAACCATATCATGATGTTGTTCAGAAGAACTTTATATCTTCACAACCAAATCATCCATCTCAGAAAACAAAACTCTAAGAAAAAATGTTTACTCAAATTATAGATCATTTCAAATTAAATTGATAGAGTTTTATAAAACATTTCACAATTCGTTTGACCATTGAAAAATAATTGAAATATATATTACTGATTGAAATCATGAGTCAATTGAAGCTAGACCACCATGGAAAACCTGGAAGCACTGGACGGCCGTTTCGTCCTAGTATGGGACTCCTCAGCAGCGCACATCCACGATCCCGAACCCCGCGAGATCCGAGCCCAGGGTCTATTAATCTCGAGCCAGGCGCTTAACCAACTAGACAAATGAGCTGGCCGGCATCCAACGGTGTTAATGTCTAACTTCAACCAATTCACGAAGTTGTGCCACCGTACATCATTGTCTTCAGTGAGTTGATATCTCACAACAGACCTGGTTGAACTCCACTGGTAACGGCTTCTGGCTAGAACTCCAAGAAATACCTGTTGAAGCCAGACATTAGTGAGCAGTGCTTGCAGGTTTTCCATGGTGGTCTAGCTTCAATTGACTCATGATTTCAATCAGTGAAATTTCTACAATCACCACAAAAACCCCTTTTAATAAATATATAATAATCAATAATAATTAAAAGAGAAAGAAAAAAGAAAGAACAAAAGAGAAAGAAGATATTTACCGTATCAGAAATTTGTTCATTTAATTCATTGATTTTATTTCGTAATTGTTCTTCTAATTTTTTACATTTTTCGTTTTCTTGTTCATATTGTACTTGTAAATGATCATATTGAGTTTTCATTTGATCATACTAACAATTATTGTTTTAGAGAATTAAGTAATATATAGATATATATCAACTATTACATAAGTCACCATGGAAAACCTGAAAACACAGGACGGCGGTTTCATCTTAGTATGAGACTCCACAGTATTACCTATCTATGATCACGTCCAGTGCTTCCATGTGTTTCCATGGTGATCTAGCTTCAATTGACTTATGAATTCAACTATAAAATTACTAAAAAACTTCCACAAAACCCTTTCTGACATTAAATATATTGTTTGTTCGAATCTTCCCATTGATGTTTAGGACTACAATTGATGAGTCACTTATGAGTAGATGTACAAACTGTACGTATTGCCTCAATATTGCCTTATTCACAAGCATTCTAAGCAAAGATGAATAGTGGCTAGTAGTAGAATCCAGAATGCGCGTTTCGTCCTATTTCAGACTCGTCGGCTGGATACACCTACATCTCGGAGTTGATATTTACTCTGGGACTCGAACCCAGTATCATTCGCTCCAAACGCCATCGCGTTATTCACTTAGCTACTGAGTTCTGATAGCTAATTGCTTTTGCGATGGGATAAAGTTTAAATTCACTTGGTATTGTTTACTTGAATCTTACCATTGATATTTAGGTCTGCAATCGATCAGTCTCTTGTTGGCATATGTACATCCTGTGTGAATTGCTTCGATAGTGCCTTAAGTCAATTAGTCGCTAATTGAATATCACGATAGCTTTCAAAGCAAACAGTACTGGGTTCTAGTCATGGAGGGAAGATCAACTTTGGGATGCTGGTACATTCAGAGCCCTGAAATTCCATTGCTAGCCACCATCATCTCTGCTTACATTGAGTGATTGTTGTATTTAATTTTGAAAATTTTTGACAGTATACATTAAAACGATCACACACGTTCAAACTGAGGATCTTTTCTTTTCAGTTTACTATCTAGTTACTAAGTAGATAGCTAATGGTTAATAAGATTATTTTCTTACTTTTAACATTGTTAAAGGATACATGTCATTACTTTTGGATAGAACATTGAAAATTCATTTTAAAGCATTTCAATGCGGCAAAAGATTCATTCATTGGTTTCTACTTTTTAATCGCTGTAAATCTAATGTATCTCAGTGCAGAAAACATCCTTCAAGTGTTGGATAGTTTAGTTTAATAAAGAGTAACTTAAAAATGTATCGTATTATTGCTTATTTGCACGAAGAAGAATGATCTAAACGGTAGAGATCATTTCAGTGTAAGTATATTGGAAAGCAACTACCAAGGTAAGTTATAACAATCGATTGCTTAGTTGATTAAAATTGATCATCGTTTAGCCCTTTGTTTGCCATAAACTTAGCCTTAAGACTAAAAGCGTACTGAAGAGTTTTCCATTATGGAGTAACAAAACTCAGTAGTACACAATGTTGAACACAAATAAGATCCTATTACAGAATAGTTGGTAAAGTTGTGCTATTCATTTATGTTTCAGTAAATAATTAGTAATTCTATAAGAAACTGAAGTAACAGACTCATTTCTATATTAATTTCTGAGGCTATAAGCATTTTCCGTCTAGAAACTTAAATTTAAATTGATATTTTAAAGTGATACTTTACTACTTATATATTTATCAGTAGTCTAGGGCCAATGAAATGTCATTGAGTCCTAGCTGAATCATCCGGCAGTCGGGTCGCTGAATATCGAACAAATCATCGATCCTCGTCAAGGTCAAGGACAACCAATGCGCATCAGTTAATCGTATGCCATGAACTGGCTCATTCGGCGGTGGTCTTACTTTCGTTTGTATCTACTTTAACTAATATATTTCTGTAATAATGTCCTTTGTGTTGTACAGTCTTCAAAGCATCAGTAGTATCTCGATACGTCGATGGGACAACCCACATAAGGTGCTGACCGTGAGGTATGACTTCGACGTTAGCTGATTTGTCATACCATTCCCGTCTTATTTTAATAGGCCCCCAATCATTCGACATAGATCATCTATGCTGGTGATTTTGCAGTAGTAATAAAACAAACTTAATCTGTTCTGATGACATCATCGATCTTCCCTTTTATAAATAAATAAATAAACAAAAAGAGAGAGGTTCAATTTAAACCCACTTGTATTTGAGTTTCTTCAAATGATTTTTGTGCTTGTTCACAAGATATTTTCATTTCAGTATACTGTTTACGTAATCTGTCTAATTCTTGACTGGAGGTTGTAGACAATCCCATACTTGGCTAATATTAAGTAAACAAAAAAAGATGAATGATTCGAAAACACTTTTAATGATGAAGTGTTGGTAAGATTCACTACGTTATAACTAAAGACATAAAGTTTGTAGTTGAGTTTTGTAAACAGGAGAATAAAGTTGTAAAATGTAAAACAGCGTATTCTAGTCCAGTGCTCTAGTTACTTTCGGTAACACAGTCAGATACGCTGAATAATGTGAAGAATTATTTTTCAAGCTATAAGATATATTTTTTAGGTCCAGTGCTAGTTAGCATTAATAGACAAGGGATACATACCATTCTGAAGGAATAAAATGCCTTCATTAATAATCAAACGAATATAGCAGTTAGAGCCATTCCCAAAAAGCATGTAGAGTCTCAATCACTTTCTTGTACAACTAAGATGCTCACAGTAGTCAGTGGACTGTGTGATTAGAAAGAATCTAAGAACCCTTGAGAAAAATCCTTAATTTACCAAAGAACTTTAAATTGAATGAGTACAGATCAGAGTTAACTTTGCCTGTAGCTCTTCTAGAGCTAATGCCGGTCCCATACCCCAAGGTTGGGCATGGGGTTTGCGACCCCATCCCGTAGAAAACAAACTCGCTAAAAAAACGCTAAACAAAAAAAAAATAATTCAAATCATTTAAACTCATCAGCGTTAGTGATATGTTTAGTGACAAATCGGTACATAATTGATGGAAACAAAGATTCAATCACATCATGTATATATACTCAGTTAACGGGATACTATTTATTGGAGTCAGATATAGGGGGTACTAGCCTCTACAATATGAGTAGATGAGATTGAATTCAGTTATCTAGAATATTGACAGTAAATAACAACAAATAAATAAATAATATACATCTGCTACTCTTATATCCGTTAGCAACGTAAACATAATAGACCTAACCAAAAGCTGCAACAAGAACATAGATTTAATTTAAAATAAAATTTGATTAGAATTACCGATGGAATTTATCACGAGCATATTGTCCTACTTAGAACTTGTCAACTGGATATGACAGTATCCCATTGTTGTTATTTACATTTAAAATCAAGCTCAGTACTACTCGCTTCAAGCTACAACGCGCTTAAATCTATCACATCAACTGGTGACTACTTAGACTCTGTAGGTCAGAGAATAAAATATTGAAATTTAAAGTAAAATGTACTAATTTAAGGTTTCAATATTATTATCAACACTAAGATTCTGGTACATCAAGCTGTGAAGTGCCAACCAGGACGAAATGTGCATTCTGAATTCCACTACTAGCAACTATTTAACTTTGATAAAAACTTGTGACAAAATTATAAGACCTAGATAATACGCTTAGGATGGACATTTGCTAATAGAGTCTGATCAATTGTAGTTCTTCATATCAACAAGCCATGGAAACTATCCGACGAGTTCAACTTTTCTGTATCAAATTAAAGTATATGATTTGATTCTGACTATAGCTTTAATCGGTGAATGATCACTGCATTTCAAATAATTATTTACTACAATTGTAATACATATAGCCAAAACAAAAAACAATGTTTAAATGATTCACAACTATTTTACTTACTTGATATATTCTAGTAGATGTTAATGGTACTCCAGTAACAGATTCTGTTGATTCTTGTCTATCCAATAAACGTTGTCTTAAACTATCAATTTGACTCTCCAACTCTGTGTTACCTTTACGTAGACCATGAATTTCATCTAATAAATCATGCTGTCACAAAAAAAATGGAAAAAAACATTGACTAGTTTACAAAAACACTCTTTACAATTTTGTTCTATGCAAACTGATCTTTTCCTCCTATACTAATAAATTATGTACAGTAACAAGAAACCTTGTAGAATAGTATAACAGTTTTAGATGATAGTCAAAACACTCAACTTTCAGTCGATATAGAACAGGATCCAGTCAACCTCAGATCTTTTCGTTCAGACAGTACTTACTTATTACGTACTCCTATGACCTCCAATGGAGCATAGGTCGCCGACCAGTATTCTTCAACACGCTCTGTCCTCTGCCTTCCATTCTAGTTCTGTTCAATTGTTGTTCATTTCTCTCATATCTGTCTCCATTTCTCAACGTAATTTGTTCTTTAATCTTCAACTTCTCCTCACGCCTTGAGGACTCTATGTGAGGGCTTGTTTTGTGACGCAGTTGGGTGCTTTCCTTCAATGTGTGTCCTATCCACTTCCAGAGCTTCTTCCTAATTTCTTCCTCCATTGGGATCTGGTTTGTTCTGTCCCACAGTTGGTTGTTGCTAATAGTGTCCGGCCAACGGATCCGAAGTATTCTGCGTAGACAATTGTTAATAAACACTTGTATCTTCTGGATGATGGCTTTCGTACTTCTCCAGGTTTCCGCCCCATACAGTAGAACTGTCTGTACATTTGTATTGAAAATCCTGACCTTTGTGTTGGTTGACAGTTGTTTTGAGTACCAAATGTTCTTCAGTAATAAATATGCTGCTCTTGCTTTGTCGATCTTCGCCTTTATGTCTGCATCGGATCCGCCGTGTTCATCAATGATGCTGTCCAGATATGTATTAGTTTTTAACATCCTCCAAATCTTCTCCGTCAATTGTGATTCGATTGTTTTATACTGTGTTGTGTCGGAGAATCTTACTTTTCCGTTTGTGTATGTTGAGACCTACTGCTGCTGAGGCTGCTGCCACACTGTTCGTCTTCTTCTGCATTTGTTGTTGCGTTTGGGATAGAAGGGCTAGATCATCTGAGAAGTCTAGATCATCCAACTGCATCTTAGATGTCCATTGTATCCCGCGCTTCCCTTCAGACGTTGACGTCTTCATGATCCAGTCGATCACCAGGAGAAAGAGAAAGGGTGAGAGTAAGCAACCTTGCCTAACACCGGTCTTCACTTTGAACGACTTTGTCAAGTGTCCTCCACGCACGATTTTGCAGTGTAATCCATCATATGAGTTCTTTATGATATTGACTATCTTCTGAGGCACGCCGTAGTGTCGAAGAAACTTCCATAGTGTTGTCCTGTCCACGCTATCAAATCCTAGTCAATGTATTTGATGTAGAGCGATGAATTCCATTCAACTGATTGTTCTACAAATAGTATGGATTAAATTCAAATGAATAAAGTTGGTTCATGTTAAATAAACTACATTAGATTACGTAACATAAAGATGAAACGGTGAGACTATAATTTATGGACGACCTTTGAGCAACGGTGAAGTGACCCTGAGAATAGACACCTACTGATTAGGACTGAATGAAGGTAATAAACCAGTTAGAATTTACATCTACAGTTGGTGGTTAAGTTTAAAAATCAGATTTAGGGTTTTCTACGCGAACCGATATCAGGTATAATGCCAAATCTCTATTAAGCCAAATGTATGAATGGATTTCGCGCCAAAACTAATGATTCGTTATTTTATTTCTGATTGGTTCGTCCATAAATTATAGTCTCGCCGTATATGAGGAACAGAGTTTGTAATGGTGGAGAAGATTTGTACTTCAGGCGAATGATTTGGATGGAGTTTTTTCCTCTGAGCTAGATGGTTTGGTCGTGGAGCTTACGTCGTTCTTCTAAACGACATCATCAATACAAACTTCAAGTAGAAGTGAAGTGTTCAAATTTCTCCACATGTAGTTCACAGCTTGTCCTGTACATCTCTACAAAATAAATGGTGCCAACTACGAAGTGGACATCCTCTTTATCTTCACCTGCATGATGAACATCAATTAGTAGTTAAATGCCATGACAACTACGGACACACATTCGACTGGAAAAGTGTGGAAATGTTGAATACAGGTAACTTCAAAAACATGAGAGAATTTCTAGAAGCTTAACATTCAGGTCAATCAGCAATCAACAACCACATTGAAATCGATCCAACTTATCAAGTAATCAGGGAAATTATGCACAAATATAGGACCGAAAATCAAACCAATGAGAGATATAACCGAAACAAAGAAGTAAACAATGACAAGTTCAAGGTCAACAAGAACTAATGAACACCGAGGTGTACAGGATACGCTGTGAAGCACATGTAAAGAAGTTCGAATATTTCATGTCTATGTGAATTTTGTGTTGATGATTGTCGTTCAGAAGAACGAATAAATCTCTACAACCAAACCGTCCAGTTCACAGAACAAAACACTGAGTTTGTAATATCCTATAAATAACTAATAAAAATATACATATACATATACATAAGCGTTCGTGCGCGAGACCGGAGGCCCTGGGTTCAAATCCCACAAAAGGGATCGTGGATGCGCACTGCTGAGGAGTCCCACAATAGGACAAAATTGCCGTCCAGTGCTTTCAGGTTTCCAACGGTGGTCTAACATCAATTGGGTCATGATCTCAATCAAACACTTAATAATCTCCACAACCCCTATACTGAGAATATTTTAATGATTAATTGTACTATTACTGATTCAATGTGATATTTCTCATTTGTTATATATACCTTATTACTATATATTCTGTTCGGTGAATCCGTAAACAATCCATGACTAGTTTCCTTCATAGATTAATATTGTTCTATATGAATGAATAAATGAATGGGAAAGCGGTATTTGGATTACTACTATATATGATTCTATTATGGATTCATTAATTATTTAACTCATTAGCTATGGGTATACATATTATTGGCCATTGACTATAGTTGATTAATTATGAACTATTGAGTATAGTAACACAAGTAATTTACTTATGTATAGATTATGATTTATAATTTATGGTTCATTGTGATCGATTGTATCCTTTGAATTAGAAAAAAAAAACAGAATAAATTAGATACCTTTACTCGTCTTCTTATGAAGGTGATGAGATCCAGGAATAAGTTACTTGAGTCTATGAGTGTCAAGATCACTAGCGGACTTATTGGTTAAGTGAATGTGTCATTAGCATTATTGTCATAAGTAAACTCATCATAAATGAACTTAAAAAAACAAATTTTTATGTTAATTAGGGTACAAAAGGGTGAATTCATGTCAGTTATACATTGCAAAATAATTGAAAACTAAGGAACATTGGATAGCTGTACGAAACTGTTTTGCATGTAATGAGACATCATATAATCTTTTATGTGAGTAAATGAAATTTACTAACTACTAATCATGACATTTCATAGTAGAACCTTGTTAAAATATCCCTAAGCTAGTTACTAATGTGTGTTCAATCACGTTTAGTTGAAAGACTATGTATTGATTAGTTTATCAACCACACGTGTGAATGTTCGTAACAGCAGATGAATACGGAATCTGTCACCTTAAACATCACTAATAATGCTATAGAAACAAACCTTATAGTTTCAGACTAAACAAAAGTTACTGAATAAGTTGTAAATTGATGTAAATAATAAAAAAGTGAAGTCAATTACTAGAGAATAAAGTCTACGGCTCCAAATTCCCTGGTACGGCCGAGAGTGGTGAGAGTCCGCTCTCCCTCTCCAAATGCTCTCACATGGCCACGCGTATATAGCCTCCGTCAGGAATGTCCTACTCACTGCCTTCCTGTGGCGGGGTTGTTGTTTACGAAATTGAGAGGACGAAAAGTGAACGTCCGATGCTTTAACCGGGTTGGTGGACATGGAGGGTCCACTAAGGGGAGTTGGAAAACCCTGATTCCAAACCAATGGCGCACATGGGCTCCAGTATCCTGAAGGAACAAATGGTATATGAACCTATTGTTCGTCACCGGCTACCATGGAACTGCATCTCCTTACGATGCTCCACTGCCTTGTGGATCGGACTTTCAGGTCGAAGGCTCCGGGTGTGGCCCACTAAGAAAACCACCTGCTTCGGTTTGGGCACCCGGGCAGTATCACAGCCCTCACACATATCAAATGAGATTTGTGTGGCGCATATGTATTCGGTGCCTCCTTGTACCAATATCTATGTGTTGAAATAAATAAATGATAAAGAATAAAGTCTACAACCATGTACAATCAGTTATGATGAATTAACAGACTTACATTTTCATTTTCAAGTTTTCTTAATCTCATTTCACGTTCTTCTGCACGTTTCTGATTAACTGATAATCGATTATTGGTTTCTTCGATTGTAGACTGTAGACGAGTAATTTCATCAGCTTGACAACGCTTTACATAAAACAAAAGATTTCCAAACAATATATACATATATATAACTTATTCAGACCTTACATTTATAAATTCATAGTTATTGTACTGAATTAGATGAAATGTAAAAGTATACATACGAATGTCAGAACTGAATCAATCAGTCACGAATTGAAATCAGTGCATATCACGTCGACTGAACTAACATTCAAATGTCGGATAAATGAATAAAGACATCTTTTAAGTACAGAATATAAACAAATCTTTATAACGAACTAAAAGTTAGACATTAACAGCGTTGGATGCCAGCCAGCTCAGTGGTCTAGAGGTTAAGCGCTCGCACTCGAGACTGATAAGTTCTGAGTTCGAATCTCTTAAGACGGGATCGTGGATGCGCACTACTGAGGAGTCCTACGATAGGACGAAACCGCCATCCAGTGGTTCCAGGTTTTCCATGGTGATTAAGCTTCAAATGATTCATGAATTCAACTATTAAATTACCCTTTCTGATAAGAATCAATTGAAGAACCACTGATCGAAACAACTGGGTAGCTATATTATTATCATTTGAAACTCAACTGAAATGTTCACTCATAGATGTTATACATTCACAGTGTTATACATCACTGATTTCATCAAAAATAGATAGACAATCAATACTGCTTAAAAGTTCTCAATTGCTTAAGTGTCGTCTGCTCTGTTTAACCTTCTATCAAAAATGTTTTGATCATACACTAATTAAGATTTCTTAGTTAAAGTGTTTTAGCAGTAGATTTCTTGATATTAGAAATGTAAATCATTGAATGTTAACCCAATTCAGCGCTTGCCTAGACACCTTAAGATCATGAATTCTTAAATCTATAATCTGTTAGTTGATGAGCACTACTGTAAAGTTTTATATTAGGAAGAAACAACTGTACAGTGTTTCATATTGCTCAATAGTTCTTCACAACGAAAATCCTTTTGTATAATACAACTGCAAAATAGATATGATTTTTCAAAAAGACAAACGTACAATTTCACTTGTTTGACTCTTTAATTGATGTCCTTTCTCATCTAGTTTCATTTCTAAATGTCCAATACGTGTTACTTGTTCTTGATTAGTAGAACGTAGTCGTGCCAGTTCCTCTGTCTGCAGTGTGTAAAAATTAAATTGATAATTACAATATATTATTGCATTGATCATATTGAATGTTACTTACGGAAAATAAATAAAACAATAGTTATTGACAGAAATGATTAAGATCAGAATACGGTTTGTAGAGATTGTAGTAATTTTAATAGTTGAATTCATTAGTCGATACAAACTAGACCACTATTGAATAACTGGAAGCACCAAATGGTCGTTTCGTCCAAGTATGGGACTCGGCAGTGCTCATCCACGATCCCGTACGCATGACTCAAACTCAAGACCTCCGGTCTCATGAGCGAACGCTCATACCACATTAACACACAGATACAATTGTCGATTCAAATCCCATAATGGTAAAGGTAGTAAAAGTATAGGCAGTAATCGGAAAGATTAGGATTTGAAGATGTTATTCAAGGAGTATAATCTGGTGAAATAAATATGGAAAGAAGAAAAAAGGGACATGACGAATTAAGATTATTATTTGGGAGAACACAATGAGTGGATGCATCTGCGCCATTGCAAACGATTTTAAGCCATTTCATTCAAGGTCAAGGTTTTTAGTGTAAATCCAATCCAATAATACAAAGCAATATCAGTTATGATAGATGAAAACACTTATTGTCGTGTAATTACGTATTCGAGTAAATCATGTTATGATCTATCTTTAGATGTTCCTCTTCTCTTCAAAGTTTTGGCCATGTAGTTTCAACTAATTCCATTGAAATCATTCATAACAATAAATCACTTAAAATTAACATCACTTCGAATATATAAGCTAACAGGATATCGAAAAGGATGTTATACACCGTTTTCTTGAATATAAAAACAATTGAAGCTGTTTAATCCATTCCCTATAATTATCCAATCATTGTTCCAATATACATTAGTAAGTCACTACCTTTATTATTTAAATATTGAGTGATACTAATCAACATGTGCTCAATAGTGACTGGCTTCAAGAGGTGTATTCTGGAGTTCTAGTGAGAAGCAGTGATCAGTGGAGTTCGACAAGGTTTGTTGTGAGATAGTAACTCACTGATGACAATGGTAGATGTGTCGCCCAATTTCGTGGATCGGTCGAAGTTAGACATTAACACCGTTAGATGCCGGCCAGCTAAGTCGTCTAGTTGGTTAAGCGCCTGGCGCGAGACTGGTCAGTCTTGGGTTCAAATCTCACGGGTGCGGGATCATGGATGCGCATTGGTAAGGAGTCCCATAGTAGGACGAAAGGGCCGTCCAGTGCTTCCAGGTTTTCCATGGTGGTCTAGCTTCAATTGAATCATGATCTCAACTGTTGAAATTACTACAATCTCCACAAAACCCATTTTCAGTGATAAGTGTTTATAACTTACATATTGATTTTGTATTTGCTTAATTCGTTCTTCTCTATAAACTGCATCATCACGTAAACTCTTTACCTCTGCTTCAGCAGTTGTCAATTGTTTACGTATATTAGTTAATTCATCTCTTAGCTTAAACTGTATTTAAAATGAACAAAAAAACGAAGCAGTACGAAAATTTCTATTACATTAATCAAGTGTAAATTTATCATTTTAAACAAATTTAATAAGAATAAAATGAATCTTAGTAAATGTGCAACTATTCTATTGATAGAACCCTAATATATTACTTAAAACTAACAACTATTTCTAAAGATAAACATGGATAGTGGCTAACAATGAAATCCAGGATGTACGTTTTGTCGTATCTGGGACTCGTCAGCTGGATGTGCCTACATCTCAAAGTTGATGTTCACTCTGGGAATCGAATCCGGTACCGTTCGATTCAAATATCATCGCGTTATTCATTCGGCTACTGAGCCCTGATAGCCAGTTCCTTGTGCAATAGATGAAGTTTAAATTTACTTCGTATTGTTTGCCTATATCTTCATATTGCTGTTTTAGGACTGCAATTGATCATTCTCTTATTGGTATCTGTGCATATTGTGTGTATTGCCTCTACATTGCCTTAGGTCACAAGCTTTATAAGCAAAGATGGATAGTCACAAGTGATTGATCACTGGCTGGTGATCAATGTCATGTGTGTCAAGTCCTTACTCGTGCAGATGTAATCCTATCGACCAAGTTCCAATATGGCCACTAGTCTAGGTGACTCGACACTGCATGGACTATGTTGAGATAGGATGGTGGTTGGAGGTAGTCAACAGGAAACGCTGGACCTAGGTTTCGTGCTACTTGGCACTCGTCAGCAAGGTGTTCCTGTAATCTTGAGGGGACTGGTACTACCTCACGGATTCTATCCCGTGTCATCCAGCTTCACAGTCAGAGACGCTACCACTGAGTTATCCGGGCCGCGACCGAGTGCCAAGTAGCACGAAACTCGGGTCCAGTGTTTTCTGTCGACCACCTCCAACCACCATTCAAAAATGGATAGTGGCTAGCAGTTGAATTCAGGACGCGCGTTTCGTCATGTTTGGGACTCGTCAGCCACTATCCATCTTCGTTTATAACGCTTTTGAATTAAGGCAATACCTAGTGTTTTAAAGATAGTCCCAATCATAGAATAAGGTCAGTTGGACAATAATTGAAAAAGCAGCATGCATGGAATAGCCAGTATCAGCTTCATACAAAACATTTAACTAAACATTTTAAATGCTTTTCTAAGCAACTACACTAAATAGTTAAAAAAACTATTTGCTTCTACATCAAAAAGTCACAGACAGAATTATAGAGTTTCATAGAGAACTCATGAGAGATGGAGTTCAAACATTGTTGGGAGTAGGGGAAAATATAATTAATCAGCTTAGATGAACTCCACATTACAGTTTCATATAAAAGAAATTATAAATATACAAAACTCTATATCACGCCAATAATCTAGATGTATTATGCTCTATATAATAAATGTAGGCTTTGAATGTGATCATCATTGTAAAGTTTATAGATGTGAGCGGCTAAGAGAATTTATTAGTAGGATGAAACTATCCAAATAGCTCCTAGTTCTTTCAAATTTGTTCATTTTCTCAGTACTGGAACATATTTCTTCTTTTCTAAGTCAACTTATGTTTATTCAGTGAAACTAATTCATAGTTAGACGATGAGTATTTCCAGGTATCTAATTATTGGTAGTTCTTTCATACAATTCTTCTAGGTAAATGAAATCCCTTAAACGCCTGTAGCGTTTTGAAATTTATTGTCAGTGTGGTTTGATACTCCCACTATGTTTATCAAGAGATGCTGCTAATAACATACAAATTTGATCGATTCAATTCTTCTACAAAAAGAAGTATATTGTGATCTATCACTTGGTCTATAGGATTCGATCTACACTAAGATGGACTTGACATACATGACAGCGATTGTCACACAGTGATCAATCAATTGTAAATACATCTCAGTCCAGCAGGAGGTCAGTTGCGGTTGGAATAGCCCGGTGGTAACATCTCTGACTGCGAAGCTGATGACACGGGATAGAATCCGTCAGGTAGCACACCAGTTCTCTCAAGATTACAGGAACACCTTGCTGACAAGTGACAAGTAGCAAAAAACCTAGGTCCATGGTTTCCTGTTGACTATCTCCAAACACAATTTTATCTCAACATAGTGCACACAATATCAAGACACCTAGACTAGTAGTCACATTGCGATTTGGTCGATAGGGTTCGATCTGCACTAAGTAGGATCTGACATACCTACCACTCCGCGATCAATCAATTACAAAACCAACCAATCATTGAATAATAAATATAATGATACATCACAAACACAAGATGATATTCTGTTGTCATGTATATCAAATAACTTGATATTACAAATAAACATTATCGATAAGTTTATATTAATTATAAAACGTAGCTCTGTGAATTCTTTTTCATTATATATATTTTTTATTTCATTTTATTTAAACATATAAACATTGGTACAAGTACGCATCAAATAGGTATAGGGCACATAAATCATTCGATTTGTGTGAGGCTTGGATACTACCCGGGTACCCAAACCGAAGCAGGTAGTTTACTTAGGAGGCCACACCCGGAGCCTTTGACTTAAAGGTCTGATCCAAAAGGCAGTGGGGCATCGTAAGGAGATGTAGTCCCATGGTAGTCGGTGACCAATAATTGGCTCAGACCACTTTTTTTTCCTTCAGGATACTAAAGCCCATATACACCATTGGTTTGGAATCAGGGTTTTCCAACTCCCCTAGATGGACTCTCCGTGTCCATCGAGCCGTAAACAACACCGCTGGTGAGAGAAAGCAGTGAGTAGAACTTCCTTGTCAGTGGCTGTATGCACGTGGCCATGTGAGAGCATTTCGAGAGTGAGAGCTGTCTCTTACCACCTTCTTTCGTAACAAGGCATTTTTTATGTATTTAAATAATAATGATTTTACACTGAAACAAAACTATTTATATAAATATGAATATATGTAGACTTACAGATTCTTTTTCAGTTGTTTCAATACGGCTTTCACGGTTTTTGATGGTATTTTGTAAATAACCAACATGATGTTTCAAATCATCAAGATCAGTATTTAATCTTTTTATTTCTTCAATATGTGATTTTGCCTAAATTAATAAATGAATATATTACAGAATATTGTATAATCTAATGACAGGTATTGAATGACAAACTAATATCAAGTATTATCAGAAGGGGTTTTGTGGAGATTATTGAAATCTCACTAGTTGAAATCATGAGTCAATTGATGCTAGACCATCATGGAAAACCTGGAGGCACTGGAGGGCCGTTCCGTCCTAGTGTGGAACTCCTCAGCAGTGCGCATCCACGATTCCGACTCGCGAGATTCGAATTCAGAGTCTATCGGTCTCGCGCGCGAACGCTTAACCTCTAGACCACTGAGCTGGCCAGCATCCAACGGTGTTAATGTCTAACTTCGACCGATCCACGAATTTGAGCGACACATCCACCATTGTTATCAGTGAGTTACTATCTCACAACAGACCTGGTTGAACTCCACTGATCAATGCTTCTCACTAAAAATCCAGGATATACCTCTTGAAGTTAGCCACTAGTGAACATATGTTGATTAGTATCAGAAGAGGTTTCGTGGACATCATAGTAATTTTAATAGTTGAGATCATTAGTCGATTGAATGAAGACCACCATGGAGAACCTGGATACACTGGACGGCCATTTCGTCCTATTGTGGGACTTCTTAGCAGGGTTCATTCACTCATGATCTCAACTACTAAAATTACTATCATATCCACAAAACCTTTTCTGGTATTTTTGTTATTTTATAAACATTTCGATATATGAAATACTTTTTACTTGGAAGTTGTGCTAGACAAAAATGTTAGTGTGAAATCTGTTATGACTTATGACCATGTCAATTATTAAGTGACAAAATCGTTGCTGTGTGAAACTAATTACACATCAACCAGCACTAGTAACGTTGAGCCAACTCTGACTCCTTATTAGCCCTCTGTATAGCAACTTCTCGTCTAGTCCAATTTAACCTGTTCAGTTCACAACACAAATATGAGTTTCCATTTTGTGAATCGTATATTTTAGAGTTATGTAATTTATATGCAAACAAACCAAATGTCATCGCACAATTAAATTAAAAATAATAATTATACAAAGTCAATCGAAAAGTGGCTGTGATTGTGGGATAATGTAATTGATAAACTGGAAATAAGTTAGTCACGGTAAATCATATTGCACTAGCCAATAAATCAAATGAATGCTTATGATAAAAGATATATTTATAATCTAGTTCAGTCAGTCAGTCAGCTACAACGTAGGACCAGGCACAAATATGCATCGGTCCAAGTTGCCATATCTCATTAACACAACAAGATGGACACCGGATTCATAAAAGAAGTTAATTCAGAGGTGGTAATATATAAAAGAAAGATTGTATATAAGGACATAGTATAGGAAGAAAGAATTAGTTCGTAGAAAGAAAGATATGAAACGATTTTAATCTCATAGTTTAAGGGAAGACACAGAGTGTATACACCGACGCCATTGTGATCGATTCTGAGCCATGTCACCAAGAGTCTCTAACCATTGGTTAAGATAATCACGCGGACCCCAACCAAGTAGTGTACATCTACCAACATGGCTCAGACTAGAAGTTAGTGGCACTTATATAATCTAGTTACTTAATAATGATCCTATAGGAATATATTTAATAATAGTCCATAAATAATTCCTATCAGTTACCATTCCTTTATTCATCGTTCGAAAATAACAAAATCAATCAGAAGTAAATACATCAATCACATCTAAATACTGAACATGAAAAACATCGATGTAGTGTTGGATAGTGGTCTTGAAACATTATGATCAATTGTTTGTTGTATTCAGATATTATCAACCGATAAAAACAATAGAATAGATAATGTGTGTTGATAGCGTCTATTATTCAAAACTTGATTCAGTATTATTGTGTTATTTTATGATTGAAAATTTCAAAACATATAAACTCTAACTACATTACCTCACAAATGCACATTCGGCAACCATTTAAAACAAGAAAGTACATTATAGCTATGTCATTCTATTATAAAAGGGTTTTTTATTATTGCACATCATCGATTTCATAGAGGGTTCGAATTCAAGACCTTCAAGCAAATCTAAGAAAGTTTTGCATTTAGATCACCAAGTCAACATCCAACGATTAATATTATCAGTTTAGGGGTTGTGGAGATTGATAAGATTTTGATTGAGTTCATGAACCGATTGATTTGGTGGTGGGAAGCCGTGACCAGTGGAGTTAATCTATGTCGAGTAGAAACAAGTGTCTACCTCAGTATAATAGAAGATGGTCGCGCAATTTCGTGGATTGGTTGAGGTTAGACATTAGCACCATTGAATGCCGGCTCAGTGGTCCAGTAGGTTAAGCGTTTGCGCACGAGACTAAAGGTCCTAGGTTCGAACCCCGAGGGTCGGGATCGTGGATGCGCAGTGCTGAGGAGTCCCACAATAGGACGAAACAGCCGTCCAGTGCTTTTAGGTTTTCCATGGTGGTCCAGCTTCAACTGACTCATGATCTTGAGATTACTATAATATCCACGAAACCCTTCTGATATACAATATCACTTAGAAACTGTAAGTTCAATAGTGAGTTTCCTATAGTTAGCATTAGTAGGAATAAGATAATGTGTAAAACTATTTGAATAGTGAATCCAACATTTTTGTCCTTGTAGTACTAATTGTTTATATATGAATAACATATGTGTAAAGTATGATTGATCAATGGAACCTAACAACATGAAATGACTACCAATACATCAACCTTCTATGACCTTATCAGATTATGTTATGTTAATTCAATAATCACAACTTTATGTTTATCAATAAACGATATTACGATTGTTAACTTATTTTTATTATTCTCCAGTTAGTGTTTGGTATGTCCCATACTAGGACCAGATGGCCATCCAGTGCTTCCAGGTTTCTGATGGTGGTCTAACTTCAATTGACTCATGAATTCAACTACTGAAATTACTAGAATATCCACAAAAACCTCTTCTGTTATTTATATCTCTCTTTTCCCATGTTTGACAGATTGCATTAATAGTTTGTTTTGTATACTAATGAAATGAACGAATACTCAGATGGAGACAACCAATTTATTGTCTAATGTAAAATTACAGAGTCCTTTTACAAAGTGTGAAAACTATACATTAGATATTTCATTTGCACATCTTCGATTAACTGTCCTTTACTTCCTTCATGATTCCCAGAATTCTCAACTCCTTTACTTTTCCTGTTCTGTTTTATTCAGTTGAATCTTCTCAACCTTCTTTCGACAGGCATTTCCATTCTTATTGGCGTAACATACTACTTATATCTGTCGATATGAGTAGCATACACCATACTAACAGTGTGAATTTATATTTTAGAAACAGAGAAATATAATCAAGCCAAATAGCGTATTTATTCTAACTTTGGCTAAGCTAAGACTCTGTGCTCGACAGTTTAGGGAATAGTTTATAATTGCATCTGTAGGAAGTTACTTACTATAATATGAGCACATAAGTTCTAGTGAGAAGCCGTGACCAGTGAAGCTAATCCATGTCAGGTAGAAACAGATATCAACCTTAGTACAATGGAAGATGGTCACACAATTTTGTGGATTGGCTGAGGTTAGACATTAACACCACTGGATGGGGGCTGAGTGGTATGGCGGTTAAGCGTTCGTGCTCGAAACCGAAGGTTCTGGTTTCGAATCTCACGAGCAGGATCGTGGAAGTGCACTACTGAGGAGTCGCATGCTAGAATGAAACGGTCATCCAGTGCTTACAAGTTTCCAATGGTTGTCTAATAGTGATGAATTCATGATCTCAATCAAAAATGAAATAGTAATATTGAACTTACACAATCTTGTTCGAGTTGTTTAAGTTTTTCCGATTTTTCACTTAATTGACTCAAAACTGATTCATATTTTTTTTGTAAAGCATCTTTTTCTGAAATAAGTTTTTCCTTTATTAAAAAGAAAAGAAAGTATGTTAAATGCCTTTGATTTATGTTAGGGAAATCTTTAAATAAGTAACTAACTAAATTCACTTTGTGTTGTTTACTTGTAACTTCCCATCGTTGTTTTGGACTGTAGTTGATAAGTCTCTTGTTGGCATATTTACATCCTGTGAGGATTGTCTCGATATTACCTTAAGTCGCGAGCTTTCTTAAATTATCACCCTATACTTACAGATAAAATGTGAATCTGTTTTGGTTGGAAAAAAATGAGAATGATTCGTGTAATTTTGAAGAAAACAGATTAAACAATCAAAGAAAGGGACAAATCGGTCGATGGTCGAATACTATCAGCAACAATCTACTGTAGGAGAGAACAAACTAGATTCTGGTGGAGGAAAGAATCAGTCTCGGATTTTGGTGTGAAATTAATTCATCCATTTAGCTAAATACAATTTTGGTATTATAGCTGTTGTTAGTTAGTGATGAAAACGTGAAATCGAATTCCTACTCCTAACCATCAACTGTAAATCATAATTGTTGTGAAATTACTTTCTTCCTTAAAAATGGTTTACAACAAATTAATATTACAAATATATTCTTACTTTTTCAGCTTCCAATGTATGTAGCTGATGAATTTTCTCTGTAAGATCAGATTTTGTTTCATTAAACTTTTCATTAAAATCATCACGTTCTCGTTTGATTAATTCCATTTGACTGTTTAAACTAGCAACCTTATATTCAATGATAGGAAAACAAACGAAAGGATATTGACTAATTAATAAATTAGTATCAGAAGGAGTTTTGTGGAGATTGTAGTAATTTCAATAGTTGAGATCATGAATCAATTGAAGCTAGACCACCATGGAAAACCTAGAAGCGCTGGACGGCCGTTTCGTCTTATTGTGGGACTCCTCAGCACTGCGCATCCACGACCCCACCTCGCGGGATTCGAACCTAGGATCCACCAGTTGTAAAAACTGGATGTTTGTCTAGTTATCTCCTTAATCATTCTAACGGTTAACCTATTTAGTGAGTTGCCTAAAAGTTGTTAGCTCAATCCTTGTTCAGACAGTGATGTATACTATCAGAGTTCAATATGAGGGAACATCAGCTGCCCATTGCTTTCTAGGTTTCAATGGTGATCTAACTGAGATTATTCAATCTATAATGAATGGAGCTTAAATACTTTAGAACTACTAGATTTAAAAGAACTTATAACAATAAAGAGTGGATTATTTACCGATTTACGTATTGGCTTAAATAAAGCTTGATTTAGTATCTAACTAATTAAATTGCTTATGTATTAGGGGAAAAGTTACAAAGTAGAATATAAGTTTCCTGATCTACAATCATAGATATACACTGTTACAATACCCCAAGCTTTGATTATAACTTTCTAGTAAGTCTTAGACTTCAATAGCTTTTAGTTGGTGAACCAATTATTGATTATAATCTACCTTCATTTTGCTTTAATGAATTGAAATGAGTATCTATGGGTTACTTTGTGATCATTAGTTTCATCTTTGATTATTCATCTTTTAAATGATGTTTGACTTACATTTACACTCAATTAACTGAATAACATGTAATCTAGATAATAAACCAAATTTCTTAAAATATATGTTCGCATGCTTAAGACAATGTGATTGTCAAATTCATATGGTATTGTTTATTTGAATCTTCCCATTGATGATTAGGACTGGCATATATGCATACTGAGAGTATTGCCTCAGTAGCTAAGTGGATAACGCGATATCTTTCGAAGCGAATAGTACTGAGTTCCAGTGAACATGAACTCTGAGATGTAGGTACATCCAGCTGACGAGTCCAAAATAGGACGAAACGTGCTTCCTGGATTTCATTACTAGTCACTATCCATATTTCCTTAGAATGTGATTGTCAGTTTTAAAATTTACATAATTGTCAGTTGAAGATCGGTTCTGTAAGTACAACTCTCTGTTCGTTCATTTCATAAACACTTTAGAATAATTTTATAACACATTTTAATTTACTTACCAGGTATATGACATAAAATAGTATATTATTGTTATGCTAATCAGTTTAGTTGGCATTATCAACATTACATTGTTATTTCTCTATGCTAATTTATTCCAGTCAGCACATAAATTCACAAACTGTCAGTTTGAGCCATGCTCGTGAATACAGACTAACTAATTGCTATCAGTGACTTGTGACTTTTGGGTGTCATGGCTCATGATCAATTACAGTAGCTCAAATGTATTTACTCCATGTCATCCTCTCGATCTTGAATTACAATATTCTTCCATACACACATATTTACCTTGTCCTTTTACCTATATTTTCACTTCTCATCCTTTCAAAGTAACATTATAAACTATGATATTTCGATTATTTTTACTACACCTCTCACTAATTTTATCTCCTTGTGCCAATGTGGTAGGGCAACTTGGGATCACTTAAATCTATACCATGCTTTTCGTTGATGATGACTAACTAGCTGAGCATATTATGAATGAAGTTACTTACTATTAGGTACTACAAGATCGAAGCTATATTTTACTACTGAGTCTTAAAAAAATTTAAGCCTAGGAATAGAACTTTTGTTGGTTGCTTTAAACTAGATAATAGTGTTTTTTTCCTTAATTTTTGGTACTCCATCATTGAGATCATGAATTGATCAGTGGTAATCTAACATTGATTATTTCGTGATCTCAATGAAACTCAACAATCTGCACAATCCTATACTAGTAAATATTGGATCAAATTAGAGATCGATACATGTACAAGTAAACAAAACTAGGTACCTCCACTTCACGTTCAGCTTTAGCAGAAGCAAGTTCTCGTCTCAAAGTAGCCATTTCTGTAAAGTCTGTTGTATGTAATCCCTGAAAGTATAAGTGATAAATATATATCATTATAAAAAAAATCAAAAATTAAACATTTGTACTACTGATAACAAAATTAAATTGCTATGTTGTACAATCAAGCAATACGCATAGACGACCCCAAGCAACTAATACGCAGGAAGGACATCATTACCTAGTGATCAATCAATTATAAATACATCTCAATCCAGCAGGAGGTCAGTCACAGCTCGGATAGCCCGGTGGTAACGTCTCTGATTGTTAAGCTGGTGACACGGGATAGAATCCGTCAGGGAGCATCAGTTCCCTCAAGATTACAGGAACAATTTGCTGATGAGTGCCAAGTAGCACGAAACCTAGGTCCATGGTTTACTGTTGACTACCTCCAACCCCCATCTTATCCTAAACATTCTAATTGTTAGTTAAAACTCTGGAAATTATTTCGAATTGTATGAAACTTGTCAGATTAAAACGTTAATAAAAAAATGGCTTTACAATAAAAGATAATAGTTATTGTGTTGTAGTTTCGATCTCAAATTCTTCATCACTTCCTCAATCAACCTGTACAATTCGAAAACATATTATTATCTTCTTTCTAAAATCTTATCAATTGATTGCATAATTTGCCCTTTTGCAATTTCTTACAACAATATGGAGTTCAACCGTATCGAATGCGAAGCAGTTGCTCACCGAAGACAATGAAAGATGGTCTCGCAATATCATGGAATGGTTGATGTTGGATGTTGGCTTGATGGTCTAGAGATCAAGTGTTTGCACGTGAGACTGAAGGTCCTGAGTTCGGATCCCGCGTGTGGGATTATGAATGCTCACTGCTGAGGAGTCCCATACTAGAAAAGGACGGCCATCCAGTGCTTCGAGGTTTTCAATAGTGACCTAACATTGATCGCCTCATGATCTCAATCAAAATATCATTTTTCATGTCATGATAATCATAATGATAATGATAATTTACATCTGGGGATTTTCTTCAACTCAAAATCATTATTATTATTATTATTATTATTATTATTATTATTATTAATAATAATAACAAAATAAAAAACTTACAACTGATGATTTCAGTCTATCGTAAGCACCAACAGTTGATGTTCCACCACGTGAACGTTCATCTAATTCCATTTGTAATTGATTAAACTTTACACTTAATTCTTGATTTGTTTTACGTAATATTGCTAATTCTTTTGATAATTGATTACTTGATGGTGATCTTGTGCCTAAATCATGTATTCCAGTAGCTGAATTCAACTATTTAATTAATAAATATAATAGAAATTACATTAGTTTCAATGAATGAATGTATGTAGACACTTTAATATTGAATGTTAATTGAACATAATCAAGACTTATTAATTATCGATTTGTATCATTCTACCTCTGATGTATGATCAATATTGATAAAAGTTAGAATAGTCACTATCGATTCTATATAAAGTTCCATATGAATAACTATAAAGTTTCTTATTACATGTTCTCATATAATGATTGGGATTCATTGAGTAATGCATATAAAGTCAAGGTCATAGTGGAAATTGATAATTTTGTTCTGAACCGAACGGGTTGGGTTGATCTAAAGGAGAAGTTGCTATACAGAGAATCAATAAAAACTCAAAGTTGGTGCAAGGCTGATAGTGTTTGTTGACGTGTAATTGGTTTAGCACAGAGATAAGATAATGGAAGTCGGTATTCTGATTAGCAAGTTTATCACATGATAATTAGCAGGGCCATAGGACATAACAGTGAGGTTAAAATTTCTTTATGTCCCGAAAACAAATAGCTACCTAGATTCTTGTTTATTCATTCATGAATCAAGATCATGTATTTTGATATTCAGCATAAAATATCTTTCCATGAATATTTTAAAAGAAAATAGTTCATATAACCAAACAAATATTCAAAACTAGCAAGCTACCCACCCTAACTTCTAGTCTTAACATTGTCGGTAGATGCAGACTACCTTGACTGGGGTCCGCGTGACTATAATAGCTAATGGTTGAATATTCTATGTAACATGGCTCAGAAGCGATCAAAATGGCGTAGGTGTATACACTTTCTATCTTCCCTTAAATTATGAGATTAAAATCGTTTCATATCTTTCTTTCTGTACTACATCCTTACATAAAATCTTTCTTTTATATATTACCACCATTGACTTAATTATTATTATTATTTTAACACATAGATATTGGTACAAGGAGGCACCAAATACATATGCGCCACACAAATCTCATTCGATATGTGTGAGGGCTGTGATACTGCCCGGGTGCCCAAACCGAAGCAGGCGGTTTTCTCAGGGGGCCACTCCCCGAGCCTTCGACCTGAAGGTCTGATCCACAAGGCAGTGGAGCATCGTAAGGAGATGCAGTCCCATGGAAGCCGGTGACCAACAATTGGTTCATGGGCCATTTGTTCCCGCAGGATACTGGAGCTCATGTGCACCATTAGTTTGGAATCCGGTTAAAACGCCGGACATTCGCTTTTTGTCCTCTCATTTTCATAAACAACACCCCCTCCACGAGAAGGCAGTGAGTTGACTTAGCCACTCCTATGAATCCGGTGTTCGTCTTGTTGTGTTAATGAGGTATGGCAACTTGAACCGATGCATATATGTGCCTAGTCCTATGTTGTAACTAACTGATCAATCCAGGAAATTAAAAAATCCCCTTGATTCGACTATATATCTATATGCTAATGAGTTTTTTCTCAAACTAGAGAAAAGCATCTAATTTAAAACATCTATAATAATTAACTTACATGAGCAGTTTCAAGTATATTTAATCTAGCCGATTTTGTATCTAATTCACGTTGTGTTGCTTTTAAACGTATTTCAAGTTCAGAATTTTGAAATCTTAATCGAGTTAATTCTTGCAAATGTTGTTGAAGCTAAAATGAATAAAAATATCAAGTTGTAATGATCAAATTAAATTCTCAGTTTAGGGGTTGTGGAGATTGTTAAGTTTTTGATTGAGATCATGAACCGATTGATGTTAGACCACCATAGAAAACTGCTAAGGAGTCCCACAATAGGACGAAACGGCGGTCCAGTGCTTCCAGGTTTTCAATGATGGTCTCAAATCAATCGGTTCATGATCTCAATCAAATTAAATTCGTCTATTCAATATCAAATTGCTTTGGTTTAAAGCAATTACTCTCTTTGATAAATTTCAATAGTGTAATAATGAAGAAGACAAAGATTATCAAAACTATGTGATGACATATATTAGCGCACTTTTTAAGAAAACCAACTTGGATAGGTCAATACCTTAATTATTATAGTTATTGCCCTATGTAATACAAATAGAGTTTGATAAGGTGACTACTCAACAGGTTTGATCGTATTTACACAAATGACGCCATTAATGATGATGTTAAGTTGCTACATAAAACAATAATGGAAAATGGCTATCCCCTTGAATTCATAAATAGATGGAAAGTTCATGGTACAGTGAGACCTACTATAGCTTTGGCGGAAAGAAAGCCTGTCTACATAACCCTACCATTTAGATGTGATTCGAATAACGTTTTATTGAAAAAAGGCTTAAATCAGTCATTAACAAGATATATTGGGCAGCAAAGATCATTATCAAGGAAACAACAGGGTTCATGCTTCATCGAAAACGTAAAAGACAAGAAAACGGTTGCATCACATCCCACTGTGTTTATCGATTTGAATGTGTGTGTAGTCACACGTACATAACGAGGATTAATCGTGATCTCAAAATTAGGGTGTGTGAACATGTACCCAAATGGCTGCATAAACAAATACAATTAAGTGACACAATAAGAGCAGAGGATAAACATCCATCATCCCTTATTGCCAAACTCATAATTGAAACAGGTCATAAGATTGATCTAAACTCGGTTTTTGTGGTGTTGTATAAAAATGTAACAGGTAAATACTAAGGTTTATTGAAGCTCTAGCCATACAAAAATTCAAACCCCCTTTGTGTATTCAAAAACAGTTTGTTCTTACCTTAAACCTACCCTGGTAAAATTGACTTATTATCCAGAGTGATTAGTTTTTGAATTGTGTTCACAGTATTATAATTATTACTATTATTACTATTATCCTTGTATCTAAAGCAATTAGTCCCTTAGTTATTTTAATTGTACTTTTATTTGTTTGACCTTTATTAATTTTCATATAAAAATGCCCTGACAAGTATATGTGTGACCAGATTGTTCGAAATGTATAGCGCTAATACATCACATTTTTCAGATCAACTCTGTCTTCTCATTGTTCTATCCTTGTATCCTCTTACCCTCCATTTCTAGTCTAGTTGACCTTTTATTTTAAAATGTTCTTAACAAGAATGTAATGTGTGATTAGATTGTTCGAAATGTATTGCGCTAATATATCACATAGTCTTGATAATCTTCGTCTTCTTATTGCACTATCGAAGCACCATATATATACTACTTACCATGTTTTCTTTTTCCTGTAACATTCTCGATAACATAATAACATCTGGGCTAGACATCAGTTGACCAGGTACTGATGCCCTACCACCAACTGTACCTATACCAGCACTAGATGAAGTATTTCCAATGAATTGAAATGCACTTCCTGCTAAATGTGGAGATAATGATCCACCACTACCTGTATGATATGGTGCCAAATAACCTGATCTTCCTGTACCAGATGTTGCACCGATATTTTCTAAACCACCAGACATTCCTGACCAAGTTCCATGAAGTGATATATTCGGGAAGAGAGGAATGGTAGATAACTATTTAAGAAGAAATAATTAACAGGACATTAATGAGAAGTAATTTTCAAGCTATAAGCATTATGTGACATTGATATTATTTATTCATTTATCATGTATAGAATATTCGGCAAAACAGGGTAGTACAGAATGGTTCACACACAGTAGAACAATAATAATATGTAAATTTCAAAGGAGCAAAGGATATGTAATCAGCAAATTAATGAACACTACGGAGTATTGAATAAAGTGTACAGCAAAAGTACATTATACCGTTCAAGCAAACCATGAGCAAAAGAAGAGCTCTCAGTGTTTTGCACAAAACTCAATAAGTCAATACCAATTATCATTCAATTCATAAAGAACTTTGTAGAAGTGTTAGTATGACCTAAAACGCAAGATTACGTTTCAATTCAGTATTATTATTGTTCAGCAGAAAAATCCATTGAATTAATTCAGTCACTAAGTCGTTCAAAGTAATATACAGCGCATATTTCGTACCATTTCTGTGTAATATCTAATTTTGTATTAATTATAATGGTTGAGATCATGAGTCAATTGAAGCTAGACCATCATGGAAAACCTGGAAGCACTTAACGGCAGTGCGCATCTGCGATCCCGCCTCGCGAGATTCCAACCCAGGACCTACAAGTCTCGCGCGCGAACGCTTAACCAATAGACCACAGAGCTGGTCGGTATCCAATGATATTAATGTCTAATTTCAACTAATCCACCAAATTGAGCGACACATCCACCGTTGTCCCAGTTGAACTCTACTGGTCACTACTTCCCACTAGAACTCCAGGATATACCTCTCTTATCTATCATCATTCATTGTCTTTTCATTTGTCTCGCTTTTAACCCATATTTTTCCATGTTTAATGTCAGTCATCATAACTATGACAAAAATGCATTTTCAAATTGATTGGGATTGTATTTGTATAATCCTTAAATGAACATGATTTCGTACGAAAAAGATTATGAGTATGAAAGACTAAAGAAACTGCATAGATACTTTAAAATCTGATATATAATTAAGTTCTGCAAGTGATATGGCAATAAATCCATACTTGATAACTACTTAGTTATGACCAATATCATATGTATCAAGTTCTTCTTAATACTTGTCTAATTCTATTTGATCTAGTTACAATGTGACCAATAGTCTAAGTGACTCAACATCACATGTATATTGGGATGTATGGTGTAGTGTACCAAATAACATAAAGCCTAAATTCAGGGTTTTTTTCCTACTACCTCCACAACCACAACTTAACGTAGCAATATATTCCTGTTGTTTTTAATTGGTTAATTAACTTCAAATTTCACTGTACGGTAGCCTTTCACTAAAGATACACTTCACTTAGAAAACACATCGAAGATAGATTCACTGATGATCAAAAACATTTTCTTAAATTTATAACCAAATAGATAGAAAAAAAAGACAGTAGTACTGTCACTCAAGTCTATTGTGAGGCATGTGTGGTAATATCTCGAGTTGATGGAGAAGATTTGTAGCTCAGGTGGATGATTTTGATGGATTTTTGTTCTCTCAGCTGGATGGTTTGGTCGTGGAGCTTTCATTGTTCTTCTTAACGACATCATCAGCACAAACTTCAGATAGAAGTGAAGTGTTCGAATTTCTCCATATGCGTTTCACAGCTTGTTCTGTACACCTCGATGTTGATTGGTTCTTATTTACCTTAAATTTGTCATTGTTTACTTCTTTGTTTTGGTTGTGTCTCCTACTGGTTTGATTTTTGTTCCTGTATTTGTGCATGGTTTTCCTGATTAGCTGATAAATTGGATTGATTTCAATATACTTGTTGATTGCTGATTGACCTGAGTGCCAGGCTTCTAAAAATACTCTGGTGTTTTTGGAATTTCCTCTGTCTAAAATTTCTACGTTCTTCCAATCGAATGAGTGTCCGCAATTGTCCACGTGCATTGATATAAGTGAGGAGATATCATGGCGTTTGACTGCTAATTAGCAGTCAAACCATTCAGCTCAGAGAACAAAAATCCATCCTTGATACAAAAAAATGTAGAACACCGCTATTATTAAGACCACTTGTCAACCAATAACATGTATAGACTACATAAATATACATGTCGTCAAAAATGAATAAGACAATTGAAAATGAGACATACTGCAGCACGATCTTGATCAGTTAAAGTATGTTCACGTCCTTGTGTCAGTTTAATCATAGCTGCTACACGTAAATTGGCTTCATGATTTGAACGTCGCAATTTTTCCAATTCAGGTAAATAATTCTGGAACTAAATTATTGATTAAGAACAAAGATTTACTGTAAGATACGTAATAACTAAATATAAAGTTTCTATTTCAGTGGATATTTATCTCTAAAGGCCTTTGATAAATTACATGACAAGGGGTCTGAAGCCAGGGTAATTTGTAAATACCATATGTAACTGATCAGTCTCTTATTGGCATACAAGTGTATATTGTGCTTATCGCCTCAATATTGCCTTAATTTTACAAGCATTATCAGTAAAGATGGATAGTGGCTAGAAGTGGAATCTAGGACGCGCGTTTCGTCCTATTTGGGACTCGTCAGTTGAATGTACTTGCATACCAGAGTTGATGTTCACTCTGGAACTTGAACCCAATACCGTTCTTTACATAGCAAACTGATCATTTCTGTAAACTGGCATGAATTCTGTAGTTATTATTTTCAGAATATATTGTAGTGCCTAGTCTTATGTCGAGCCGACATAGCTTATTCTAGCTTCCGGACAAGCCAGTTTATGTATTTCTTTTAAGCTACATTTTGAGCTTAGTAATTATTCACTTATCAACCCTGACTGTTTTTATATACGCGTATATTTGTGCACTTCTTATCTCACTCATCACATATCTGTAACTTATTTTTGTGTGACGATAAATATTGATTAACGCTTGGTTAAATCGAGTTGGTTTACATGCCTTCTCCACTGCTCATCATTTCGTTTCGTTTTGCACTCTCTTCTTTGCTACCTTAGCTACGTCTCGCTGATTATCTGTTCCGATAAACGATTATGCAAAATGTAGGTTCATTCTCATATTTGACTTATTTAATTCCGTTATTCACTAACACGATTTAAGTCGATAATTTTATACGAGGATTAGCGATATGTATATTTCAATAACATTTATACGATCCAATTGGAGTCAGATCCCTGGCAATTAAAGTGATGAGCACTTCAACAACATCGTCCGATCTAATTTACGTCAAAATGAAAAGCTCCACTAACATATATATATGGACGTGTGTTTTATCCCCTATAGTATTCGCATGAATGTTTGAGATCTTGTAAATTACCATTATCATTAACATCATTGTGCTTCATTTCTTAATCCTACATTGTTTGAATATGTTAAGAAACTATTTTGTGTGAGTTTTTTTATCTTATGAGTAGCTCGGTCGAATTTCGGCAACGACGAATCTCACGTAGGGCAACTGTTCCAAGACGATAACAATGAGGTTTCTTAACACTACCAGTCGCTGGTGAAGCCATACGTGCCGCCCTGGTAGCTAACTGATTTCTTGTTTCCTTTTTATCAGTACTCTTACAGGAAGTCTGCTTCGTACGCGCCATGACTGTGAATAACAAGTCTTTGACCAACTTTTTCACAAGCAAGTTGTTAATGATTAATATTGGTTTTATTAGACAATATCAGAATTTATCTTGAAAGTTGAAAATTCTTACGTTTTACCATATGACTATGACATTTGAAGAGATCACTAACGGATTTAAGTTTCAATGGAAGCATAAATATTGGAATATAGTTTTATCTATTAAATAATGAATTGTATTTTATAGATTTTATTGATAAAATGCTCCCAAATGCCGTGGTACGGCCGAGAGTGGTGAGATTCAGTTTTCCTTCTCGAAATGCTTTCAAGTGGCCAACTGCATACAATCACTACCAGGGAAGTCCTACTAATTGCCTTCTTGAGGTATTACTGTTACTTACGAAGTCGAGAAGACGAAAAGCGAATGTCCGTCGCTTTAACCGGCTCGGTGGACACCGAGAGTCCGTCTAAGGGAGTTGGGAAACCCTGATTCCAAACCAGTGATTCACATGGGTTCCAGTATCCTGAAGGAATAAATGGCATATGAACCAATGATTGGCTACCGGCTACCATAGGACTTAATCTCCTGATGTTGCTTCACTGCCTTGTGGATTAGGCCTTCAGGTCGAAGGCTCCAGATGTGGTCCCCTAAAAAAAGCACCTGGATAGTAGCACAGCGCATATACAAATGAAGTGACTTGTGTAGCACATATGCATTCGGTGCCCCTCCGTACCAATGTTTATGTGTTTAAATATATGATATATATATCTTCATATTCTCTAAAATATTCACCATTTTTAGATTTTGATAATTTAGAAATATTTGTTGACAGGATCAACAAAGATTGATCATAATCAATTCGTTTTTATTTAAGAGAAGATAGGGAAAGAAGAAATGAAAATCATGCTACTTCTATCCAACATTCCGAATCATGATAGTTAGCCAAAATTCAAAAAAGCAGTCTCAATCTATCAAAAGTCAGTGACTTCATTGATTGGTAAAAAGAAACCTAGCTATCTTCCGGTCTGTTTCTACTCCAGTTTCCATTACGTGGTAATTTAAATAGAGGAAGTTAATGTGCAATAGAAGTTCTAGACACATCAGTTCGAAATGTTAACAATAGGAAGTGAGAATAAGATTGTTTACAAATGAGAATGAATCATAAAGTTACATGATTAAATTCATTACAGAAGTTAACCAAATAACTTACACATTCTTGTTCTAAAGTTTTAAGTTGATTTTCACGATCAGTTAATTCTTCTTGTGCTGAAGCTAACTGAGCTGAGAGATTATTTCTTTCACGTTGAAAATGTTCCAGATTACTTCGTAATTCACGTACCTACAATTAGACGCATAAATAAATGAAAGGGAAAAGTACTTTTTTTTACTTGGTATATGTCCTCTAATAAGATTAAGCTCAATCTAGGTTTCGTAACACGACTGTTGATTTAAAAGATAAGTTTAACTGGAACCTGCTAAGACAGTTATGTAACTCTCTCTCTCTCTCGTATTTTCAATTTTTAACATGACTCTCATCAATTTTTATTGTTTTGCAGTTGCATTTTTGCAGTTTTTAGAGTATCAATGTTGAAATTGTCTGTAGTCGATGACACTGACAGACTTCAGCTAGAAAACCACTGATAATCAAGGTGGATTGAACAACTGTTTTACTTTAGCACTAAACTTCTTATCCATTAACTCCCGCAACATGGATCATACTCAGGATCTTTAGGTTTCTGAGCAAGCGGGTTACTCTTTTAAACTATTGAGTTAACATCTAATAATTCACATTTCCAACATCAGGTAGGTTGCGATATTTCAAGGACATCATTAGTTAACACTAGTGACGCAAAATATAAGCTTTATGAAATTAAAGCTCACTAGCTACAACTCATTATTATAATTCTGGGTACGTAACTGCTACTGCTTAATGTAGTTTGTAAATATGATTGGCGGTTGGAAATAGTTATTACGATAGCCTATATAACTTAGACTTCTTGCTAGCTGAATCTTATCAACAAGGTATAGCTTCCATCTTGAGGAAACTGATGCTCCCTGTGGGACTCGAACACAAATCGTTTAGCTTCACAATCTGAGACGTTATCATAGTGCTATTTGAGCAGTGTAGTTGAAAGTAACAAACTGTACAATCTTCAGACCCCTTATTTACTAATTTTATCAGGACTCTTTTTTACTTAGTTGGCTTGTAACTTCAAGATGAATTTTCGTCATGATTTGTTATTAGTGTGGAACCCATGTTCATATCCAAATGACACTCTTCATGTTCTCTTACCTTCTCTAGTCTGATTACCAAACATATGGTCTGTCGAATAAACATACTTGCAAAAATACATTACTACCTAGTTTGTATTTGACTTCTGAATTTTGTGAATGGAACACAATATAACTATACCCCGAGGACTAACCTAAGGATAAAAGTGAAGTCAGCTCAGGTCAATTAAAAACGGGGTCTGAAGCATAAAAAACTTATAAGTTCGTCACAATATCTGAAGTTATTCGACTAATAGTCGACATGTATTGTAACAGAGACTGTGAACTAAAGCTAACCAACTGTTCAGGGTTTCGTGTATTTTGATGAATCCGCAGTTAGTTCCACTTTATGGAAAAGTGTCTCATCATAGCATTATTATTACTATTACTATTATTTAGAGTCAGGAAACTGTAGAACTAAGAAAAATCAATATACCTGTTGCTCTAAATGTCTTGTTTCATCATCACGACCGGAAGCGTAAATTTCACGTTCCGCTGTTAAACGTACACTTTCGCGCAAAGCTTGTTCTAATTCACGAATTCTTCCATCTTTCTCTGTTATAATACCCTGCAAATGAAAAGTAATAATGAAGCGAAACCAACATTGTGTTGATTATTTATCTTTTTTTATTAGGAATTATTATCAATCAAATAAAGAATTTCAAATTTTCTAAATAAAATTACAAAATCAGGTCCTTTCCCAAGTGAGTTCCGGGGATCTAACTTCCCCAACAAACAAAAACAAAATTGTGTATTGACCCGTAACGCTGATGATAATTGGCTTAATGAAGTAACATTAAGACTGAAGCCTAATGTTTAAAAAATTGTGAATTTCTCTGCCCGAAAAATTTATTCGTATTGCTACATTGTGATCTGAATTATTATATTGGTTAGTATATTTTGTTGTTGTCAAAGGATTCTGGTTGACGTATTTTTAGCATGATTTCTTCTACAGAATGGGGTTGTTGACCTCATGCCCAACCCTCCTACTTTACCTGGGCTTAGGAATGGCAGTAACTCTAGAAAAGCTACAGGCGGGAGAGCTGTAAAGGATTGCCCACGACAGCATTGGATGGAGAGTGCTGATGTGTGGCCTATGCTCTTCCATGAGGAGTAACAGGCATACGAAATTTTCCAAGGATCCAATCGTTTTCAACTTCAAGTTGATGATATGATTTATATTAGATAAATGATAATTCATTATTTCCTTTAAAATAAATGATTGTTCAATTTCTTTGTCATTTGTCTATCAAATGAATATTGAAATTATTCAAATGAATAAATGTCTGAGATAAGATGTTTTTTAAATACAGTATTTTTCATATCCGTATCTCACTTAATTAACTCCACACGAAGCCTCTCTGGGGTTACTGCCAATCCCAAGCTCAGATAAAGGGGGAGAGTTTGGCATGGTGTTAGCGACCCCACTTCATCCCGTAGAAAACTAACTCGCTAAAAAACCGCTAACCAGAAAAAAGTAATTCAAACCGGTTTAAATAAGTAATCTCAATTAGGATGAAATGAGCACCATTGAACTTAGTATTAGTGATTACGTGAGCGAAACTGAAGCCATACTTCAGTCGTTTTTAACAACTAGATACAGTTGTCCAATTAGTCAACTTGTTGGAGTGATCCATAAAACTTCTCGCAAAAAAACAAGAAAGGCTCAGGAAAACACTAAGAAGCATTTTATCCAATCAGCAGTCAATTGAAGTTTAGCCAGAAACATAAATAAAGTGAAGATTATAAACACACCTAGTAAATAAGTGTTGACTATCATGAAATCTAAGCAAAGCAAGATTTTCAACTGGCCACCTCCAATAAACTAATGTCAGATATTTTATTCGAAAAAAATAGTAAAAGTGTAAACTATCACGATTAACACTTAAATCAACGCCTACCTTTAATATTTCATTATCAGATTGTGCATTCTCTTCACGTTGTCTTGACTCTTCAAGTTGTTGACTTGATTTTTTTCGTTCATTTTGTTGACTACGTTTTAAATTATTCAAATTATTTTGTGCTTCACGAAGTTCTCTGTAATAATGAAATAAGGAAAAAAGTTGGCTAGAAATCAGTATGAAGGAATATCCGGAAAAATGTAAACAGATACTTGTAATAGTTGAAGAGATTTTCTTGCAGACTTATTTAATTTATAGATTGTATTCTTCGCAGGTTGATCTTATTCGAGGTACCATGGAAAACAGGAGAGCAATAAACAGGTATTTTTGTCCAGATATGAGACTTTTATAGTATACGCTCACTACTCCCCGCCAGAGAACATTTGGAGATCTCCAGAAATCCTGGAGGTCTTGGGTTTTATACCTAAACTGGGTCATCAGTGAGCAATGCTGAGGAGTTCAATTCTAGATGAAGATGGATGTCTTGTTTTTTCCTGATTTTTAGTGGTACCTTAATTCAGATCATATTTAGAAAAAATAAAAGTTACGAATAGCCAATTAAAATAATACAAAAAGGTTTTTCCAAGAAATTGCTGACATTTAGTCAGGAAACATCAGAAATTTTAATGCTTCTACCCATTGGGATATTGCATAGATATTATTTCTATGAATAACAATCTACCGAACGCTTAATTTATTTGAAATCATCAAGTTAAAACTTGCTAATGATACCTACTTATGAATTGAATAGAATGATCAAAATGTTAACTTCCACTGGATATAAACAATGACATTATTGTTCTGAACGATAATAAAATCTTAGCAATTCAATCATTGAATTATTTTTTCTGGTTAGCGTTTCTTTTAGCGAGTTAGTTTTCTACAGGATGGGGTCGCTAACCCCATGCTCAACCCTCCTCTTTTATCTGACATTGGGACCAGCAGTAGGCCTAGAAGGGCTCTAGGAGTAGTGAATAGGACACACATTGTGGAAACTACCCAACTGCGTCACAAAGCAAGCCCGCACATGAAATCCTCAAGGCTAAAAGAGAAGAGGAACATCAGAGAACACATTACGCTGAGAAATGGAGACAGATATGAGAAACACAAGAGGAAGAAGAGTGAACAATAATTGAGTAGAACTAGAAAGGAAGGATCAGGACATGGTGTTTTGGAGAATGCTGGTCGGCGATCTATGCTCCATTGAGAGTAATAGACGTAAGTAAGTAAGTAATTCAATCTTTATGATTAGAGAATGTAATATGAATAACAGTAAACTCATCTAAAACTAATCACTTACTCTTTCAATTCATTTAATTGATTTTCTTTATCAAATTTTTCTGTATCAATTGTTCTTAATAAACGATCTACTTCTGTTTGAAGTTTAGATGAATTTTCCATATAATGATTTAATTGTCCTTCTAATTCTGCTGTTCTTTGTAAAAATTTCATATCAGATTCAGTGGTTATTTGTTTTTGTAACTAAGACACAAAAAACAAAAGAAACAATATTGTGTATTTGTAAGCAATGATGGATAGTGGCTAGTGGTGGGATCCAGGACGCGCGTTTCGTCCCATTTCGGACCCGTCAGCTGGATGCACCTACATCTCAGAGAGTTGATGTGCACCCTGGGACTCGAACCCAGTACCATTCGCTTCAAACGCCGTCGCGTTATCCACTTAGCTACTGAGTCCTGATAGCCAGTTGCTTGTGCAATGGGGTGAATTTAAATTCACTTGGACAAAATGCGTCACAACGCAAGTCCTCACATGGAATCCTCAAAGCGAAAGGACAAGAAGAAGACCAAAGAACACATCATGCTGAGAAATGAAGACAGATATGAGAAGAATGAACAACAATCAGATAGAAATGGAGAGGAAGACCCAGAACAGAATGAGTTGGAGAATGCTGGTCGGCAGCCTATGCTCCATTAAAGGTTAGAGTCGTAAGTAAGTCATTAAAATTAAGTAAATATGTGTGAGAAAGGCGATATCATTTGACAAAAGAACACCCAGATAGATGATTATCTACGGTGAATATATTATCCACTTGATTTTCACTAGTAATCACTGAATCCTAGAACTTTTCATTTTCAATTATACATTCAATTAGAAATTTATATTTGAAAATAACGAAAAGTTACAGGACTCCGTAATGTGGAACCTTCAGGCTGGAGCACTTAAAATATAATTGAAAATAGTTAGGAATCATAGTATATTTCAACACAAATATCATTAAATTTTAAATGCATGTGGTGTTGTTTAATTGTATCTTCCGATTGTTATTTAGGACTGCAATTGATCAGTCTCATATTGACATATGTGCATCCTGTGTGGGCGGCCTCGATATTGCCTTAGGTCACAAGCTTTATAAACACAGATGCAGGTACATCCGGGTGACGAGTGCCAAACATGACAAAACACGCGTCCTGGATTCCACTACTAGCAACCGTCCATCTTATCTTATATCATTAAATTTGTACAACTGAACTCATATAAGTAATATAGTTCAGTAAGAAATAATCTAATTCATTAAACGAACACAAAGCTAATTATTCGTCTAAACTATATTGCTTTTTATAATAACCTTGGTAATGACATAAAAGTAGGCGAAAAGTTAGGATAGGCTGAATCTTTTACTTGACTTTTGAAAATCGAACTCTAATTCATTCATTCATTCTAGTTAATCAATAATACTATAGGGTTTTGTGATGAATGTATCACTCCCATTTCATGGGAAATATTTTCTGTCTATGAAACATTCTTGATTGGGAATTCTTAGTGGTAACAAAAAAGAAGATCTTGTTATCAGTAATATTATATTCACAATGAATCAATATATGGGATCTGTTATAAATGTCCACCTGTTTGAATTTCCAGATCAATAATCCCATAATAGGACGAAACAGGCATCCAATGCTTCCAGGATCTCAGTGGTTGTGAATTTAACTATAGAAAAAAGAGTAGGGAAGTATCCGAAATAACAGTATTGTCATCAAAATGTTCATCATGATCCCATTGTTAGGGTGATCCAGAAAACTTTTCGCAAAAGACAAAAAAGGCTCAGGAAAACACTAAGAAGCATTTTATCCAATCAGCAATCAGTTGGATTTTAAGTAGAAACATAAACAATGTGAAAAGTCACATCTAGAGTTTCTGATTGGATGATTATCTATACTACTACTATGTTTAGTAGCATTCCAGAATTTTTGGGAAACCCAAGGACATGTATAATACTTTATAACTCTATATTTTCTGTACTAGAACGAGCCTTTAGAGTAAAGTGCTTCTCGTATATTTTGCGTCTTTTCTTTCGTGTTCAGGTTGCTGTGATGTTCTAGCTTGGGGGTTACGAGAATAGCTTAGGAACCGAATATAGCGTTCAATTAACAAGACTTATCACCAATGTAGCCATTAGTCTAAGTAACTCAATATTATGTATATTATGAATGATAAACTACTGGAGATTTACCCACAAGAAATTTCTCTTAACTTAAGTTTTGTGTTAGTTGGCTCTTGTCTGTGAAGGTTACTTTAAATCTTGAAAACATTGATGCTGTCTGTTGAATTCGGACCAACATGACTCCCTATCATTTCGTAAGACATAACCACGAATAAGTAATTCATGGAATTTAAGTGTAAAACGAAAAAGAAAATAAATTCCTCAGTTTTCAATTTTGACACATCAAAAAAAAACAAAAAACAAATTACTAATTTCAATAGCTGAAATCATGAGTCATTTGAAGTTAGACCACCATGAAAAACCTGGAAACACTGAATGGCCATTTCGTCCTAGTATAGGACTACTCACCAGGGCACATCTGCGATTTCGCCTCGCGAGATTCCAACCCAGGATCTATCAGTCTTGCACACGAGCGCTTAACCACTAGACCAGTGAGATTTTCAATTTTGATACATCAAAAACAAAACATTTCACAACTTACTAATTGTTTCTCCATTTGTAAAGTGGTCACTTCTGAATTTCTTTGACTTAATTGTGTTTGTAATTGATTAATTTCTGTTTCTAATTTAAATCTTGATGTTCTATAATCATTTGTTTCATCGCGTATTTCCATTAATTGTGTTGTTTTCTCATCTAATTCTTTTTGTAAAATATCTAAACGATTTTTAAATTCATTATTTAAACGTTTTTGTGTTTCTAATTCTTCAACAATTTCTGATTCACTACGTTGACGAGCTTCTTTTAAACTATACAAATGAATGAGAATAAGTTATAACCAATCGTGGTTTAAGATGAAAATATATTCAAGAGTAATTGATTAGTTAAAGCAATTTGTCGATAGTGTGTAGCGACCTACTTTTATCACATGCACTTACGTCTGCTCAGTAAATCCGCTTGTACTCCTTTGGCACGATCTCAGTGTTCTTTCGATACCACGAGATCGCCAACAAATATATCTCACTACAACCTCAAATCGCCTTCTGATATCTGGTACGCAACCTTCTTGTAGTGGTGATCATAGACAACCGCGATTCGACACTACATTAGAATTGGTGAACCCAAAAATACGAACACTTTTCAATCGAGGCCAAATCTTCCAAAGAAGCCAATTGCGATGAGTCTATTACTTATCTATCCACGTCTGTTGCACATTTTCATATTGATATTTTTCAATATCTAACATTCTGGTAACAACTCGAAATGACGGATAACGATAAGAATAGTATTATTATAATATACTCTGATGTACAGGTTATCCGTTTTAGACCTGTATCTTTTATCCCCCATGACCCGGAAGTTCGGTTCGCGGCACTGGAGTCTCAGTTCGAGACCAGCCGCATTACGAGTCAACTGTAAAAATATGCCTACGCTCTGGAATCTTTACCAGGGAATCACATAGTCGCTGTCCGTGAGGTGATACTCAACCACAATGTGCCTAACGTTTACGATTGTCTCAAGGAGGCGATCCTCAAACATTTCCTCCCATCGAGAGAGGAACGGTTGGGGACATTAATAGCACGTCACCCTCTGGGTGATCCTAAGCTGAGTCACCACCTCACGCGCCTGCAATCTCTTGCAAGACCTACGGCAGCTGATTCCGTAATTGTTAAAGAATTGTGGCTCAAATCGTTACCAGCACACACCCAACCAACGATCACGGCCCTGCTCGAGAACGCACCACTCGACCAGGTGGCCCTTATAGCAAACAAAATATTGACAAGGACCGGCAACCGAGAAAATTATATAGTTGCCTAAACGTCACGTTCGAACGTGGATATGGACGCTAGTCACTTCCCGGATCAAAGTGATGGGGGCGGTCGTATTCATACACGTCTTAACTTTCGAGACCGTTGCGACATACCCGAACCCTATGTCCCTCGAGCCAGATCACTCTCTCGTAAATTCGTAACCACTAGCCCAACGAAGGCATCTTCCAAGCCACTCCAAAAGGCGGCTTCGGAAGCGAGTGGAGGTTGGTGCTGGTTTCGCCGCTCCTTCGGGTCCGGTGCCCGCCGTTGTCGAGCCCCGTGCTCATACAAGGAGGAAAACTCCAAGGCTGGCGGGTAAAGGCGGCCGTACTTGCCGGCCATTTACCCCAGGTTGGTCGTTTATTTTATGTGCACGACTATCGCACGAACGCTAGTTATCTAGTAGATACTGGTGCCCATGTTTCTGTCGTACTTCTTGGTAACACTAAGTCACAGGCTACGACGGTTCGACTACGTGATGCGAATGGCTCAGCCATTCCTACCTATGGTACACGACAACTCACGGTCAACCTAGGCAATCGACGACAGTATCTGTCGACGTTCATGATTGCCGATGTTCCCACAGCCATACTCGATATTGATTTCCTACAGCACTACGAATCGCTAGTCGATTCACGTTGGCTGCAGCTAATTGATACTTCATCGAACAGCAAATTCATGGGCCTCAAAGCTCAAACAAATGCGTACCGAATCTTAGACGTCTTTTATTCGCGTGACGATATATTCCACGCTTTATTCGAGAAATTCCACAAATTAACTAAATTACTCGAGGAGATTTCATCGGTGACCGATCGTGTGGCACACCAAGTAGTTACCCGCGGACTCCATTCACGTCAACACCACGCCGACTGGCACCGCAAAAGCAAAATTCTCCGACACAATACAGCATGCAACAATCGAATCACAATTGACGGAGAAGATTTGGAAGATGTAAAAACTAATACATATCTGGACAGCATCATTGATGAACACGGCGGATCAGATGCAGACATGAAGGTGCAGATCGACAAAGCAAGAGCAGCATATTTACAACTGTAGAACATCTGGAACTCAAAACAAGTGTCAACCAACACCAAGGTCAAAATTTCCAATACAAATGTCAAATCAGTTCTACTGTATGGGGCAGAAACTTGGAGAACTACGAAAGCCATCATCCGGAAGATACAGGTGTTTATTAACAGCTGTCTACGCAATATAGTTCTGATCCGTTGTTCAGACACTATCAGTAACAACCCACTATGGGAGAGAGCAAACCAGATTCCAGAGGAGGAAGAAATCAGGAAGAAGCTCTGGAAGTGGACAGGCCACACATTGAGGAAACCACACAACTGTGTCACAAGGTAAGCCCTCACATGGAATCCTCAAGGCTAAAGAAGAGTAAAACCAAAAAAAACACTACGTCGAGAAATGGAGATAGATATGAGAAAAATGAACAAAAGTTGGTTAGAACTAGAAAGGAAGGCCTAGGACAGAGTGTGTTGGAGAATTATGTTCAGCGGTCTATGCTCCATTGGGAGTAACAGGCGTAAGTAAGTAAGTATTGAAGTAGGTCATAGTTTGAAAGTAAAAATAAACTTGTTTAAATAATGGTCAATAAAAGTCATTGAATAATCAGCCGTAAGTACATAGATGGTAAGGGAGTGGAAAGATAAAATACATAGAATAGAATTATTCGCTTGAGTTTTTATAACTTTCTCTAAAAGTAAATGATCTTCACGAACCAAGTTAAAGTTCATTTCAAATAGTCATATCATTTATATCCATTTAATTAGTTCAATCTAACAAACAATAATCAACGTAAAATGAAATGATATTCTGAAGTGCAAACAAGTCAAATCAAAATTATTATGAAATATAAAGTTATTTATCATATTTTCTTACCGTTCAATTTGTCGATCTTTATCTTTTAATGTTTCCTCCCATCCAATACGTCCACCATCTGAACTGACACGTTCTGTACTAATACGTGAAAGACGAGCTTGAGCTGTTGCTAATTGTGTTTCTTTATCATTAAGTAAATCTTCTATATTTTCAATCTAGTTTACAATGTAAGGTGATACAGATTTGCGGTTTTAAATGTTTTATTTTAAATAACTTGTACTACTCATAATAATTATCAGTAGACTTATAATGATTATAAAATGATGTAAGTGTATAGTCATGGGAATTTTTGTTGTATCAAAAAGTACATATGTCATATCTTCCTAATATTACCCCAACAGGAGTTAATAAAACTGTATATCAAAATGAAATGTTCTAAGAATTATGAAAATAAAATCTTCAAATGATCGTAGGAAATCTAGTGATTCACCTTCCATATAACATGGTTGATGTTCATCTGTTGTTAAATCTAAATAAAATATTGCGATCGCTCCTTAAAGTGATTTCCTAGTGAGTTTTATCCAAGTTGGAGCTAATTTCCATCAGAAATATATTTTGTAACAAGCCATTGTTATATCTCAGATTTAAGGACCTTAGAAATATGCACTCGTAATCCTGTAAAGAATCAAACTCATAACCCTTAAAAAATATAATAAATGAATTTCAACAGTTGAGATCATGATTCAATGGAAGCTAGATCACCATGGAAAAACTTGGAAGCACTGGATGGCCGTTTCGTTCTATTGTGGGACTCGTCAGCAGTGCGCATCCACGATCCCGCCACACCGCGAGATTCGAACCCATGACCTATCAGTCTCACGAGTGAGCGCTTAACCATGGTGGTTTAGCTGCAATTGACTCATGATCTCAACTGTTGAAATTACTACAATCTCCACAAAACCCGTTTCTGATAATAAATGAATGAATTTCAGATTACATGGTTTATTTAATGATCAATACTTGAGTTTTCTTCTTTGAACCTACTTTACCTTAATAGAATTCTTTGTATCCGTTAAATAGTTAATTGAATGAAAAGGAGAAAAAAAATCAATTTTTAAAACATCAGTGATTATTTTAATTTCACTCGGACAAAAACTAAAGAAAATCCTCCCTCTTTTCCCCCATTTTTTAGTTCACTTCTTTGATATAGAGATAATATGTATGCCAAAAAATAATAAACATTTACAACTTAGATTGGTTCAATGTTTTTTTTAGTGAGTTAGTTTTCTAAAGGATGGGTTCGCTAACTCTATGCCCAACCCTCCTTTTTTATCCAGGCTTGTAACTGGCAGAAACGTCAGTAGGGAGGGGGGTGCTCCAGGCGGATATTAACTACTGACTTTGAAGAAAACAAACTATAAGGACTAATAGGTCATTGTTTCTGTCATGAATAATTGAAAAATAATTTTTGTTTAGTAATTTTCAGTATTTTAAAATAAAATTTAATTAATTGTTTTTCTATTGTTTTCACAATAAAAACGAATGAAAGTTCTGTATTATTGGATCAAATTCAATTGAAGTTCTAATTAGGTGTTGAGATATTCAGAAAAATATCCCAAAAATTATCCTTTTAAGTCTAATGCCATTCTTGAACGTGAAATGGTGTCATTTTCCTATTGGTCAATATTTATTTCACGTGTCATTTTCTTACTGGTCAATATTCACGGTAGTCCTAACTGTATAAATATGCATTTGTCTGTAAAGTATTATTCTTATTCCTATTCTTATTCTTCTTCTGACCCCATAAACAATTTTCATCTAAGGTTCGTGTTCTGATATTTTGGAGATTGGGGAACAGTATTGGGGTCGTACTGGGTTATCTGAAGTTGGTCAGTCGGTAGAAATAACAGTAGCAACCCCGCGGTCCACAATAATTTGGCGACGGAGATTTAGCAAACAAGTTGGTGACTAACTATGGATCCAGCCAAATTAGAAAAAATGTTCGTACAACAGCTGAAGCTGATAGAGATGAGTCCCAATTACACAGACAGTCCCTCAATCAGTTGATGGTATTACCAGTGGCATTTCAGAATTTCTTTATGATCTTGACGCCAATATTACATTTCATACTTGGTTCAGGCGTTATGAAGACCTTTTCAAAGTTGACTTTACTGACAGAGATTACTCGTGGAAGGTGCATCTTCTCCTTCGGAAACTTGATCCATCCGAGCTGGACAAGTATTGCAACATCATTCTACTGCAGAACCCACGCAACCGTCCCTTTGACGCCACTATTCAATCTCTTAGAAAACTTTTTGGTGATCATCATTCACTTTTCAATACTCGATATCGCTGCTTAAAACTGGTCATGAATGAGTCCGATTACTTCTTGAACCACGCCGGCGTTGTCAACCGTGAGTGCGAACGGTTCAAGCTCAGATCCCTCACTGAAGACCAATTCAAGTCCCTAGTACTCATATGCAGTCTTCAATCACCCAAATTCTTCGACATCAGAACTCGGTTGCTTAACCGCCTTGAACAAGACCCAACACTGACACTCAATGCGATCATAGACGAGTACCAATGCATCATCAGTCTGCAGTGTGACACCACTTTGGTTCGATCTGGGGGCCAGGGTGGTTCCGAAGTTCATACTGTTCAGCACCAGAAAAAATCTTCGAGATCGACAACCCTGAGTCCTTCGAACGCCAGAGCTGTTTCTGTCTCCAATCACTCCAAACCGGCTCAGAAGAAGCCCCCTCGCCATGTTGGCACTGTAGAGCCTGGCATGATGTGAAGTTTTGTCCATTCAAACAGCATATGTGCGATCGCTGTCAGAAAGTTGATCACAAAAGCAGCTTTTGCAAATCCAACCGATTCAATAACCGTCGAAATGCACAGACGCAGCGTCGCTTCCCCAAAAAGCCGATTATCTCATCAGGGGGTTTAGCAGCAGTCTTCCACACTCATGCCGCGACTCGACACAAATTTCCGACCTTCTCAATCAAAGGTCAGCCAGTTCGGTTGCAGTTGGATACTGCATCAGATATCACTATTCTGTTGAAAAAGACTTGGGGAACCTTGGGCCAACCTCCCATCAAACCATCCTGTCAGGCAGCCGTCAGTGCCTGTGGGGGTCATCTCCGCCCTCATGGTGAGCTCTATTGCTGCATTTCGTTCAGAGGTACAACCATCAATGGGACGTGTTACACCACCAATTCTCCACTCAACCTTTTAGGTTTAGATTGGTTCGGAGAACTTGGTCTCGCTGATCTTCCCATTAGCGCTATCTGCAAATCAAGTACAAACTACTGCCTCTACACAACAGCATGCTGCAGACCTTCAAAAACGATTTACTGAACTCTTTCAGCCTGATCTCGGACTTTCTTCCACAACGGAAGCTGTTTTAAGACTGCAGTCAGAAGCCACTCCAGTTTTTCGCCCAAAACGTCCAGTTCCATACGCATCTCTACCTCCGGTTGACGCTGAAATTCAACGTTTGGAAACTGAGGGTGTTCAAGTACCTGTTTCCTATTCATCATCGGCTACACCAATTGTAGTTGTAAAAAAATCCAATAGTTCCATACGCATCTATGCAGACTTTTTCACAGAACTCAACGAGGCTCTACAACCGCATCACTATCCGCTGCCAATTTCAGATGACTTATTTACTATTTTAAATGGTGGTACCTACTTTGCTAAGCTGGATCTGGCAGATGCTTACCTTCAAATTCCAGTCGCTCTAGAATCCAGAGAGTTGTTGACAATCAAAACTCACAGAGGAGTTTTTCAGTATACCCGGTTACCCTTTGGTATCAAAATTGCTACAACGATCTTCCAGCAGATCATGGGTACTATTCTGGCAGATTTTCTTGTTGTTGCTACATACCTTGACGATGTCCTCATTGTCGGCTCAACTGCTGATGAATTGCATACCAGAACACACTTAGTTCTACAACGCCTCCAGGATAATGGTTTTCGCCTTCGCCCAGAAAAATGCCAGTTCTTCTTACATTCCGTTAAATACCTGGGGTTTATCTTTGATGCTTCCGGACGGCACTCTGATCCTCAAGACACTTACGCAATTCAGAAAATGCCTGCCACCACTGATGTCTCCTCACTGCGATCATTTCTGGGAATGATTAGCTACTATTCAGCATTTCTTCCATCACTGCATGACGTACAATATCCAGTAAATCGTCTGCTAGAAAAGAATGCTACTTGGAATTGGTCAACGCAATGTGAGTCAGCCTTTTCAAAACTTAAAGCCATGCTAAGTTCCAATCTACTGCTAACCCACTGCAATCCGAAACTACCCATTGTGGTTACTGCTGACGCTTCAACATATGAACTGGGTACCGTACTCTCGAATGTCTTTCCCGATGGTTCAGAGAAAGCGGTGATGCACACTTCGGGAACACTAACACCTACTGAGAAACGTTACGTCCAGATCAAGAAGGAAGCGTTAGCCCTAATTTTTGCTGCCCGGCGATTCCACAAATTAATTTACGGGCACCGTTTCACCTTGCTCACAGACCATAAGCCGTTGTTATCAATCTTTGGATCAAAGAAAGGTATTCCTGCCCATTCTGTTAATCATTCTCAACGTTGGGCGTTGGCGTTATTAGGATACGACTTCGACATCCAGTATCGACGTTCCGAAGACTTCGGTCAGGCAGATGCACCGTCCAGACTTATCAGTAACCATCCTACCACAGATGAGGACACACTCATAGCCATAATATCAACGGAAGAGGATTCCGGTGCTACACTATTAGCGATATTGTGATATGCAACAACTAGCGAATCGTCGCAGCGCCCTCTGTGTTGTTAACGATTGTCTGATGTTCGGTGATCGCGTAGTAATTCCAACAACCCTAAGTTCCAAGGTCCTACGCCAATTTCACTCTGGACACCCAGGGATAAACCGTGTGAAATCCATCGCTCACAGCTATGCATATTGGCCGAACATGGATAAGCAGATTATCGACTTTGTCAAAAGATGTTCACATTGTCAAACAGCTGCAAAAAATCCTTCTAATTTGTCTCCAGTACCCTGGCCAAAGTCAGAAAAACCCTGGTCGCGAGTGCATATTGACTTCACTGGACCCCTAGAGGGTACCGCATATCTGATACTAGTTGACTCCTACTCCAAATGGCCAGAGATACTGCCAATTGCGCCACCCTCTGCAACTCGGACCACCAAACTCCTTAATCAGATCTTCGCTCAGCATGGTCTTTCAGAAACAATAGTAACAGACAATGGTTCACAGTTCACATCTAGCCAATTCCGAGAATTTTGCCTGTAAAACTCGATCAACCATGTCCGTTCTCCGCCATATCACCCGCAATCTAATGGACAAGCTGAAAGGTTCGTTGATACATTTAAACGAGCCATGCTTAAAGCATGAGGGGAGGGGACCATGGAAGATATCATAGAGCGATTTCTAGTTGTGTACCGGACGACCCCACACGACTTACTGACAAACTTCAAATCCCCTGCTGAGATCCTTATGCAGCGAAAGCTACGAAACGTTCACAGTGCGATGACGCCCAAGCAAGAGTCCTAGCAAAGACCCCAGATGAAGAATACTAGAATTCCCTACGAAGTTGGTGCGAAAGTGTATGCGCGGGACTATAGACACGGATGTGATAGATGGGTAGAGGGTGAAATCACAAAGAAACATAGGGACATCATGTATGATGTCAAGGTGAACCAAGAAATCTGGACCAGGCACCACAATCAACTAAGGCCAAGGGGAGCTTAGTGGTTTAGAGGTTAAGCGATCACGCATGAGACTGATAGGTCATTGGTTCGAATCACTCGAGATGGGGTCGTGGATATGCACTGCTTAACAGTCCCACAATAGAACGAAATGGCCGTCCAGTGCTTCCAGGTTTTCCACGGTGATCTAGCTTTAATTGACTCATGATCTCAACTGTTAAACCTTCTATAATATCCACAAAACCCCTCTCTGATTATAATAAATTAACCATATATAATTGTTTATATATAAATCTACATTAAACGCTGGAATAATACAATTCAATTTAATTCATTTTCTTACCTTTTTCTGTAATAAGGATATTTTTCTATCTTTTATATCCATTTGATCTTTAAGTTCGGTTAATTCTTGTTCAGTTTGTCGTTTAGCTGATTGTGCACTATTCAATGCTTTTGATTTCTTTTCTAAAAGATTTTCTTTCTCTTTAATTCTTTTACGAAAATCTTCTGCCTATTTTAAATGACCAATATTATTATTATTAATTTCAAAACGAACTTCACTAGTTGAAATCATGAGTCAGTTGAAGCTAGACCAAATTGAAGTTAAACATTAACACCGTTGGATGCCGATCAGCTCAGTGGTCTAATGGTTAGGCACTCGCGCGCGAGACTGATAAATCCTAGGATTCGAATCTCGCGGGGTGGTGAGATCGTGAATGCGCACTAATGAGGTGTTCCATACTAGGGCGAAACGGCTGTTCGGTGCTTCCAGGTTTTCCATGGTGGTCTAGCTTCAATTGACTCTTGATTTCAACTAGTGAAATTTCTAAATTCTCCACAAAACCCCTTCTCATAATAATTTCAAAAGAGATAACACAATTTATCTAAAATTGAAATTTCATATACATACAAATAGTTTTATGCATTACAATCAATCACTTTTCATCGATAGTATATTTCACCTATATATGTATGAATGAACCACTCGATTGCGGCACAAGACAAGCCCTTACTTACAATCCTCAAGATTATAGAACGAAAGGGAGAGCAAAGAACACAATACACCGAGAGATGGAAACAGATATGAAAAGAATGAACAATAATTGGGTAGAACTGGAAAGGAAGCCCCAGGATAGAGTGGGTTGAAGAATGCTTGTTGGTGGTCTATTTTTCATCAGGAGTAACAGACGTAAGTAAGTAAACATGAGCGAGCAGGTATGTAAATAAATGAGTAAATACGTAAAAGTAAAGCAGGATGGAGAGAAGAAAAGAAAAAAGGAGTAAAAGGAAGAAGTGGATATAAATAAGTAAATGAGTAAGCATATGAGTGAGTCAGTGAGTCAGTTAGTCAAAAAGAATATCTAACTTAATCCTTAACTGTTAACGCTGATTTTATGTTCAATGCTAACAACTTACTATTCTTATTTTATATTGTTGGAGTGATCCAGAAAATTGCTTGCAAAAGACAAGCAAGCATCAGGAATCACTAAAATGCGTTTCGTTCAATCAGCGTTCACTTGACGTTTTTGCCAAAAATATCAAAGAAGCGAAACGTCATATGTAGAGGTTCTGATTGGCTGTTTGCTACACTGCTACTATGTTTAGTAGCATTCCAGAATCTTTTAGAATCCCAAGGACATTTAAAATATTATAAAAACCCTGTATTTTCTGTATTAAAATGAACCTTGAGGTAAACTACTCGCATACTTTGAGTCTTCTCTCTCGTGTTCAGGTTGCTTTATAGTTCTAGCTTGAGGGCTACAGAATAGCCTAGGAGACGAATATACCGTTCAATCCGCAAGACTTATCAAACATAGATCATAAATCGATCACTATTAAAAACCTTGAGGTACTGGGCAACTGTTTCTTCCTAGTTTAGGACTCTAGCAATTCATATCCACGATCCGGCACGTAGGACTTGGATCCAGGACCTTCTGCCTTGCAAGTGAGCACTTAACCTCTAGACCACTATAACTAAATTTCTATAGTATTTATCAAAACACTTCATGTACATCAATATAAAATCACACATACAAAAAAAGTTACTTACATCAGCTGTTAACATGGAGATTTTATGTTCACGTGTATTCACTTGTTCTTTTAATACATTAATATGATGATTTTGATCTTGATGTTGTTTATCAGTCATTTCTAAACGTGATTGTAATGTGTATAATTCACATTCACGTTTTGAAATTTCACTATTTAACATTTCAATCTGAAAGTTGTTTTTGACAAAACGTTTACTGTTATATTACAAAGAATATTGAAAATCTTGTTAGATATGAAAATATGATAAATATAATTCTTAGTTGAATTCATGGATCAATTAAAACTAGACTATCATGAGAAACCTGTGGTCATCAGGAGGCCATTTCGTCTCAGTACGTAACCCCTCACTAGCACGCATCCACGATCTTTTCCGCGGGATTAGAACCTAAAACCTTCGGTCTCGTTCGCGAACATTTAACCTCTAGACCATTGAGCCGGTATCCACCGCTATTAATGCTTAATTTTAACCAATCCACGAATAAATATTTCCTTTAATTAATAATTTAACAATCTTTTTATGATTAGTGTCACAAAGGCATTGGAAACCAGAACAAAGTAAAAAGTCCATTCATCCTAGTATGAAACTGTAAAGATTGAATTATAGCAACTCACATACAATCAATTTTGTTTATAATAAATTTTGTCGAGTTCTTTTATTAACTTATTTAATGGATAATGTTATTCGAATAGTAACAATTAATCTATTCTTTGTACTATTATGGTTACTATCATGTCTGTATAAACGTATATGCTTAATCAGATGTAACAACCTACCAACGCATCTCTCTTTAGCCTAGATGTTAATCACTTAAATATCGCTCGATAAGTCATTCTCTTCCCGATGTATATATGCACTCAAATCAGTGGAATGCGGGATGTACGTTTCATCTGAGTGGATAACACAATGGCGTTTGAAGCAAACCGTACTGAGTGAACATCAACTCTGAAATGCAGGTACATCTGGCTGACGAGTCCGAAATGGGAAGAAACGCGCATCCTTGATCCCACTACTAGCCACTATCTATCTTTGTGAATTAAGGCAATATCGAGGCAATACGCACACTATGCACATATGCTAATAAGATACTGATCAATTGCAGTTTTAAAACTTTAATTGGAAGATTCAAGCAAAAGAATACCAAGTGAATTGCTAACACCATTAAATAAGCTAAGAAATAAAAAAAACACCTCAGATGAATTAAACTGCCATTTTTGATCGATCGCATTATTGTTTTTGTTTTAGTGATTTACACGCCTTGGCTTGCATTCAAAAGGTTTAAAGTTTGCAACGAATCTATTGCCATTGAACTTAATGTTTCATGATTATTAAGAAATTTCCGAGAAATAATTTCAGTCTACTTTTATTTCTAATAGGATCAGTCGACGCTGAATCTAACTTTCTATGTCTAAGTGAAGGATGAGTTTTACCGCTGAGATGTCTTATTACAAATATGAAACACAAATCTAACGTTCCCTGTTTTATCGATCTAACTATCTAGTTTAAGTCAATTCATCATGAAAACTATTGGTTTACACTACACTACATTATAAACTCCTCAGCAGTGTAGGTTCCACAATTCCAAACATGGGATTCAAACCCAAAACCTTCAGTTAGTTTCACATGAATGCTTAACCTCTAGACTACTATTGAGTAAGTATTCAACAGTGTTATTATACATAACTCTTACAACTAAAAAAATATTTTTTTTCTTCTTTTCATTTATTCCATATAGAGAATTATTTCCAGATTGTACGTCATAAAGTTTATCTACTTTTCTGTCGAGAATTATATTTTTGTTATTTATTTTCTCTACTTGAATATTCATTTTAGTTTAAGTTATAGAAGTCACATGGTACTATTCTAATCAATACTTGTTGTCACCATCTTCTTTCCTATATCATTGTATCTATGTAAGCTATTGAATTATTATCACCCCCACCCGCCAAGAGAAATAATATGAAAAAACAAACAAATGGATTATAATAAAATAAGAGTAGAATAGATTTTATAAATCTCAAATTGTATATAAACAAATGAATGGATTATTATAGAAAATAAATCAACCAACTAGAACCGAATAGATTGGTTTAAAATATTCAATTGACTCATGATCTTAACCATTGAAATTACTACCATATCCACAAATCCCCTTCTGATACTAATTAACATATGCTCACTAGTGACTAGCTTCAAGAGGTATATTCTGGAGTTCTAGTAAAAAGCAATGACTAGTGGAATTCAACCGGGTCAGTTGTGAGATAGTAACTCATTGGAGATAACGGTGGATATGTCGCTCAATTTCGTGGATTAGTTGAAGTTAGACATTAACATCGCTAGGTGCCAGGTCAGTGGTTAAGTGTTTGCGCGCGAGACTGATAGGTCCTGGATTCGAACGACTCGAGGCAGGATCGTGGATGCGAACTGCTGAGGATTCCAATACTAGGAAGCTGATTTGTTCTCTCCTACAGAAGGCTGTTGCCGATGGTATCCGGTCAGTGGATGTTGAGTATCTTGCATAGACAACTGCTTATAAATACTTGCACCTTATTGATGATGGTTGTAGTAGTTCTCCAAAACTCAGCTCCATACAGTAGAACTGTCTCGACGTTCGTTTTGAAGATTGTGATTTTAATATTGATTGACAGTTGTTTTGAGTTCCATATGTTCTTCAATTGTAGAAATGCGGCCATTGCTTTGTCAATCCTCGCCTTTACGTCTAAATCTGATCCTCTTTGCTCATCGATGATGCTTCCCAGGTATGTGAAGGATTCTACATCTTCCGGAATTTCGCTATTAATTCAAAATCGTATAATTGGTTCTGAGCTGTCTATTGTATTCCATGTTTTCCCTCAGATCCAAAGGTCTTCATAATCCCATAATTAGTTAGTAGTATCAGAAATATTATTATACATAAACAATATGACTATAGTGTTATCCTACAAAATATTTAATTAATCACTTACTTTAGATTTCAGAATACGTTCGTTACTTCGAAATACTTGTAAAGTTTTATCTAAATCATCAATCCCACTGCTAGTTGATGTATTTGGAGTAATTAGACCATCATCTCGAAGACGAGTAATTTCATCTTCTAAAAGACGTATTTCATTTTCCAAAGTTAAAATTTTCGATTCCTTTAGTATGAAAAAAATGATGTGAGTAATAAATATGTACTAGATTTATGACGAGTTAAAATATAAAAATGATAGAACCTGGCTCCCAAATGACCTGGTATGGATGAGAGTGGGGAGAGTCAGCTCTCCCTCTCGAAATGCTCTCACATGGACACGTGCATACAACCACTGCCAGGGAAGTCCTACTCATCGCCTTCTTGCGGAATTACTGTTGTTTACGATATTGAGAGGAAGAAAAGCGAATGTCCGGTGCTCTAACCGTGTTGGTGAATATGGAGGATTCATCTAGGGGAGTTGGAAAACCCTAATTTCAAACCAATGGTTTACATGGGCTCGAGTATCCTGAAGGAACAAATGGTGCATTAACCAATCGTTGGTCACCAGCTACCATGCAAATGCATCTCATGATGTTTCTTCACAGCCTTGTGGGTTAGACCTTTAGCTCGAAGTGTGGCCCTGTAAGAAAACCACCTGTTTCGATTCTGGCACCCGGATGGTATCCCAGCCCTTAGATAAATCGAATGATTTATGTTGCGCAAATCTGTTTAGTGCCTCCTTGTAGCAATCTTTGTATGTTTAAATAAATAAAATAAATTCGCTACACCATAAAATACTAGAAGATCCATCAATCATTAAATAGATATCGTCCAAAAAAACGTTCTGGAACAAAGTTTGAGGATTTATGATATTGGAATACAAGGAAAGTTAAACTTGCAATAAGCATAAGACATAAATGTAACTTCTACATAAGTCAGATCACTTTCTATGTATAATACTGAAAGATTTTTAATCGGTAATTTACATGGTCATAACTAATCACTTAAGTAAATTGTAACTTTAATGTTCTAAACCAATAAATATCCAACAGACGTACTGATTTGAAATCTTACTTTTATGACTATATCCGCTTCAGAATACATTGAATATGTAACTATCATATTATCAATCAAATAAGCTGATCGCATTATGTTCCCATTTGTTTGGTATTTTATTAGCGGTGAGACTATAATTTATGGACGAACCAATCAGATATAAGGTAACGAGTCATGAATTTTGGCACGAAATTCACTCATACATTTTGTTAAACAGAGATTTAGCATTATAGCTGATAACAGTTCGTAATGAAAACTTTAAATCTAATTTTCAACCCTAACCATCAACTGTAAATGGAAATTCTAACTGGTTTATAACCTTCATTTAGTCCTAATCAGTAGGTGTCCATTCTCAGGGTCACTTCAGCGTCGCTCAAAGGTCGTTCATAAATTATAGTCTAACCTCATTAACCACCTACATTTCGCTTTACCCATCTCAACTCAGAACAAAGTTAAGAAGAAACCAAGATATATTTCAAAATAACCCGGAAGATAAGATGTGCAATCATAAAACATACGAATCCTCATGCTGTATTCACTCTGGTTTATTGTTGTATCGTTTACTATCATTGATTAGTTGAAAATAGAGTGATGTTTTTCATACTTGTTGACTCTCATTATTTTCATTTGTTCTTGTAATTTGTATGCTCTTAGATAATATAATTCTTGCGTCATCCGACTATTCAGAGATCAGTCTTCTATATTAAAACCCTTATGTTGTTGAGAAGTATGTGAATAATATGGTGCATTTTGGTGTGAATACTGACCAATTGAATTTTCTTATAGACTCCTGTTCGGTATCAGTTCCCAGTTTGATGACTGGGGTAAATACGTTGGACACACTAGTAATGTCAATTATTTTAACAGTGTAAGTAGTTAATAATTAATTTTTATCTGAGGAGATCCCAATATGCATATAAAATGCTCTCTTAATCATTTCCTAAGTTTTGTCGATTATATTAAAATGTTCTTCCATACCTTTTAATTATCTTAATCTCATTCATTCTTTGCCAACTATACCTCTTTGATTTAGATTGTAATAAATATTACAAATTCAAAATTTTTGTAAAAGGAAAGGCTTTAGATTTTAGATTAGGCAAGAGTCCCCCAAATGGCTAATTTTGACCAGCCATCCAAAACCACCGAATGGTACTCATTACTTTCAAAAAGTTGATTTGGCGAGACTATAATTTATGGACGAACCAATCAGGTATAAGATAACAGGTCTCGGGTTTTTGTGCGAAATTCACTCATTCATTAGAATAAATATGATATCGGCATTATAACTGATGTCAATTCGTGATGGAAACCCTAAATCTAATTTCTAACCTTAGTCATCAACTGTATTATAATTCCTTACACAGGTTTATAACCTTCATTTGATCCTAGTTATTAGGTGGACACTATCAAGGTCAGTCTGGCGTCGCTCAAAGGTCTTCCATAAATTATAGTCACACCGCTGATTTATGTATTTAATGTGAAATTTATCTAAGTTACTACTTTTGTTTTATCACAGGAAATCATATAAAACAAACATCCACGGTTGATGAGGCAAATTGAAATGTTTAATTCAACTTCCGGTTATGTCTGTTGTACCCATTTAGAATATAGACATTTTAGAAGTACAGATCACATATGTGCCTGGTTCTACATTGTAGCTGACTGACTGACAAGTACTGATTAAATTCAATATAATTACCTAAACATACTAAATATTAGTTAGATTTATAAATCAAACGATCAACTCATTTTAAAATGAATTAATCATTTAGAAGAATAAGTATAATTGTCATAGCAACTGTCTATTACTTTCTATTCATTTTAATCATGTAATAAAACAGTTGTATCATATTTATCTTAATTGTCTGTTACCTTGCCTACTTAGAACTTATTTCATCCAATTAAATTATTATTATTTATCCTTTCTCTGATTGGTTCATTTATCTTATCATTATAATATTGATTAGAATGATTCGGCATCAGAAGGGGGTTTTGTGGAGATTTTATTAATTTCACTAATTGAAATTATGAGCCGATTAAAGCTAGACTACCATGGAGAACCTGGAAGCACTGGATGTGTTAGACATTAAAGAGAAAGAATGTATTTGTAAAATCTCAGATTACTATGCAAACTATTGGATTGAATTCAAATTCATTCGATGAGATTTTGCACAAATACAACATTCTTCCTCTTTAATGTTGCAATATACTTTTGATTAGATTATATAACGAACGACTTAAATGATCTCGTCATACCACGAATAACTATCAAAGTGAAGTTTTCTCAGCAAGACTATAATTTATGGACGACTTTTGAACGAATCTTAAGTGACCTTCGGAAATATTAGTCAATCAGCAAACAGTAAGTATAGAGTAAAAATATATTATATAAAACCAAAGAAGTAAAGTGGATACACTTCTTATACATGGTTCAAAAACTTTTCAAGGTTAGAAAGAGGTTCCGAAATTCTAAAATTGTAATGCATGCAGTAGAGGAAATCATTCATATGGCTACGGAATAGTTGGCCTCTGGAGTCATGAAAAAGTCTCAAAAAATCTTTCAACCTCGACCACATAGCTTCAATATTGGTTATGTGCACTCCGGTTGTTGAGTGCACAAAATTCTACTTGTGGATAACACGATGCACATAACCAAGTCTATGTAGGAGTCTGTACGCTCTCCAATCATCCGTATATATTGTAGTACCTGGCTGCAGCCAGTGTTACTGGTGCTTTTATTATCCAGTTCGCAACAATTGTCGTAAGTTGCCTTAGTTAGAAATTATATTAAAGGTTTTCATCACGAACTGACATCAGCTGTAATTCCAGAAATCTACTTAGCTAAATGGATGAAAGGCTTTCGCGTTAAAATCCGAGATCTATTATCTTATAACTGATTGATTCGTCCGCAAATTATAGCCCCGCTGTTTTATTCGTTATAGCCGCTCAATTATCACGTTTTGTACAAAATTCGTTGTGAACCGATCATACGTTAGCATAAAGCACTGAAGTTGGCGCCGTAACGTTGAAATCTCTGAAAAGCCTCTGATTGGCTCGTCCATAAATTAGAGTCTCGCCGTTTTCTCTATTGGTTAGATTTATGAGACGATCTAACCTAAATCATCATTGAGAATCTGAAAGAACTAAACAACTGTTTTGTCCTGGTATGGGAATACTCAGTAGTGTGTATTCATGATTCGGAACACAGGACCCAAACCCAACATCTTCGATTTTGTGTGTCAGTGCTTAACCTCTGGATTAATGGACCGGCATTGAACAGTGTTTCCAGGTTTTCAATGGTGATCTAGCATAGATCATCTCATCAATCCACCTATTAAAAATACTGTAATCTTCACTTAAAGTTGATAAAAGCCGTATTTAAATTGATATACAATGTTTTGTGTTAAAATTCGCTATTTCTTTTCCTAAATATTTACTTTTGTATCAACCAATGATTGTAATGTTTGAGTTTGTCTTGTATCATGTCGAAGTGTTTCACATTCTTGTCTAAGTTGTCGATGTTCTTGTAAAAGTGCATCAAAATCCTGTGAATTTATTAGAGAAAGAAAAAAAGAAAGAAAACAAAACAAAATGAAATTTACTAAATTTCAAAATGGGAATCTTCACTAAAACAAAAACGAAATTGATAGTGTCTATGTGACTAAATAAGCTTTAAATGATTAGAAACACATTCACTTATTTGATTAGTAGTACTATGGTGAATAAGGACACAGGCAGGGTCTTAGTATAATCTGAGAACCATACAGTAAATACTTCATTTGCGGAATATTTATCAACTGTCTTAGACTTTTAGTGGGGCCCTTTTTTATTATCGTCATTTAGATCGGACGATGTTTGTTGATGGGCTCTCCACTCTGGTGGCCCGTGGATCTGAATCCAAATAGATTGTATGAATGGTTTTTGTCGAAATATGTATGTCGCCTATCCTCCTGTATAATCATCACGTTAGTCAATAAAGGAATTAAATAAGTCAAATAACGAGAATGGATTATTGAATACATATATTTTGTAATATGAAGCGAATGAAAGAGAGCGAAGTGAAACGGCGTGCAGAGGAGATGGCGGGTAAACCAACTCCATTTAACCAAGCGTTAATCAATATTACTACACATGATCTTAGCTCATAGAGTCGAGGAGCGATATTTATAGTCACACAAAAATAGGTTACAGCTGTATGATGAGTAATGGGATAAAAAGTGTACACACACATATGCGCTCATATAAAAACAGTCAATGTTGATAAGTGAATAACTAAAATGATCAAAATGTGGCTCAAGTAGAATGAATAGATTGGTTTGTCCGAAAGCTAGAACAAGGTATATGGGCATAACGTAAAATAACCGACACTGCAAACTTCATTGTTCCTTCGTTTTCAATATTAATCACTTTCTGTTCTCGTCCTTTTCTTGATTGATGAGAAATATTACTTATATCTGTCGACATCAGTAGCTTAGACCATAGTATGATTATTATAATTATTAACTAATAAGTCGCTAATCTCGTTTTGTATGAACAGTCTTTTAACTTGACCGGATACTTCAATCTTACGTATCATTTTTTTAAATATTATATTTCCTATCGTCTGTTTGCTTTTGATAAGTTCCGATCCAGTTTTAGAGATCCACTTACAATTCATTGCCTAAAGTATGATTCGAAATTTTGTTGTGAATTAAGGCATTTTAACAGTTATTTAATGATAAATTTTAAATTATGATGAATTCAGCTTATTCTGTAAAATATTTTTTTTCTTTCTATGCTTGATCGGTTAATGAGTTATGAATATCTTCGAACCTAGAACATATGTGAATCATTCTCAGTTGTAACAATACATCAGTACAACAAAATACACGTATCAATACAAGTCAGTCAGTCAGCTACAACGTAGGACCAGGCACATATATACATCGGTCCAACTTGCCATACCTCATTAACACAACAAGATGGACACCGGAGTCATATAAGTGGTTAATTCAGAGCTGGTAATATATAAAAGGAAGATTGTATATAAGGATATAGTATAGGAAGAAAGAATTAGTACGTAGAAAGAAAGATATGAAGCAATTTTAATCTCTTAGTTTAAGAGAAGACAGAGAGTGTATACACCGACGCCATTGTGACCGATTCTGAGCCATGTCACCACGAGTCTTCAACCATTGGTTACGATAATCACGCGGACCCCAACCAAGTAGTCTGCATCTACCAACATGGCTCAGACTAGAAGTTAGTGACTTCAAGCACTGATGCCAGGTTTTGGTTTGGCCGCCCCTAACCTTCTTCCAACCATCTCCAACACCGGTTAGCATTGCACATTGTGGTAATCGGTGTTCGGGCATACGTAACACGTGACCCGACCATCTCAGTCGATGGAGATTAACAACCTCATCAACCTCATCAAACAGCTTTAAAAGTCTTAAATGTAAAAGGGTTAAAAAGAGTGAATGCTTCTGCACCATTGTAAATGATTCTTAGCCAAAGTCTCTAAACACTGGCTATTATAAACAAGCGGACTCCAACCACGAAGTGTTCACCTAAGAACAGAGTGAAATCCAACACGTAATAACTTCCTGGACTGAATACACGTCTTGATTTGGGATTCCATAACTTTGAATTAACTTATTCCTACAACAATAAACATTCCTCACCGAGGTAGGCTATTATAAGTAATACATAATGTTCTAATCATGTACAAAAATTAAAAACTAAATTCCTTGAATACAACTAAAATATCAGTATAAAGTTGTGGAGATTGTTGAGTTTTGATTAAGATCATGTATTGATCAATGTTAGACCAACATTAAAGACTTAGATGCACTGGATGGTCGTTTCATTCTAGTATAGGACTCCACAACAGTGAGCATCCACTAATAATACAGTAACTCGCTCATGTAAAACATAGGGTAAATGTTTTAAAGTATGTCTTGTGAACTGAGAACACAAACAGTATCAATCTTTTTTTTTCATATTTCCGATAATTCAATAATCACCAGGACTGTTTGCCTAAAAATAGGGTTAATCTTTCATTTACTTGACAACAAAACTTTAAAATTGTCTTTTATTTTGATTATATCTTTTAGATTAGAGTACATTCTTAGTTCGTTCTGCATATGAATATACAAAATGGAATAACTTTGTTGAAATTAAGTTCTCTGACCTTAATAGTCCTTCAAAAAATACAAGCTTCAGTAATAAAACAACCATATTTTCATCTTGGATATCTTCCTCATATTTAGTAAGTCATGATCCTAATACTAAATGATCCAGCTCAGAAAACTCAATCTCAATAAAATTATCTCTCTGAAGTGAAAATCTTCATGATCACCTCGATTGAAATGGTCATCATTTCTTTGGGAGCTATTATCAATTCGTCTATTGATTCATTTAAAACCTTAAACAACTACCTATTTCATACTGCTTAGGATTGTTATTGAATTTTCTGGTTAGCGTTTTTATAGCGAGTTATTCTTTTACGGGATGGGGTCGCTAACCATATGCTCAACTCTCCTCCTTTATACGGACTTGCAACCGGCAGTAGCCCCAGGCAAAATACTTCGGATCCGTTGACCAGACACTATTAGCAACAACATACTATGGGAGAGAACAAACCAGATCCCAATAGCGGAAGAAATCAGGAAGAAACGCTGGAAGTGGATAGGACACACATTGAGGAAACCACTTAATTGTGTCACAATTTAAGCCCTACCGTGGAATCCTCAAGGCCAAAGGAGAAAAGGAAGACCAAAAAACGCACTACGTTGAGAAATGGAGACGGACATAAGAATGAACAAAAGTTGGATAGAACTGGAAAGGAAGGCCCAGGATAGTGTGGGTTGGAGAGTGCTGGTCGGCTGTTTATGCTCCAATGGGAGTAACAGGCGTAAGGAAGTATATTTACATATAAATTCACATGGTACTGTTTACTCGAAACTTCCTATTGATGTTTAGGACTGAAATTGACTAGTCTTATTGGTATATGTGCATACTGTGTATAGTGCCTCGATATTGCTGACGAGTCTCAAATAGAACGAAACGAGCATCCTGGATTCCACTGCTAACCACTATCTATGTTTGCTCATAATGCTTGTGAATTAAAGCAATATCGAGACAATACGCATAGTATGATCATATGCCAATAAGAGACTGATCAATTGCATTTCTAAACATCAGTGGGAAGATTCAATTAAACAATACTAAGTTGATTTAAACTTCACTCCATTGTACAAACAAGTGGCTATCAAGACTCAGTAGCTAAGTGGATAATGTGATGGCGTTGAAAACGAATGTTACTACGTTTGAGTTACAGAGTGAACATCAATTCTGGGATTCAGGTACATTTAGCTGACGAGTTCCAAATAGAACGAAATATGCATCCTGAATCCCAGCTCTAGCCACTATTCATCTTTCCTTATTGAGTTGATTGCGACTAAATTTGTAGTGCAGATGGTTTCTACACTAGGTCAGTTATAAAGGAAATTTGACCTAATTTAACCATCAGAATTCATCACAAATTTTTATGAGACAAGTATATGTCTTCACTCATTTGAATCTGTCTGTAACACAATCAATTGAATAAACTCGATAGACAAACATATGATCCAATAATATTAGACAGACAAACACATAGAGGTATATTTTAAGTAATTTACTCTAGTGATAAATTAAACAGACCAAATTAGGTCAAATTTTAGATAAACAGACAAACAGCTAACTTTCTTTAACAAAAAAAATATATGCTCATAGTATTTGAGAAGGAAAAAACCCTTGTCTTCCTGCCCCCCCTCCCCTCTCCACTTAGTATCATTTGTTAATCGATTATGGAGGTATCTTTTTGTTTGAAAGTATATCGTATTACATAAATATTTAATTGGGATAGGTCATAGATACTTCTCTGTTTTTTTCCTTCTCATTTTTTAATTTTAGTAAAATAGTGTAATGTTAATTTTTTTTTTTTAACTTGGCAACGTATTTTTACGATGTTTGTTGTTAAGATTATAAGGTAAAGAGAGAGAAAATAAAACATTAATTTAGGCTCATTTATTATGCAGGTTACATATTACATTGCTACTTAGCAAATAGTTGATTGTTTCATCCTATTTCTCAAATTGATGTTGTGAGATGTAAACAATTTTGCAACAAAAACAAACAAACAGATCAGTGAATTTACTTGGTATCGTTTACTTGAATCTTTATGACTACAGTTGATCAATCTCTTATGGGTATATACGCATTCTATGCGTATTGCCTTGACATAGCCTTAATTCACAAGCATTATAAACAAAGATGGATAGAGTGAATATCAACTATGAGATGCAGGGACATCCAGCTGATGAATCTGAAATAGGACGAAACGCGCATTCTAGATTCAGTCAACCATCTTTGAAGATAAACGAATTTGTTGTTTTGGTCGTGCAAAATCCTGAAATTAGGGGTTTTTTTGAAGAGAGTATTATTTTTTTAATTATAAAGTCCTATACTTTAGTGTTATCGATAATAAACTATCAATTATTCGATTTAGTTGCGATCACTTACGATCGATGTAAATCACTGATCAACTAATTGCCAATGAATAACTCACCTACTCATTAGTAGTATTAAATTTTCTGGCTGTCTACTACATCACTATCATCCTTATTGAATGTGATATTACTATGAAAGTGGAGATTTTTAATTCATTCAATTCAATTACAATACATACTTACTTCTTTTATTCTTGATAATTCAAAATTTCTTTCAATTAGTTGACGTTCTGCTTCACTTCTTCTAGTTGATGTTTCATTTAATTGATTTCTTAAACGAGAAATTTCCAATCTATCTGCTTCAATTCGATCTAATTTTATAGATGAGATAGCACTTTGATCACCGACTGAAGTTAATCCATCTCCAGTAGTTAAATTAGTAGTTGTTGTAGTTTCTGGATTGATATTCGATGATTTACCAGCTTTAACTGCGTCAACTAATCGACGTAAACTTTCCTCTGTAGCATTTAGACTAGATTTTAAATTAGCTATACGTCTATCAGCATCTTCAATAGATTTTTTAAGTTGACGATTCTCTAATGTTAATTCATCTATTTGACGTTTGGCTAAGTCTAATTCACTTAAACCATCTGAATCACTTGCACCACCACTGAAACGGCTACGATTTCGTTTATCACGTTCTTGACGTAAATCTGATTCCATATTATGCAATGTTTCTAACATTGTCTATTAAAGTATAAGATGAATAGAACAGAAATTATGAGTATTTTATATCTTTGGTAATAACAATAATAAACATACTACTACTACTTACGCCTGTTACTTCTCGTGGAGGAGCATAGGCCCCCCACCTTCACTCTCCATCCAACCCTGTTCTGGGCAATCCTTTCCAGTTCTTTCCAGTTACTATTCATTCTTTCAATGTCTGCCTCGAATTCTCGCATAGTGTGTTCTTCGATCTTCCTTTTTTGCGTTTCCCTTCAGCATTCCAAGTTAGCGCTCACCTCGTGATAAAGTTTGGTGATTTCCGTATTGTATGTCCTATCCACTTCCAACTTCGCTTCATAATTTCCTCTTCAGTTGGAAGCTGGTTTGTCCTCACTCACAGTATACTGTTGCTGATGATACCCGACCAACGGACATTGAGTATCTTGTGTAGACAACTGTTTATAAATACTTGTACATTTTTGATGGTTTTAGTAATTCTCCAAGTTTCAGCTCCATACAGTAGAACTGTCTTGATGTTCGTACTGAAGATTCTCACTTCGGTATTGGTTGACGGGTGTTTTGAGTCCTATATATTCTTCAGTTGTAGTAATGCTGTCCTTGCTTTGTCAATCCTCCACTTTACGTCTGCATCGGATCCTCTTTGTTCATCGATGACGCTGGTGACCAGGTGCGTGAAAGATCCTACATCTTCCAGAGTTTCGCCATCAAGTGTGATTGGGTTGGTGTTCTCCATGTTGGATTTGAAGATTTTGCTTTTTCCTTTGTGCATATTGAGGCCTACTGGTGCAGAGGCTGCTGCTACACTAGTTGTCTTCATCTGCATTTGTTCGTGTGTATGGGATAGGAGGGCCGGGTCACCTGAGAAGTACAAATCTTCTAGCTGATTCCGAGCTGTCCATTGTATTCCGTGCTTTCCCTCAGATGTTGAGGTCTTCATAACCCAGCCAACCACCAAAAGATAGAGGAAGGGGGGGAGTAAACAACCTTGTCTGACTCCGGTTATTACTTAGAAAGCATCTTTCTACTGCCTTCCGTGCACGAATTTGCAGTGTAGTCCGTCATTTGAGTTCCGGATAATTTTGACAATCTTATCAGGAACTCCACAGTGTCGAAAAAGTTTTCATAATGTTCTCCTATCCACACTGTCAAACGCCTTCTCATAATCAACGAAACTGATGTAAAGTAACGAGTTCCATTCAACTGATTGTTCGACAATAATCCGTATTGTCGCAATCTGGTCTGTGCACGACCGATCCTAACGGAATTCAGCCTGTTGATCTCGAAGTTTTGCATACACTGCGTCCTTCATCCGGTTCAGCAACAATCTGTTGAAAACTTTTCCTGGTACCCTGATCTGATTACAATTATATCACTTTGGTTTAAGTTTATAATGTATATCATTGAGATTCAAATTGCATAGTGTTATGGAATTGGAATATCCTTTGTCTGATCCTATGCAGAGTAAAAATGTTGTGTGATTTTGGTGGAATTTTGTTCTCAGAGCTCAGAGAACAGCTCTGAGAACAAAACTTCACCAAAATCATCCACCTGAGCTCCAAATCTTCTCCATCATCTCAAGGTTGTGTAATAATTGACGAAGAAGAATCTCAAAGTTAGGTAACCCATCTAATCATCTGGTTAGCATTCATCTAAAAAACGAAAGTCACTTTCAAAACTAATCAGTGTTTCATAAACATTTATTTGGCTTGATAGGATAATGACCTTATTTCTAATATGTTTTAGTATACAATCAGTAATTACTGGTCAAAAGGTGTTTTCTATTGTTAAGATTTTGTTTGATTCGCATTGAATATTCTTTCTTATAGGGAATAATATTTCATTTATATCAGTGAACATTAGAGGAAAGTTTATCTTTACATGTGTTAATCTTCTTTAAATCCATTTTCAAATATCACAATTTCTATCTTGAATAGATCAATGGGAATATTGCTGATTCAGATTTTCTGTATGATATTTTTGTAAAGTAATACTGAGTATTAGTATCATAGAGCGTTTATGAACATTGTCATCTATTCATAGTTTACATCATGGATAGATCTTAGTTGAAAACCAGGATGTACTGGTGAGTTATTTCATCCTACCATTAGATTATTCAATAGTACATTCACTAATTAATCAGGGACGGAACACATGACCTTTAGATTTCTCAGTGAACATTTAACCTTCAGATCACTAATTTTGCATCCAATAGTTTATGTTTCTAACTCTACTAAATTACTGAACCATTATCCAACTTCACAGTTGATACTTATCTTGTTCATAACATGACTGAACTCTATTGACCATAGACTCTATTAGGAATTCTGGGAATTACCTTTTGAAATTAGTCATTTATAAGGAAGAATGAAATGTCTTGAAAAACCTTCATATATAAAGCAGCAAGCCCAAATAAAGTTCATAACAGGTTAGCCCTAGTGATCTCATATAGTTAAGGTCAATAACAAATTGGTTACTTGGATTAATTGTATGCCTACTTTGGCTAGTATATTAAAGTTGTCTGTATGTTTAAAATTTATTTGCAAACAGACTGATTTTCCAATATTTTTGTCTAAATTCCTTCGTTAGACCTTTGTAATTAGACCTAAAAAAGATGAGATTACTCCTTTTAAGAAATAGCAGAATTCAACAGCTGGTGAACTACTGAAGAAAATTAGTATTCAATAACAATTCAGACATTTTTACTAACCTAGAGTTATGGTGAAAGAAATGATTGAATGATTTACGCCAATTTTCCAAATGAACAAAACGATTTCGAAGCCCAGTCTATAACCATTGATTCCGAAAATCAAGTAAGTCCCAACTAAGTAATCTGTACTAGCTTATATGAATCAGTTCATTAGTCACTTACTTCATAAACTTATCCTATGTCTTTTCTTGGTTTGTTTTTAGCCAACTCCTTCATCAGCCATCATCAGTAGTCAAGGTAGGAGATGGTTGAGCGTATTTAATCCAGGTTGCAGTCATCTCAGCTGATAGAGATTCATTATCACATCAACAGATTTTCATCGTTACCTATCAGTCGAGGCTGAAACTTAGCATTGTCTGAAAATAAAAAAATTGTGCTTCGAAAGCATCTATGACCGAATGTCAGCAACTGATGTGTGTCTTTTACCTTCAAAGACCATGTTTCACAGCCATAAAGTAACACAATGGGTTTCTCCTCAGTGTGTTCGTCCATTGACCGGTAGACGGACATCGAACCCACACTAAAAGTTAGGCAGTTTGGTAAACGTCACTTGGTGGTGGTCATTGATAAATAGTATTGAGAAGTAATTCCGAGGTTCCATTGAAAACCGTGATCAGTGTGTTTAATCACAACAAGTGTAAGAAATTTATGCATCAATAGCATTGGAAGATGATTGTGCGATATTGAGAATTTTTTAAGTAAAACATGCAAACCTTTGGATACTGACTCAGTAGTCTAGAAGTTAAGCGTTCTTCACGAGATCGAAGGCCTTAGATTTGATCTTCTTTGATAGTATCATGGGTGAGCAATAGTGAGGACTCAAAAACGACGGTGAAAGAACTATCTAGTGTCTCTTTTATCTCTGTGGCTTTTAAATAAAGATCATTCAGTTTTGACGACTATGAAAGTAATATATTTATTTATTTATCTGTTATAAGAAAGATACATGTGTAAGCTTACTTGTTTTTCCAATTGTAATTGATGTAAGTGATCAGCTAATATAGCATATTTTGCATTCTCTTCTTTACGCATTGCTCGCTCACGCTTCAATTCAGGACTCCAAAATGTACGTATGCTAATTGTACAGGCATTTAATTTCTCTCTAGTTACATGTAATTCATGTTGTAGTCGTACATATTCTCTTTGTAGTGTAGTAATATCTGTAGTTGGATTATGTGGAATTAAACCAGCTGGTATTGATGTTGGTTGTGTTTGTGGTAGACCTGAATAAACGCCAGATCTTTGTAATGTTGCATAGTCAAGACCACCAATAGTTGGAAATGTTGGTACGCCTAAAGTACTACTGTAATCTAGTAGTGGATTAGTAGGATAACCATAAATCGGTGGATTTGTACCAATACCAACAGCCCCGACACCACCAACAGCAGCGGCAGCTAATAAACTATTATAATCTGTCAGACCTTGTTTTTCCAAATTCATATCATACGAATGTGCTCTTCGACCTGATGATGGGTTTGTTGAACCTAATATGCCGGATAATCCTGGGTTTGAACTAAGTGATTTCAATGTATATGATTGCCGATTAATTGGTTTTCTTGTCAATCGTTCACTTTGTGAATCAAAATTTCCTCTCAGTGTACCATAATATTCACCACGACGATCTAATGATGTTGTACGATGATCGATCCCACTTGTATCACCCTCAATTAACGGATCAATGTATGGATTATTCAGTCGTGGTGATGTTGAGTGTGGTTGTATACCGGAATCATACATTTCTCCATATTCTAAATCTTGTACACTAGCTGGTCTTTGACGATCATGTATCTCAGGATTGGAATCAACACCTTCAATGTATTGATGGGATGATAAATTAAGATTATCTCGATAATATGGTGATCTGTGTCTTCCACTTTCCATGTAATTTTAACAGTTCAAGGTGGTGGTTGCTTTTCAGACCTTAAATGAAAATAAAATCATGTTGGTTACTTAACTGAAGTTAAAAAATTGTAGACTACTTCGTGATATAAAGAAGTATGGGTATATTTTTTAAGTGTGTCCAATTATGAAAATAATCAAAATGACATTTTTTACTTATACTTCTCGGAGAGAAATCCCATTGGCTTAACTACCTAAATTTTCATGCGTATTTATTCATCGTTTAGAGTTAGAGGTAGTTTTACCTGCAAAATGAGTTGAAATACATTTGGTCAAAAATTTTCAAGCCAAAATTCTTAGTACGCCATTATTAGCAGTTGTTCACCAGCTGGTGTTAAATCGTCTTCAAATATCTTTTCCATTTAATAAATTCTCTCTACAGGTAAATTTCACAAAGGTTTATTGGGAAGCCAAGATGGAAAAACTAGACCATGTTGAAAACAATGTCATAACCTAAGCAATTATATCTGCTAGTTGACTTTCATTATTGAAATCGATTAACTGGCTTGTATCTTTTTACACAAAATCTTACATCTTGATTTAAGACTATCTGTACTTTGAGCTTCGTATCTCACTTCAATAATCTGCCAAAATTTTTAATGGATTGGACTATAAATGGTAGGATGTTACACTGATAAAATAAAAAAATCATATTCTCGTGCACAATGCCGGATGGTTCTGTGATTATTACAATGTAAACAAAATGCTTTTGGATGTTAGTCGTTATTTCCATGTAACATATATAATAAGATTTAGTTATTATGTTGAAGGACAAATACAGAAAGTTATTCGGATGTAATCTAAAATGAACTATTTCTATAGTGCTATTAATGAAACACTTACTGTACAAACGAGAATATTTTAAAAATTAACGATTAGCCCAGCAGTGACAGTTCTGATATATAATTACTGCGACTAATTACAGATTATTGTACTCGGTTTTGAAGCAAACTTATGATATGATGACTAATCGTAATGCTTGAATACCTCAACTGAAATCGAATGACTTCGGTTTGAAATTCAAACTTGTCGGTAATATTTAAATAAAATGAGAACTTATGTCAGTAAATACATGGAAAATTATGGATAAGGCCATCTTTCAAGTATATGTTTTTAATTATCATGCTTTATATATAAAAGTTTCACACAACTGGCTTTTTTGAAAAATTTGACCTACAAATGAAAAACTAGTGAATGCTGTCGTTTACACTAGAGACTAGACAAATGCTATACAATGCTCACATAGACGATCAAAGTTTCGGCCAAAGCCATGGTACACACGTATGAAGCTTTACCAATGATTTAGTTCAGACAGCATTAACTGACACACGAGTATTCGGCTAAAGTCTGTATCATAATACCACCGAATATCATTAGAAAAAGATTTTGTCTATAGTGGATACAGCCCGTACTCCAAAATATAGAATCCCAGACATTTTAGAGGCAGAAAAACTTGTGAATTGAAAATCGGATTAGTTAGTGACCGTTGCTTAAATGATCCAACAATGGGTACAATATAAATTTGACGTTAAAACTTTGAAAGCGAATGCGCGTAAGAACTTGATCATTACATTTCGATAGTTACTAAGTTCTAAACGACCATGAAATTGACTGCTACTAAGTGGCCACTCATCATGGAAACTCCATATCTATAAGAAGCCAGCCATGACTTAGCTATGAGTTAGCCTCCCTATCTGCAAGAATATGTTGCTGCAAGCATCAGTCTCTCTAACGGTATATCAATTACATACTAATGAGTATCAATTAGCCGGACTTAATATCAATCGAATCCAACTAATCATTATTTTCGTAACTCTGGTTATTTCTGGTAAGACATTCCCAATCCATCAGAACTGAGTAACTATTTGAGGAAATAATGCGTAAGCAATAAAATCAGGGCTTATTTAGAATCTACTTTTAAATCTTCAGATTTTTGGCGGCAAAACTAATATAAGATGCAGTATACTTTCAGACATAAAAAATCCAAAAGCCAAGCGACACAATATTAGAGCTAGCTTGAACTACATCTTCGATTTAAATCTTGAATTGATACTATGTGATACGCCTAGGATTTTTATGAAAATAGAGTCAAAATCCAGTAATTAATTAAACATGGTTGAAGGATTATAACACGAGATTAAAATTGGACTTTTTTCATTACATTCCATGAGAATTTAGTATTTTAGTAATTTTGCTCATGCAGACAGAGATGATCAAATTATGCAGTGAAAAACTTCATTATAATGAAGTTGTTATAACAACTGTTCTTGTGTATTTTTTGAAAACCTAACCGCACAACCATGTGACTTTTATTACAAAACTTCCCTCCAGCTGTACTAGTTGTGTGACGAATTTAAACCAACAACAAGGTGCAAACGCAAAACGAAGGGCAATGTAACTAGAAATAAAGATTTAGACGTTTCTTCTATTCTTACGAGTAAATAAACAACCAGACTTATAAATCTTAGAATTAAAACAGGTAAACGAGTCCTTAAAGAGATTAGTCGAAGTTTGGATCTTGGTGGACAAGTGGTAAAATACTCCGCTATTGACACCATAAAAGACAGTTATCAAACAGTGCACTGCTTGGAGCTCATTTTAAATGCTGTAATAAAACAACATTCTCAAAATACCGATATGTCGGTTATAGTCACAGTGTTTTCCAAGTGACTAGTCTATTTTTAAATAACTTCATTTTATTTTATATTTTTCATCACATCATTTCCTTATCTCATATTTAGTTGGATTCCTGTTGATTATTGCTTGTCTTGTATTTAATATAAATGAATATTTATTCTTGGTCAGTTTTATGTGTATGAGACTTCTGTATAATCATAATTAAGAATCCTTTTCGTTTATCCTCCTCATACTTTCAATTCCTGTGAAGCCTACAAGTTTCTTCCTCAGCTTGAACTAGAATTTCGTTGATGCCATGTGGATAGTGAATTCATGGTTAAGAGATCAATGGCGAAAGTCAGAACCTACTAGAAGTGATAGGCAGAGCCAATCAGGCAGATTAAGGAGAAAACAACGACGCCATCTCTGTTATACATCCTGTGAACGAGAATGACTAATGGGGCAATAGAGAGAAATTTGTGTCGTAAACTACAAGAAATCCATGAGCACATCTTTTGACCTTTTTACTACTATAGTACAAAAAAATATTTAGTCAATCAAAGCTTGAGTATATAAATGATAACTTTGGCACAATTGACCGAAATTACTTTTTATAACTAAACGGATTGAATCCTAAGGATACGAAGCTTTCTTTAAAATCATCTCAAAATCCGTCATGTACATATTGAAATGAGGTCTTGAAGACGAAATGTCTACTACAAGAATTTAAAATGTTAGAAGCGTCAATAATCCTATCCACTCAAGTCACTATAGGGGTTTTAGACCTAGTTGATGAAGTCCAAGCTACCAAAACTAATGACAAACCAAGACATCCAGTGATCCAACGAGACAGGTGGTTTGTCCTCAATAAATCGTTTATTCTGTTGTTAAAGAGATTATCCTATAGGGGTAATATGAAAACTTCTGAAGAACAGCTTAGCATTTAACCATGGTTACGTTGGGTTTGGATTATAGCTTATATTTGCTGTGATACCTTTGTGTCAGAGAAATTGGGTGCATTCAATACATCACTTGATTTTTAATAAACGTAAAGCCTGTTGACTATCACAGTGAAATGCATGTCCATGACACTTGTTCAGCCTTCTTCGTACACAGCATTGTGATAAACACCTTGGAACATTATATTTTTATTGCCATCGAGCGACATCATCCAGGGAATACCAAGACAGTGTGTCAAATTAAACGCTTGAACCATATGGTGAACGTGTGGGATTCATGCCTAAAATTGACAGTAGTGGACTTATATGTGCTACCATAAAAGTAGGCTTAATCTAATGTTGTAAATTTGTCATGATATGACTCCCTAGTCTATCTGATCTTACTTCAAAGTCACATCATTTTCAATATTGACTTGTCCCATAGTGGTAATCAGCGGTGTTGTTTGCAAGAAGCTCTGAAGAATACAGTCATGCTGGTAATGATGTAATGTGTTTAATTCAAAAAGGCCTGATTGGTTGTACCATACACTGACACTATTAATTCGTTTGTTGACGTATATTGGCGCCTACCATTTTTTCTCCATCATTCAACTTTCAGTTTGAATCCTCCAGTTTAGAGTACGTTCAGATTTTAACTTAGCCCGTGGTGACCGCTCAGCGTTCTTCCAGTATCACTACATACCTATGACAATTGTATATTATCTTTTAAACTAAAACACGTAATTGATGCCGTACGCTTAGTATTTCCACTTCTTCTGGCTGTTCGCACATAAGATTCAATTTGTTGACTCATGGAGCTACTTTTATCCTTTTCGAGATATAAACAATCACGAAATATCACACCACAAAGCTGCATAATTCAGAGATTTTTCACCTTCCTTTTAAATAACTTGAAATACTCACAACATCAAATTCCTTCAAAGTGCAGCGTGAATAGTAATTACCTACAGATCGCCTTCTTGAGTACGTTCCCCTACTGTCTCACACGGTCTTAGTCGACCTATAATCAGAACAGGTAATTGTGTATGTAGCCAGCAATTATAACCTGTTTTTGAATTACAAATTATTACAACTATTTTAAAGACAAAAAGTGGTAGTCGTCTACGAAGAGGACGATAAATGGTTTAGTCATAATTGATAGGTTCAGAGTAGAAACCAGACTAGAGCTAAATAATTTTTAAGTGATGGTTGTTTAACTCAAATACTTTTGGTTGATTCACTCATATCGACAGAGACCAACACTACTTCCGAAACGACCACCCATACCTAATCAGCATTCTTCCTCTCCGAACCATCTGATTCTTTGAGTTAATTTAAACTTCGCACTATCCGGATAATGCTTTCGGCCGTATTAATCTGCCTTGCGGTTTTTTGGTCCATAGCCTATCCGATTAGTTATAGCACCGG